TCCCCCGGCTGGTTGACACTTCACTCTTCCCCTACTGTGGGAGCTTGATTGATACTCGCACTTTAGAGATTCACAAAGATCATGATCGCATACTCGAAGGAGGTGACTCCGCTGCCGAGACCCTCTCTAACTCCCTGACCGTTGAATCCGCACGAGTCCCGGGTCGTACGCTGCACCGGAAATTGCTCGCATCCTTCAAGCTACTCATGCATCCCATGTACCTTGACACAAATCACAATTCACTTACGGTGGTCCTTTCAACCCTATATGCGAACTACCTTACCACCGCTATGAAGATGTATCAGTATATGAGATCGCTCCGGGGTCGAGCGCACCCTTCGTCTGAGGTGATCATTCGGATCGTCCGGGATACAACGCAGCTCGCACATCGACTCGTTCAGGGCAAGAGGTGCTGGGGTCAGCGAGACACAGCCGCGGTATCTTTCTCGCCCTCTGTATGCACTGTGCAGCATTCACAAGTTCAGTACCTCGCAGCAGCGGCGTTCCAATTTGTGTTGCGCCGCAAACAAACACGATACGCTCTTGTGTTGCGCTGGTTGGAACTGGTGTTGAAGGGCAGCCGGCCAAGATCCGATGCGAAGGCTATGCGACTAGCACAAGTAGTACAGAAGGGAAACCTGATGTATGGTAACTGGAGATTCTGACTGGGATGTACAGCCTTACCCTTGAGCGTTGAGCCGAAATTGCAAAAAAATTTTAACTCGATCTCCACTGTCTCAGCTAGTGCGCATCGGCTACCAGTGTTGTTGACTGATGCGTGGATTTTAGCCTAACGGTGTGACCAATAAATCATTGTTCTACATAACATGGTTACCCGTTCAGTAACATATGTAGGGACCATACTCCGTACGGAGTGATGTCTTCCATAACTTGGTATTGTTATTATTTAGTTATATTTTTTTTCTAGCGAATCTCAGTCATGTGTGGTGGGAACTAATATATACGTCGGAGAAACCAGAGGAGAGAGAATAAGAAAGCTTCAGCTCAAGAGTGGAGCGAGTGTGGCAAATACTTTGTCTCAGATCTCCGATCATGTTTGCGGGAACCACTGAGATCAGAACGAATTATGTAGCGGCCTATTGATACTACCAACCAATGTTGTTTCCGAGTTAAAACAACGCGAACTGCGTGCCCGGGCGTCGGAAGAATTCCACTATAAAGGCCAATTTGTGCTGGAAGAAGCTGTGGATTAGGGTCCGTGGAACGAACCTCACATACCACGGAACCTTTCGGCGTGGACACAAATGTGACTGGACCAACAGGCATAAAAGGGGGGTTGGAAAGGGGGAGGCAACATATTTTGTTGATTTCAAGGCCCGACAAGGCAATTGTCAACAAGTGCGATGATGTACATCAACAACAGCGATTTTGATTCCAACCGCACGCAACGACCCTGTTTTTCTAATGACTTTCTCGACATAAGCGATGCAGCATGACGCTTCTGTGACGATACTGTGGCTGTGGCGTTTTGTTTCGAGCCGGTAAGATTACGACAGCCACTAGTATCCTCCCGGCCTCTTAGCCCTGTGAGCACGGAATCCTTTGGTCGGAGATCGGCATCTGGAATGGTATTTTTCTGGTATAGTTTCACTGCACCAGCCGCAGTCGTGGGATTGGCCAGACCACGTCCAAAGACGGTGACCTCGCAGCCTCAGGCCCATCGGCCACGCCGGTTGCAGCTTCAAGTCTCCATCATCTCATTTCATCCCCCCCTTCTCTTTCTTCCCCATCTATTTCCTTCTCCCCACCTCGTCCATTTCCTTTTTCCTTTTCCTTTCTTCCATCGTTTCTCGTCCTTCGCTTGATCAAAATCCCTTCCTCCTTCGTTTACCCTTTCTTTGAACTTTCTCTCGTTAAGTGACTCCTATTCGGCGTTCGCCGAACATCTATGTCCTAGTCTCCTGATCTCACTTTGCGATATCACCGAAACAGCGACATCGTCGCCCACCCTTGTCCACGGGTGCCTGGTCTGGATATTTACCGGGTTCTGGATGATCCTTGGTGTCACGTTTAAATAGTCGATTATCTTAATACAAGTCCGGTGTTGGATTCGAAAAAAGTCCTGCCCTACCGTCTTTCGTTTCTTACATCTCGATTTCCTTACCACCAAGTTTTGACTCGGCATTCGCTGCGCGACCCACCCAGTCAGAACCTGGTATTCGATTCCTTATATCGGTAACAGTGGAACATTTTGCTGCTTCTTGTTCATCCCAATAAATCATTCAAGACAACTTTCTCGGTACGATATGACAACCGTTTTCACAACGCCCAATTCCCCGCCCGAACTTTCCGGTTCCAAGTCTTCCAAGTCGTCCTCCTTCCGCTCTTCCTCTCAGCTCGATGGCCCCGATGGCGTCTTTACGGATATCTCCAACTTCGAAGATATTGGCCTTGAAGACGATGCTGACCTAGCATATAACAATGCTGTCGCCTCGCCCTATGGCCGACCCGGCCTTTCACGGTCATCGACGGCACGAATGCAGTCCAAGGCCTCGGTGATCACAACGCGCGAATTGACCACTACATCGCAACAAACGAAGGGTTTACACAAACCCCCCGCGCAAATTAACGGAATGCTCAGTCTGCAGACACGCAGTATCTCCAGATCAAAGTCAGGGAATAAACGTGACCCTGGTAGTGCTAAGTCGCCATTACAAACACCCAACTCTCAGCGTGCTCGATCCACCTCGCCCCTCCGACCGACATCTCGTCTGGGCTCCTCGCCATCTACTCATAGTCTGTCCTTGTCGCCAGCCAATGCTCGGCCTCCTTTGAACCGAAAACACTCATGGCAGCCAAACCGCAAGACCTTGAAGGAACTGGAGGAAGAATATCATGATTCAGATGAGGAGCTACCAGAAGATGCAAGTCTGTGGAATGTGCCGATATCCCCTCGACCTCTTGAAGATCGCCCAGCCTCTCGAAGCACGAGTCCAAACGGTCGGAGTCCGGGACCTCGGCCCCTCCCCTTGTCGCACTCCGTCAAGGATGCTTCACTGCCGGGTGCAAGATCGCCAAGTGGATCTCGACCACGTCGACCTGCTGTGCGATCCAGTTCTGCAGGTCCCGAACGTGGCCAGATTTCCCCGCGTAATCCACGTGTGTATTCGTACAATAGCATGATGTCTGATTTGTCGGAAGAAGCAAAGATCATCACCGAGGCTCTAGAACACCATGCCGATGAGCGCGAACAGAAGCGCGGAGAGAATCTACAAAGCGGCTTGTCGTCTCTGAGGTCAAGTGAGGAGTCTAAGCGGGGGTCTAGAGGCACCATTGAGCTACCCCCGTTGCAAAAGTCCAACATTATGATCGATCCCTTACCTATCAGCAAAGAGAAAGAGAAGGTTCTCACAAGAACACGGCCCAGCTGGCTCCCTCCTAAAGATCAGAAGGAAGAAAAGAAGCATCTGAAAGAGTACAAGAGGATGATGGCACAATCACGGGAAGCAGGTAAAATTACTCTTGTTGCTGACGGGTTGTCTTATGCAGAACTTACTAACTCCAATTCACCAGATAAGCGTCGTGCAGCGAAGGCTGCCTCGGCCAAGTGCGAGAAGGACAACACCCGAGAAACACTTCAGCGTATCTGGGATGATTATGTTTATCCCAATTGGGAGAATGCCATAGGTGAAACCAGAACACGTGAGCTCTGGTGGCGTGGAGTACCTGCTCGAAGCAGAGGAACAGCCTGGCAGCGCGCCATCGGCAATGAGCTGTCTTTGTCCGAGGAAACGTTCAAGAAGGCGTTGCAGCGCGCCAAAGACGTACGGTCAAAGGTCGATGGCGATACTGGAGAGAGTAACAAACGAATGCGAGAGTGGTTTGAGGCAATTGAAGGCGACGCATCCACAGCATTCCCAGATTTGAAGCTCTTCCAGGAAGGCGGTCCTTTACGGGAAACTTTGATTGACGTGTTGGAGGCATACTCTATGTATCGCAGTGACGTGGGCTATGTCACTGGTCTCCATGTAAGTGGCAGCTATATATACCGATGCATCGTTAAAGCTAATCAGTGACAGACAATTGCCGCTCTCCTCGTCCTTCAATTCCCAACCCCTTCCTCTGCATTTCTCGCCATGGCTAATGCACTTAATCGATCTTTGCCTGTTGCTTTCCTCACCCTTGACCGCGGGGCGATCAGCCGTACATACACACTAACGACTGCGACACTTCGTTATAAATTCCCTCGTCTAGCCTCTCACCTTACTGAGACGCTTCAGCTCTCGGATGAAGAGATCTGGGAGCCGATGTTCCGCTCCCTCCTCACAAATGGTCTCGATCTTGAGCGTATCAGCCGCGTCTGGGACTGTTGGGTATTCGAGGGAGACCGCATCATGATTCGAGCTGCAGTGGCAGTCCTTGGTTGCCTGCAGGCGCAACTGTTTGGATTTACCAAACCGGATGACGAGAGTCGTGCTACGGTTAGACAGATCCTCGGGTGGGGGCCCCGTAGTGCCGGAGCCAAGCCTAAGGAGCGCCATAGTGCTCCGGTAACATCTGCAGCGGGCTTCGGTGGCGGTCAATTCTCCAATGCCGGCGTTGGTGACTATTGGATACTCACAACCGCGGGCGATGAAGATGGATTTATGAGTGAGGTTAGGGAAGCTGGCAAGGTGCGGGACTAAAAGTTTGCCCTGTTATATTTTTCTTAATGCATCAAGCTACACTCCCCCTTGCGAGGTTATTTTCCTTCTACACATGTATACCTACCATTCGTTTGACTATGCTTTGTTCCCTTCGCTTCTTACCGCTGGACATATTTTTCTATAGGTGGTTAAGGCATTTCATGCTAACCGAGCTAATTATCACTTACACTTGATATCCTACACATCATTTCACATCATTTCATAGATCGTAGTTGAGATTATGTGTATCTGAAAGCAATTGTACAGCTCCGGATACCGACAGCGTGCAACATAAGCCGCATCTATTACCTTACGAAGTACATCCCTACCTTGAACCTGTCTACATGCCTAGCTGCAAATTACAGTCCACTCTGTCTCCAGTCTCCTACGTCAATTCTGCAACTCACTACCAATCTAGGTAATATTTCTCAAAGCTTGGCCCTTGCTAAGCTTTAGAGGTAGTCTTGGCTATGCAAGCATGATCCATAGGTTATTTGGGAATCTGCCCAGTTGACACTTGTATTAGTGGCTTCTATCATGGAACTTGTACATGATGAATAATACAGAGAGATACAGTGGATGTCGAGGATGTCTCTAGCATCTAGTATTAATTGATAGTATATTCCTTTCAGAATCTAGTATCTTCGCAGGTTTACACCCGATTTGTGACATGTCAATCATCGTACTATATGTATAATTGCAAGCATGTACATGAACTTAGAAACAATATTGCCACCATCTACTTTTCCATAAACCTTTTTTCATGCATCATCAACTCGGAATCAGAAATACCCGATTCATCTAGAAATACCAGAATATAGTACTCATGGTGTCTTCTCTGGCTGAAACTCAATCACCATGCGATCTTCGCGAATATACTCTTCGGGAACTGTCGCACCAGCAGCTTCCGAAGCTCATCCATAAGCAAGATCCCCAGCGCCAGCGCTAGAGGAATAAACCAGAACTCGATGGGGACTGGCGCAGTGTTGAATAATTTATGGAAGCCCGGGACCTCGGTGACGAAAATTGCGATGACAAGGGATATAGCCATCGACAAGGGTAGCCAGGGGTTCCGGCGCTGTTTGCGGACGGGGTCTGCTTGGAGGATGGACATGCGTTTGTTGCGGACAGAGAGGATGTTGCCCCACTGGAGCATGACTAGACTGACAAAGTAGACGCCCTGGCCGACGTTGTTGAAGTTGGTTAGCTCGTCCTGCGTGTAGCCGTAGAAGCCGTCGGAGTATTTCTCGAACGCGAAGATGAGGGCGTGGAAGGGGATTCCGGCTTTCTTGTACATGTACAGGAAGAACATTGAGTGGGCGCAGAAGGCCTCCATGACGCCGACGAAGAGGTATGATTGGCCGTATATCTTGAGGTTGATTAGGTGGTCCTTCTTGTGGTTTCGAGGGGGTACGCTGAGGAGGTCGTATTCTTCCTTCTCCATGATGAGAGAAAGGGAGCAGAAGAGATCGGTGAATACGCAGATGATGATCATGAGGAAGGAGCTCAAAGGTAGTGGCACGCCGAAGAATACGTTCATCAGGACTGGCCAGATTTCCGACCAACTACCGGCGGGTAGCAGATATGCGATCACCTTTTGGAGGTTTTGGAACACTAGACGGCCTAGCCGGATAGCTTGGGCAATTGAATCGAATCGGTCGAGGAGAACCAGGTCCGCTGCTTCAATTGCGACATCGCTGCCGGAGACCACTGCAATTCCAACGTCGGCTGCTCGTAGTGCTGGAGCATCGTTGACTCCGTCTCCTGTTACTGCAACAACATTGTCCCGGCTCTTGAGCTCTTGTACAATGCGATATTTATGCTCGGGAGATGTTCGAGCGAACACGATTTCCTCGTACTTGCATATGGTATCCCATTGCCAATCGTTTAGGGCTGATATATGCTTGCCATCCACGAGGAGACTGTGGCGAGAGCGTAGCGATTGCTTCTCGTCAATTTCGCCACCCGTGAAGGGCTTCAGGTCATCTACGGTATCTGGTTCAGCAGTGCCACTGAAGATACCTATGTCTCTTGCGATCGCAGCCGCAGTCAGACCGAAATCACCCGTAACCATGAAAAAGCGAATTCCTGCCCCTCGACACGCCGCCACCGTCTCTGCAGTCTCTAGTCGTGGTGGATCCATTATTCCGAAGATTCCAGTAACTGTTAAACTTTGGACACATTCAGCCAATACCTCTTCGTTGAAGTCGTTAGACCCAACAGCGGCACGGGGAGTGAAGCGTCGCTGACAGATAACAATTACACGCTCCGCTCGTCTCGATAATTCGGCTTGAAAGTTCGAGAACAGCTCCTTTGCTTTCTCATCCAGTACTTTGATTGTGTTATCGATGCCTGATCGATATGAAGTGCATTTCGGAAGTAACACGTCCGGTGCACCTTTGACGAAGACAAGATACCCATCTGTATCAGTGGGATCCCGATGAATCGTTAACATCCATTTGTTCTTTGAGTTGAAGGGAACTTGATGGATTCTTTCGAACATAGATAGCTGATTACGACCGTCAGGCATGATAGATTCAGCGAAGCGTAGGACAGCGGCATCGGTAGCATTTCCCGTGACACCTCGCTCATTGACTGGCAGAGCAATTGTCGCGGGGTCAAAAAAAGCGTCATTGCACAACAGAGATCCGCGCAGTAAGTTCTTCAGGGACTCTGACATCTCATTGCGTTGAGTATTAGGAAGTTGTTCAACATCAAGTGTCGTATCGAGCAGCCCTAGTGACCTGACTGACATCTTATTCTGGGTTAAAGTGCCGGTCTTGTCCGAACAGATGACGTTCACGCAACCCAATGTCTCGACTGTGGCAAGACCTTTGGGTAGGATATTGGCCTTTTTCATACGTTTTGCAACCATCATGAGAGTGAGAGCAACGCCGACTGGCATGCCTTCGGGTATGAAAGCAACAACGCAGCCCATCACATTGTTTAGCATTGCCACGACATTCATGAAGGCATAATGATCAACGCGCAACCAGCCGACCCAGGTAAATAGAATGATTAAGACCAGCGTGATGGTAAGGCAAATGATAATCGTGACGAACCGTGTGATCTCCTTTTGGATCAACGTTGGCTTCTCCTTTACACCAGCAGTCATCTTGGCTATGCGACCCATCACAGAGCGACTGCCAGTAAGCACCACCATACCAACCGCATTTCCGTTTGTCACATTGGTACCCATGAAAGCAATGTTCCTCGTTTCCAGAAAGTTGTTGTCGGTAGCATCTATTGCTCCGTCGATCTCATCAGATTCGCCAGTGAGCACTGCACGATCGAAGCGGACGTCTCCCGAACTTTCGAAAAGGCGCATATCTGCTGGGACCTTATTCCCAATACCAACGTACACTATATCACCAACGACAAGTTCCGTTGAAGGCACTCTTGTCTGCTTCCCGTCACGTAGGACCAGTGCTTCGGATGGGAGCAGGTTGAGTATCGAGTTCATTACATGCTTTGTAGACCAATCCTGAAAGGCAGAGAAGCTTGCTTGCAGAACAATAACGATAATGACCAAGATCGCCATCGCAAGACTAGGAACAGAGGGCGGATTGCTCAGAGGTTTCCAGCAGATGAAGAAGATAATCACGCCAATCCACAGCACCGAACAGAAACCCCCGAAGACATACCCGAGAATCTTTTTGAGGTAGTTTTCTCGGTGGTGTGCTATCACGTTCTTGCCATCGCGTTCGAGTCGTTGAGCAGCAGCTGACGAACTGAGTCCATATCTGCAATCGACATTGAGTTGTTGAGACAGTCTGTCTGTGCTGAGGATATGAAAGTCTAGGCTTTCAAAGTAGTCATGATCTGGATGCTTCTCCTTCTCTTGCCTTTCCTTTATGACCTCTTCGGTAGCTCTCTGTGCCTCCGATATTTGGATAGACAGAGTTCGAAATTCGATAGGGATACCAGCTGTCCCAGAGCTCTGTACACCACTTCGCCCGCTCTTCGCCGAGTCCCTGCTCAGAGAGCGGGGGCGATTAGACTGCTGAGATTGATAGACTCCTCCTTGAGAGTCTGAAGACGACGTGCCATCAAACTTGATGGTTGTCCGCCGTTCTGGGCGACCCAAGCGTTGTTCACCCGTTTCCAAATCCTTCTCAGAAGGATCTGAAGACGATGGTGACTCGGCCATGGTGTATGTGGCGAGCTATCAATACGGACAATAGAGGGATAGAAAGATGTAGGAAAGCTTCGAAGGCGCCACTAGGTCGTATAAGACGTGGGCAAGAGAGGTAGAGAGGTGGGAGGAAGAAGAGAAGGTAGGATTGTGAACACGGAATCAGCTTCCAGCCGTGTAGTATTTATCCTTCTGGTAATTTATAGGCAGCCATCGTTCCCAAGACATATGGAGAGGGGAAACGGGAGGACAATGTGATGGAATCAGTGTGTGTGGATATTGGTCGGAGAAGCGATACGGGTCTTCGCTTGGAAAAACCTGAGCAGCTAGCCCGATGAAACTAGCCCATGAGGGAATAAGACTGTATGAGAGAACTGACGACGAACACGAAGGATGAAAATGGATACATGCTCAAGACGAGGTATGATTCAATGACAGATGGGTTGCCGTTCTGGGTAATCCATGGACTGCCTCAGGTACCGGAAGGAGCATGGCCACTCTCCAGCTCGTATCAGATTCATTTGTAGTTGACCAGCGAGGGAATTTTCCCATCCAACAGCCTCGAACATGACAGACGCCGCTCTTGAGATCATGCTGATAGTAGTGGCAGAGTAAAATCCCGCAGCCATTTCCGTCAAAAGGCTTTTTTCTCGATAGGGTTAAATCAAGCTCAAACTAGGTCGGTGGGTGCGCCACAGTACTCCGGTACTTTGGTCGAGGACTTGGTCCACCGAGGCTCGTATGGAGCGCATACTGTATTGCGATCGACTTCTGTCGCTTAGTGTTCTCCGACTGATGGTGTGTGGTTGAGGAAAATCCCTCAAGGCATCCAAATTAAAGGAACCGTCGCCGCGTTCAGGTTCACCACCAGCTGCGTCTTTTATTCTGACCAATAACATTCTGCCCTGAACTTCCCACGCGTTTTCAATCTTTTTTCGCCCCGTCAATCCTTTTCTTTCTAAAGTAGAATGTGTCATATTGAGCTGAAGGTTTTAGTAATTTGCTAACCTCATGACATCCCAACGAACTTCGCTTGTGGCTTAAAGAGGTAATCCGAGTCGCTTGGACACCTGAGCCCTAATCCAGCCGCTCCGCTGTCGCTCTAACATGAAGGTATACTAGTAGTACCCTCCAGGCCTTAACGCTTGCTCATCTAGGTCCATGGACAAATTTTTCCTGTGTCGTGCCGAGATATGGGGATGAGCCCTTAAACAATGTCGATGCCGTGAGATTGGAAGGTCGTCAGCACAGGATAGCGTCTACCAGCTCATTTTTTCTCTCCGGCGAATTCTCTTTCAGATTGTTCGCTCTAGATATCCAGCTTCTTGGTACTATACAGGTCAACTAGTCATTGACTGAGAACATCCAAACATTTGCACGTGGCAGTCAAACAGGTTAGGTAAGAGTGCCATGGGCTATTACCGTCTCAGGACTACTGTGTGTTTAAGGTGACCTTCAGCAACCAGTCAATCTACTAATGCAGGGGTTGGTCAAGATTGATATGATGTATGTATATGAAATTTGAACTGATAAAATGTTTGTTTCTCTTTTACTTCTCTATTTTTTGGTTCTTCTTTTATGTTTTCCTGCGCCGCTCAAGCCAGGCATACCAGTCATGGTAAGTGCATCAAAAAGTGGTGATGCAGTTGAAGATCTTATACATGTTTCTCGGTGAGGCAGCAGTAAAGCTCCTATTTATCACAACAATATTTCTATGTGGGTTTCCGACATCAATAATTGCCATATTGATGAACCTGCTAAAGAAAGAACATAGAAAATGTGGCATAGTTTGCTATCGACGATACCCGAAATCAAAGTTCCATCCGTCATTTCCCCAGGTTTTTTACCTAAGAAATTCGGACGAGGGCTTTCTTCGTCCAATCCGATCAAGGACGAGGCAATTAACGCTGTACCACTCACTCCCTTACGCTGCCAGCCTTGGGATAAACAATGTCACGCCAACCCCCCTACATGGAATTTCACCAATTAGCGCAACTACTGCCCTGGGATGTACATGGTCAGTTGACCCAATACATGCAACACTTATATATAAGTGCTCGAATGTCTGATCGTGTACTCGATTGATCCGTGTACATAAAAGCTCTCTGCTGCCATACTAAATTGCAGCAAACCCCATATAGCTCACAATGTCCCAGTTACAAAATTCCTACGGTACATATACTACGCATCGCCATCATCTAAACCTAAAATCTCCCGAACATAAATCAGGCCTTAGACTGCTGTCCTCATTGACATTGCCGAATGTCCTGGCACGCTGCTGGTTACCAAAAGAATCCATCGACGATGAGGAAAGGCAGACCTTATTAACTCCCCCTTCTACGGCTCCTTCCACACTAACAGAGAGATACGGTCTATCCACCATAATCCTGCATTACGGCGTCCACAGCTCCGTAAGAGTATATGCCCGGAAATCTTCTTCCGCAGGTGCTTCTAGGCAACTCCATGTCGTCAAAATCCTCCGTCGATCATCGGACGCCCTCGTCAGAGCTACCCAGCGTTTCGAACAATCTCTCTCCTCGGCCGTGTCACACCCCAACCTCCTTCAAACCATCGATGTCCTCCAGAACGAACACGGCGAGACCTGTCTAGTCATGGACTATTGTGCCGGCGGGAATCTGAACGCACTGATTGCCACGGCCGAAGACAACGTAGACGCCCTTCAAGCAGATTGCTTCTTCAAGCAGATCATGCGCGCGGTGACATATCTTCATGACAACGCGATTGCGCATCGAGGTCTGAAGACGGAAAATATCCTTCTGACGGCCCATGGCGCGGTGAAAGTGGCCGACTTTGGGAGTGCGGAGTGGCTGCTAGATGAAGTTGCGAACGGGGAACATTCCGAGAATAGGATACGTCTGCAGTTGTCCTCATTGTACTCTCCACGAAAGTTGCGGGGATCGATACCTTACCTCCCGCCGGAGGAATTTAGTAACTATGCGGCGATTGATCCGAGGGCGGGCGATGTATGGGCCGCAGGGCTTGTGTACATGGCGATGAGATGTGGTCGCTTACTCTGGAGGATGCCTTGTGCGGACGAGGACGGGGGTTATTGTGCGTACCTGCGCGGACGGCAAACGTATGACGGATATCCTCCGATTGAAGCGTTGGAAGAGGTATGATGCAGTTCCAGGTCTGAAGGACTTGGTGAAAGTCTCTTTGTGCTGATCCTTGGCTAGACGCGTTGTCGCAATGTGATATATGCGATGTTGCATCCTGATCCTGTTCGGAGAATCAAGGCATCCGAGGTACTTCGATCTGAGTGGGTGTACTATGTACAGGTTTGTGATGCAGGGGAGATGGGGTGGTAAGTGTGGCTGACTGCGATTTATTTGGCTGGCTCCAAATGTCATATACGATAAACTAATAACAACCGTCTTGAATAAAATAATTATTTGAAGATTGGCATTGACATGCAGTCATGTGCTATCGAAAATATTAACTACAATACAAGTTATGTATCATCGAATCATACACGCTCTAGACGGTTCCAGCCGCCAACACATATCCTCCATCTACCACAATGGTCTGTCCATTGAGATACTGGTTGGTGGTAGAGAAGAGCACAGCATTGGCCATGTCCTCATCCTTACCAGGGCGAGCAGCAGGAACCTTACCCTCGTACTTCTCCTTAGGGATTTCGCTCTTCTGCTTCTCATCACTCTCGCCAGCCGTCATCTCACTGGGGAAAACACCCGGGGCGATGTTATTAACGCGAATCTGCAGACCAGACGAGGAAATCTCATGCGCCAGCATCTTAGTCAAATGGATAGCAGCAGCCTTCGACGCATTATAAGCGAAATGATGCTGGGACACCTTGACAATACCCGAAATCGACGAGATATTAACCACAGTGCTGGACCAGCCCTTTTCCTGCTCAGAGCCCTTCTGAAGCAGCGGCAAGAACGCAGTAGTAGTCATAAAGAGATGCGTGACATTCGTGCGGTACACATCATCCCATTCCTTGGGGTCAAGCGCACTGCTCTCGAACAACTCCTTACGCAGCTCCTTAGGGTCCTCCTTCTCGGTCGTCTGGGTCGAGCTGCTAATGCCGGCATTGTTAATCAATATGGAGAGGTACTTTTCGCGCGAAGAGATCTCTTGCACCAGCTTGTCAACCGAGCTCTTATCCGTGATGTCGGACGTGATGGGGATGATCTGGCCCTGGATATTCTTGTTGTATAGTTCTGCAACGCGGTCGAGCTTCTCGCCGGTTCGGCCTGTGATGTAAACTTTGGCTCCGTTGACCGCCAGAGCTTGAGTGGCCATCAGACCAATGCCCGATCCTCCTCCGGTGATGAGGGCAACTGGTTTCTGTTAGCATCTGGATCATATCGTGGAAAATGGCGTGCTCGAAACATACCTTTCCCCTTAACATTGAAGAGGTTCTCTAGCTTAAAGTTCTCGTTGCTTGCCTTCGCCTCCATTTTGATTACTTCAGATACGTTTCGGCGTGATGTAGTGACAAATAGGTTAGATGCTGATGTAGAGAATTGAGCTCTAGAATAGGCTAGGGGAGGCTTCTGGGAAGTGCTATAGCTGAATCTGTGGTGGTAGCGGATCGGACAGCTCGATTTAAGAAAGCGTGGAAGGATGTTCTGGCGGAGCATAATGGGATTGAAATATAGCTGAGTGGGAGAGAGAGTAATTTATACATCAGCGGCGCACCCAGCGCACGCAGTGGAGTAAAATGTTGATTGTTATCCATGTTGTTCTGCGATGTGGTGAGGCAAGAATTGTCTCATCAGTATGACGTCGAGTCTGCGTCGGATGTGTTCCGACTATTTTTGGTGTCCTTGCGATGAGCTAAGTCATTATTAGCTTATGTAGGTCATTGTGATATAGCCTGTGTTTAACAATATGTAATGGCTGTTCCATTATTCAAGGTTCAATATCTACAACGATGCGTGCCCTAGTCGAATAGGGTTCATGAATCTGACTTAGAAAGTGATATAAAGTGTTCGTTCCTCCAAAGGAAAATGGATTCTACTGAATCAGGAGGTTTTCTTTTATCCCCAACAATGGTTTCTTACGTTAAATTTGATAGTTGTTTCCCACGAAAACGATGATTAAAATGCCATGAACGAATCATTATTAGGCTGGAGATATATACATGCGACAGACCAGCTGCCTACAGTTTGGCCTTGGTTCCAATCGCCTCGCTCACTGGAGCCACCTCGACCATCATTTTGCCCGTGTTGACACCCCCATACAGGTCTACCAAACCCTGAGGCGCAGCCTCCAATCCACCCGGAACAATGTGTTCCTTACGCTTGATCTTACCTTGCGTCAGCCATTCCGACAGGTCCTTCAGTGCGGTCGGGTATTTCTTAGCGTAGTCGAAGACGATGAAACCCTTCATAGTCACTCGTTGGGACTAAGAAGAATGTCGTCAGCAGCTATTGAGTGTATGAAATGCATGGGAAACTTACAATGACAGTCATGAAGCTAGCTGGACCCTGCGGCTTAGCAGAGTTGTACTGACTGATCGCACCGCAGATGGCAAACCGAGCGTCGCGCGCAGCCCGAGCAAGACAAGCATCTAGAATCTCGCCTCCGGTGTTATCAAAGAACACATCGATGTACTCCGGAGTCGCATCCTTCAATTGCTTCTTCCAATCCTTGTCCTTATAGTTGATAGCGGTATCGAACCCTAACTCGTTGCGCAGGAAAGCACACTTCTCAGCGCTGCCTGCCAAGCCAACGACCCTCTTTGCACCCTTGATCTTAGCGATCTGTCCGGCCACCATGCCCGTTGCACCCGCAGCGCCTGAGACGACAACAGTATCCCCTGGCTTCGGTTGTCCCACTTCCGTCATGCCAAAGTATGCTGTCAAACCGGTCATGCCCAGCACCGACATTGCATCGGTCGGCTTGCATCCCGGAGGAATAACCACCTTTTGTGCCTCCTTTTGTCCCAGCAGGGCATACTCTTGCCAGCCGGAGTAAGCGATCACCCAGTCCCCAGCTCTGTATTGAGTTTTAAGGTTGCTTCCGACGCCGATCACTTGAGCGATACTCTGACCGCGCATGACGCTGCCACGCTCGACAGGGGCGATGTAGGATCGCTTGGCTGTGAGCCATTGCCGCATGGCCGGGTCCAGCGAAAGGTAGTGTACGCGCACAAGGACTTTGTCATCGGGGACATTGTCGGAGATAGTTGTGGTTGAGATTTTGAAGGTGCCGTTCGACAAGGAGGGATCGATTGCCGGGGAGGGCGTGTTGGCGTAGATGGCTTGTCGGTTGGTGATAGGCATTTTGGTCGAACTCAGTGGTACTTCCCGGAACTTCTAGGATAAACAAAAGTGGGTAAAGAGAAAAAGGATAGGCATATAAAGAGGCGATATTCTCCTGACTAGGACTGAAACGTTGACAAGGATTCATGGTTGCTAAGACAAAGCGACGAATGAACCTCGGCTGCTAACTCCATAACCGGATCGGTAAGTTCACTAATCACCCAAGTTGGCACAAATTGGCCACACCCCAGTAAATCTTATCATCCCCCTCACTCAGTTTACCCTTTATTAGAGGAAAACTCTTTTGTTGGCACGTCCATGGGTATAGAGATGATTTCTTAGAAAAATCAACGAATTGAGGAGCACTGCTGACTCATCAACAGAAGTATGAAGCCAAGATGATGTAAGAGCCTCAGCGGTTATCAAATCGTTATCGACGATAAAGACAACATGTTCGCTTCTTTGCTTTCTACTTCGACAAAAATCGTCATTGCTCCTCAGTCAAACGTTAAATGATGCCAAATGCCAGCCATTGATGTAATCTGGTCCTATTCACAGCTATTTTGCGCTCCCAGAGAGAGGAAGATCTACATATCTTCCATGGTGAAGAACAGCTGGAACTGCCCCTGGGGTACCCCTGACGTCATAGGTACATCAGGTGTGATGTCGCATAGTCTGGGGTGTTGACAACTCGAATATATAAGAACTGGGGGAGATGGGTCTCGTAGAGCTTAGATTTGTTCCAAGTAAAGTCAATCCTCGATTCTATGAAAGAATATCGCAAGAGTTACTAGTCTAGAAGAAGTTCAATTGCCTACAACCCTACATACAACATACTACATACATCATGAGCAGCACGCAGCCTCCTTACTATTCCTCCTCCTTCGGTGATCCCACTCAACACCCCAGCTCTTCTCAGCCGATTGGCACTCAGATTGGGGGCGTTGACCCTAGTGATCCTCGTACAGGACCTGCTCCACACACAGCTGGCCCACACAAGTCCGACCTAGCCAACAAGCTCGATCCTCGTGTGGATAGCGACCTGAGCAAGGAGAAGAAGTCAAGCAACGCTGGAATTGGTGGAGCGGGGGGCGCTAGCAACACCCATACAGGATCTGCTCAGAGGACGGCGGGTCCTCACACCTCGGACACTGGTAATAAGCTTGACCCTCGTGTCGACAGTGATAAGGACAACCGTGCCCGTCACGCACCAGGCACCGTGGCCAGTGATGCCCGTACAGGGCCTGCTCCTAGAACTGCTGGGCCCCATGAGTCCGACATGAGTAACAAGCTTGACCCCCGTGTCGACAGTGACGTAGATAACCGTGCATCGGGGGCTGTGTCAAGCAATCCTCATACTGGACATGCTCAGAGAACTGCCGGTCCACACGATTCTGATATGGGTAACAAGCTTGATCCTCGTGTTGACAGCGATGTTGATAACCGGGCCCGCCACGCACCAGGCACCCTGGCAAGCGATGCTCGCACCGGTCCTACCTCAAGGACTGCTGGTCCCCACGAATCTGACATGGGCAACAAGCTTGACCCTCGCGTGGACAGCGACCTCGACAACCGCGCTCAGTATGCGCCACAAACCACTCACAACCGTAACACCTCTCACCTAGCCGGTACTGGGGCCACTACTTCGAGCACTACTGGTCCCCATAGCTCAAAGATTGGCAACAAGATGGACCCTCGTGTTGACAGTGACCTCGACAACCGCGCTCAGTACGCCCCCGGCACTACCAAGACGGGAAACGAGAACCCCTACGTGACGCAGGACACCTCGCTCAGCAGCGGTTCCAACGCTGGTCCCCATGAATCTAAGATGACGAACAAGCTCGACCCTCGCGTGGATGCCCAAACGGGCAACGTATCTTCCAAGACAACCAGCCAGCCTCATGGCTCCCAGTTTACGGGTAATACTCATTCTCAATATGGGACCAATGCCAATGAGCTATCTACTGGCGCCGGGTACGCGTCCAGCGGGGTAGGATACCGACCGGCACAGTCATCCGGCAGCGCACCTGGGTCCAAGTCTGCTCAGAAGGGTGCAGACATTGGTTCCAGTGTGAAGGGAGCTTTTGCTGGCGCTCACGTATGTGATACCCCTGATTATACTTGAACAGGGCCTAACATTTTCTGAATAGGGGATGGGAGAATCTCTCCGCGGTGGTCTAAATGCGGCAGTTGATAAGACGTTTGGCCACGAAGAGGGTGTCGCAAAGAACGATGCTATCGCCAGCCAAGGTGAACAAGAGATGCGCAGTGGAAACTTCAGCCGAGGAAATGCTTGCTGAGATGGCTACCCTGGTTGATTATGGGTTACGACGCTACGATGAATTTGTATTCTAGGAATATGTTTTTCTAACTTTCAAAATTTTTTATGACAATTGGTGGAAATGAGATTGGTAGTACAGTTTCTGTATTAAATTAAGTCTGAGAGCCGGTCTATATACCAATGATTTTGATTCTATACGCATACGAAGACATAAAAATTATGCCTTCTCTATTGCATACTCAGGTCGAATTTCCCCGGAAGTAGCGGAAGTTTCAATCCTGCGCTATCAGTAACCAGATCTACGTCGATAGATGGAACCAATCAAATGGGCGGCGGGAACCACAGTTGATGTGACCGATCCGATCAGGTGCATGCAGGATGACTTCACGAACCAAATTTCAATCACTGTGAAAGCTTTGGACGCGATGTAATGATGAACACATTTTTCTTTGTTTTTTCATAGGGCCACAACACGTCGTATCCGACAGACAAGCAATTTCCACCCTCATGGTCACGATGGGTTTGTGGATCCTTTTCCCACATGCCCAAACCGTTTTGATGTGTAAGTTTTCAAACTATTGCTCAGGAAATCGCACCCATGAATAATGATAATAATAATAGCAGGGAAAATAAAAATAAAAACTGACGGAGAACACTCTTACAGGAAGCTTCTTCCGGACTTGCCGGAGGCTGTGCAGTCACTGTAGTGGGGACCTCTCTCTCTCATTTTTTTTTATTATTGCTTTTTTCCCTCTTCTTCCAATTCCTATTACACACACTTCTCCACTGGGAGCAACCACAGACTGATCAATGATCCATTGAGTTAAGGAACGGCGGAGCGAAAAGAAAAGAAATAAAAAACGGAGGAAAAGGAACGGTATTGAGATTACTAAACGTGGAAGCCACGAACCAAGTAACCCACTAACAAAGGTTCCGTTTCCTTGGTATCGGTAGTACGAATACGATATCCAACAAGATAAAGCATCAATCCTTGGGCTCCATCTCTCAGACATTTTTAGCCCGTTGTTAGCTCGACTCCAGTTCGACTATTGCCATTCACGCCTTTTACATGTGATTGCTCCTGCAGATTGTTCCTGTTGGTATCGTTATTTCTATCATTGCAACCATTGTTATTAGAACATTTCTTCCTTTGCGTATTTCTTTCTTTCCTCATATACAACTTCGTCATATCGTCGAATTCGAAGCATCACCTTCCCTGCATGTGTGATCCGAAGTTTTTCGCCGTCATCACTCATACTGCCCTCGAATATGGCTGTCCCCGCAGCTCCACCTGGGAGCCATGATCCGGTCAATGCCGCTGGGGAGCCCTCGCGGTTTCTGTCGAGACCTTTAATTGCTGGAAATACCAGCTCTGACAGCGATGAGCCGGTCGTAAACGGCGTGGATGTCGCTCGAGAGGACGAGGCTGACGGTATGGTTGGTGTCAGCATCGGTCGTGCCCAAAGTCGTATGAAGGCCCGTTCCACGCCGGCGGAGGAAAAGACACGCGCGATGGAACACAATGGGGGCTATTTTGACCCCATTCCAGACACCGACGACTCGAGCGGTCTTTATACCTCCGAGATCACTGATGAACCAGAGGAACTACCACAGAGCTCGAAACCAGAAGCTAGCCAACCGTCAGCTTCACTCCAGAATGTGGCACACCAAAACGGAACAGCGTTCTCTAAAGACGGCTCCAACAGTCGCACCAGTTTCACCCGGTCGATCTTAAAGAACGGCTTGCCCCTGCGTCCTCGGGCTTGGTCGGGCGATACCATGAAAAAGTTCCTGCCCGATTTAGGATATCTTACTAAACGGACTTCTTTGCCTTTCCGCTCTTCCCAAAATCGCTCCCGCAGTCAGACCCTGAAACCCTCCTCGTCCAAGTTGGCACTTGACCAGGAGGGAGAGTCTCATGCCAAGCCAAGACGCAGATCGTGGAACGATTCCGACTCGAATAACGTGCTCGTTGATGAGCCAATCTCCGATCTGAAACCCATCGACGGCGCGACGGCAGCCAAGCATTCATTTACCCGTCGGCCCAGCGCGACTGTTTCAGGCGCCCCGTTGATGCTTAGGAGATCATCTTCTGACCAATCCTTGTATCTGAGAGCATCATCTACTGCATCATCACTCGATCAGCGCCCCCAGTATGAGCACATTCACTCTCAAGTCAACAGCCGGTTCAAGGCCATCAAGGATAGTCTACAGGACTCGAGCAGCCGCCTGCTTAGCATGCCTAGCTTGCACTTGCAGGACTTGCGGAGTGACTGGGGCTATAAACCGTTCCTGGGAGATGTTGCGAATCGTAAAGGCAACAATTACGCCGATGAGCCGCCACCTACGAGTGACGCGCCTCGAGAACAAGCGCCACCTCAACTTGGAGCGCGTCCACCGCGAGTTAACTCCAATTCATGGCACCCCGTATTAAATGAGGCCGTGTCCGCATTAACTGGTGATGTTGTTATAATGGGAGGCTACCGAGGATCTATCTTACGTTCCGCCAAACCACCACAGCGTCAACTGTGGGTTCCAATGAAAGTTGGGCTCAATCTTCGCAAAGTAGACCTTGAAGTAGGCCTGAACCCGGAGGATGAGGAGCGCATGGAAGAAACGATTATTCCATCAGGGGTTCTATCGCACATCGGGCCAGTTGACATCTGTCGTCGACTGATGAAGCACCTCCGGAAGTCCGAGAATGCCGTCAAAGGTGATCTCCGCGTATGGGATTATGGCTACGATTGGCGCTTGAGCCCACATCTCCTCTCGAAAAAGCTGATCAAATTCCTGGAGGGCTTACCTTGTAATGCGCCCGGTGTTCCGCCCGAAAAGCGGGGGGCTTATGTTATTGCGCACAGTCTCGGAGGGTTGATCACCCGCCACGCCGTAAATCAGCGTCCGGAACTCTTTGCTGGTGTTCTCTACGCCGGTGTCCCGCAGCACTGTGTCAATATCCTCGGCCCTCTTCGCAATGGGGATGACGTATTGCTCAGTTCCCGTGTCCTCACGGCTCAAGTGAACTTCACCTTCCGGACCAGCTTCGCCCTCCTTCCCGAAGACGGGCACTGTTTCATCGACAAGCGCACCAAAGAAGAATATCGTGTGGACTTCTTCAACGTCCAGGATTGGGACGAATACCGGCTCTCGCCCGTCATCAACCCAGCTCTCCCGCCTATGACAAACAAGGGCTTCGGTCTCGGAGGCAACATTGGGAAACGCTTCTCCGCTGTTTTGGGTAGCAAAGATAGCTTGCCATCTGAGGATACACCTGACGACGATCAACAAGATCCGAACCAGCCCGGCCGCAGCAATCCAAATCCCACTACCGACCCAGCTGAAAAACTAGCCCCGAGCATTGAGGGTGTTGTTGGCCCAACGTCCAACCTCCGCGGCTCGGCCAACGTCAAATCCACCACTACCGTTACCATTCCACGAGCCACAGCTATCACCTATCTCGAACGCACCCTCTCCGAAGTCCGTCGCTTCAAGCAAGAACTTGCATTCAACCCCTCTCATCAATCCAGCAACAGCTACCCACCTTTCGCAGTTCTATACGGCAAATCTGTTCCTACCGTCTATGGCGCGCGCATCTCGACACGCGAACAAATTAAACATCAGGATGCCTACGATGACCTCGCATTCGCTGCAGGAGATGGTGTCTGTCTCGCGTCCGCAGCAATGCTGCCCCCAGGCTATCGAATCATCAAACATGGCCTGGTGAGAAGCGATCGCGGTCACGTCGGGTTATTGGGCGATCTGGAAGGCGTCGGCCAATGTCTTCGGGCTTTAGTGCGCGGAAGACGAGAGGGTGTAGGAATAAGCGATTCACCATTATCGACCTGATGATACCTTCCCGCTTTTATATTATCTCCCTCTTTTGCAACGATACCCACTCTCCCCTCTCCTATGCAGGAAAAGCCATCCTCATTCTGTCACCTTACACAATAAATCCTCTCCATACTTATTCCTGACGTTGTTTTGGATCATGCTCACGATGATGATCATACGAGTAATGACAAAAATTGCATTACATCTTCACAATATCCCAAAGAAAGAACTATATCTTGCATAAGGTGCTACGGTGCTATGTCTATATATATTTACTGTTTATAGAGAAACCTGTACATACATCAAATCTATCTGTTACTTTTCATCTTCTGCGTTGGGAACCGTAACCACATAGTCTATATTCATCTCATACAACTGTCCCGATATCTAAGCAAAAGAAAGGAAATAGATAGAACCCCTTTTTAAAGAAACAAAAAACCGAAATTGTATAATATGAAACACGCCTTATGCCAACATGAAACGAAGAAAAAACAAGGCATGACAGGACATGATAAATTTTGAAAAACCCTCCTCTAACCCGTCCGGGAGTTGGCAATGGTCAGGACTAGGATGTCTGTCGCGCCGACCTTGGTCAGCTCGTCCATCACGGTGGCGATCTTCTTCTTCTCGACCATCGAGCTGACGGCTACCCAGCCGTCAGCCTCGAGGGCGGTCACGGTCGGGGCACGCTTTCCTGGGGTGATGCTGGAGGCAGTGGCGAGTTCAGAGCGAGGGATGTTGTACTGGCACAGGACGTATTTCTGTGCGGCTGTAGTGAAGAAAGACATGTTAGCCAATGCAGGGTCAAGGATGGGTGAGAGTCTGAGAGCTGCAGAGGAGAGGGCAACATACTGATGACACCACGGATACGAGAGGTGATGAGTTCGACAAGAGGGCTCTGGGCCTTCCGGGACTTGACGAGAACAGAGGTACTCTCGACAACGGTATCGATGGCCTTGAGACCAGCAGCCTTCATGGTTTCACCAGACTCTGTGTGACATACATTAGACAAATTTCAGCGATTAGGATGGTGACATATCATCAACATACCAACAAGGTCGACAATTCCATCAGCGACACCCAATGCGCAAGCAGCCTCAACACTGCCACCAACATACTTGATCTTGGTAGAGAGCTTGCTGGTATCGTCAACACCCTCAAGCTTAGCGAAGAAGGCCTCGGTGAGGGCCGTGAAGCTGGTAACCACGTTGCGGCCAACCAATTGCTTCGCCTCGGTGATGTCACCCTTCTCCGGAACTTGCACCTGCAGCTTGCAGCCTCCGAAACCAAGGTCCATGATCTCCTCCACGCCAGAGATCTCACCGTTCGCCATCTGCGCATCGTGCTCAGCGACTTGGTCACGACCGGTGATACCGAGGTCGACGCGACCTTCGCCGACGAAGGTGGGAATATCTGCGGCGGGGAGGAAGATGAGGGCAATGGGGAGGTTCTTCACAAGGGCGATATCGAGGCGGGTTTCGCGACGGAATTGAATGTCAACGCCGGCAAGGAGGTCCAAGGTTGCCTGTTGGAGCCGACCCTCTGTTCTCAGAGATATGCGTATTAGCTGGAGTTCATGTTTCCTCCTGACAGGTTTGGTGTAGGAGGGCTAATGGGGCAAGTTGCGAAAGAGTGGTGGGGTGAGTCCTGCCGGGCTACTTGCTTTTAGGGACGGCGAAAAGGAGTCTTCCTTCGAGGCTGGACAGAGATTGTTAGTATGTGGAAGACACATTTGGAGGCCATTGCCTGTCTGAAGGTCTGCATGGTGGCATGGAAGCGATTGACTCACTGATTAACGAGATCCATAGTGACGATCAACCGCGCGGGGTAATTGTTGGAGGGATTGGAAGGGATGGGAGGGAGTGTAGCGGGCAGATTGTACAGTATATGAGAGTATGAAAGAAGATTAAGTCAGTGCAGGCAATATATGAGGTCCTACACGGCGTAAAATGACTCAGTGGGTGTTTCGCAGGGATGGGGCGAGTTGGGCCGGAGCAATGAACGAAATCGGAGCACCGCAGACTCTGAATTGGTGGGGGTTCTTGCTGCCTATATCCTCAGGTATCAACCGCGCATTGTGGAACCTCCAGCCGGTGATGCCCTACGAATCAGGCAATCAGATAAGCATGCTCTCGAAAGCAGTAATATGATTGGTTGATTAATGGACCAATGTTCCTGACAGAGGACGGCATTTGATGGATCCGCATACTAGTACTAGTTGGATGTACATTAGTAGTACATACTACTAATTAGCCTAAATCGTCCTTTGCGTGCCTGTGAGTACTGATAAGAAAGGACACACATCTCTCACATATTGAAGACTCAACGAGTCTAAATTTTAACAAAGCGTCCTTCAGCCGCTAGTACTTGACCGTGAGCGTTATGTCATGGAAGAACTGTACCGGTCTCCTGCTGCTTCAGTCACAACGAGGAGTTAAAACCCATATTTTCCTATTATACATATAGTGGTCTCTACTGCAACAACGCTAACATGCTTCAAAATACCAGGTATCGCGACATGATCATGATAGATAGGCCTTACTTGGTCCACCGTATCCAGTTATAACTGCTCCGCGCTGCTGATGAGTTGTTCAATCAAAGTCTCGTCGGCTTTTGCAGGATCAGATAAGACGTCTCCAACCGTCCTCACAAGTCCAGCTAGTCTCCGGCGGCGTATTTTCTGTTCTAGTTCGGCACTCTTCTGTTTAGCCAGCTCGATTAGAGGTGCTGGTAAGTTTGCTAGACGCGCTACGTTTAATCCGTAACTGCGATGCGCTACGCCCTCTCCCACCTCGTAAAGGAACGTGATCTCTTCTTCCGTCAACCCCGACTCGGTAAAACGCATGTGTACGTTCCGAAGTTCATGGTCAGGGAAGGAGTGTATCATTGAGGAAAGGTGTTGATAGTGGGTGATGAAAAGCGTGAGACTTTGGATTGACCGAATCATATAATCGAGAACCGCTTGCGCAATTGCAACACCATCGTGCGTAGACGTGCCTCGACCCAGTTCATCCAGAATGACAAGTGAGCGAGGCGTCGCTTGTTTTAGGATATCTGCTGTTTCCGAAAGCTCGACCATGAATGTGGATTCTCCAGCCAGCATGTTGTCAAAAGCTCCCATGCGGGTAAACACAGCATCTAGCATACCAAGCTTCGCTGACTGTGCAGGCACGTAGGAACCAATCTGTCCCATAATGGCTATGAGTGCCACTTGTCGAACATAGCTAGACTTCCCGCCCATGTTAGGGCCTGTAACAAGAAGAGCACGGGTCTTGTCGCTGTCCAAATCAATATCATTGGGAACATAGCTGTCCAACAAAAGTTGTTCAACCATTGGATGACGCCCTTGGTCAACATGAATGCATGTGCGGTCCGTGTATTCGGGTTTCACGTAGCCAGGCTGATTAGCGATAGTCGCAAGAGAAATTAGGCAGTCGAGCGTCGCAAGGAACTGTACACTATCACGGAAAGATTGGTAACTGGCGGATATCTCACCCAGGAAGCTTGCGTACGCCTTATCACAACCCGCCGCTAAAGCCTCCTTATGCTGATCCCGCTGTCGTAGAAGCCTGATAACTTCCGGGGTATGAAATCTTGAAACTGCTTTGGTACCAGATATTTTTACCCACGATGCTGGCACTTTTTTGATGGACGGTGACTTGTTTTCAACCGCAATCAGGTATTCAATGCCCGCAACTGTGACGTATTCTACTTTCTTTTTCCCAAGACACTCACCAACTGTGGAGCGATGTTCTTCAAGATCGTGTTCCACAGCACCAATTCCAAGCTTGTGTTCAGTAATCTCATCTGTCTCCTCTGATTCTCTGAAGAACTCATATTTGTCGTCATTCTTCGCTGCATGCATGTTTATTTTGTCCAGAAAGTGCACGACATCTTCTAGGATTGTTGGAAGAGATGCTACTGCTTTGCTTATGAGAGGCGACGAGAATCCAGTATCGGCAGGAGACTGAACACCAGCAAATTCCTGCGCAATCATCTGTAAAGTTTGGAGGAGAGTGAGAAGCTCGGGCCGGGTGCACTGTGGGTTGTTTAGCATTAGTTATCGCGGAAATGGTTCATCATGGATTACCTTTCCGTAGTAAACCCTGATCAAGGACTTTTCCAGATCAGTCTTGATTCTACCAAGCAGACCCTTCAGCCGTTCTACGAGAGCGACCCTTTCTGAGCTCTTCAGTTCCTCAACAGCGTCCACTCTTTCTTCAAGGCTAGATTTATCTAGCAAAGGACGTCCCACCCATTTACGTAGCATTCTTTGCCCAAAACGGGTCTGTGTTCGATCCAACGTCCAGAAAAGACTGCCTTTGGTGGAGTGATCTGTCTGGTTATGATATATTTCAAGACTGTTCAAAGTATTTGCGTTGAGAAGCATGTGTGATCGAGACGAAAAGTGTTGGAAATACTTTGTAAGCTGGAAAACGTGCTCCAAGCCATACTCTGACATATGTTTAATCATGGAAGATAAGCAGATGGTGACCTGTTCGCTTAGATTGAGCACCCGCTGAAGCAGGCTGCTCGCCTGCGCATCATCTGTGGCGTTCGCATTCTTCATCCTCTCCGCGTAGAAACTCGAGACATGGCTATGTGACTCGGCCGCCGCCGTTTTAGCTTTAGGGAACTTCTCAACGCGAATCTCGTCACCAAAAGCATTAGTCTTGTTCCCAGACAGGTGTTGAACAAGCTTTTCCGTGGCTCTTGACAAATCACCAACTATAAGAACCTCACAAGGGGCCAGATGAAGGAGTCTAGTTTCGATCTCGCTTCTCATGAATCCGTCTTCAAACTCGTCATACACTATGTCACCTGTTGCTGGCTGAACAGCAACAATGCCAACATTCACCTTTTCGTCATTTCCCCAGCCTTTTGCATTTGTCTCTGTAATACAAAGCATGTACCCCGTTGCCATTGAAGTACCAGCGGCTGATATAGACGCTGTAGATCCTTCCAGGCCCTCCATATCATCAATATACGTACCCTTTGTGTATAAATTGGTGAGTTTGCGTCCAAAGGGCGCATTGCGATTATCGCCAGCAGCTTTAAGGGCAGCGGTTTCCATTTGTCGGACAACTCCGACTTTGTGTCCGGCCGAAACGAGACGCTTAACGTGAACATGCAATCTATGCACCGGTATACTTGCCGATGCAAAGCGGTCAAGATGGGCCTCCGAAGGATCTAAAACACTTTGAGTAAAGGCGAGGAGAACGAGGTAGGGCGTGAATTGAAACCGATACTTACGTTCATCGAACCTGAATTTTCCAGGAATACAGACAATATTCAGCTCCTTCGCAGCTGTTCTAGCATCCTCGCCAAAAAACCGGAACTTGTATCCCACCTCTACTACCAAAACCGTATCCATATGTTTCCGCTTGATATCAATAACCTGCTTCTCCATAGGAGTAAGCTTGTGCCCGCCTTTCTTGGTCGCGGCTTTCCCTTTAGCTGCAGGGGGCGGAGAGGTTTCGTCATCCTCATCGCCCTCGCCAACTTCCCCGGGGACAGCTTCATGGGCCGTACTTCTGCCAATTCCGATGAGACAGTCCGGTCCACCTAATCTCCGTACAAACTTCTGGTGCAGCTTCTCTCTTTCTTTTGTCCGTTCTTTCGTTTCTCCCTCCGTAGCTGGCGAGCTGGCGAACTTGGAGAGCTCCGTTTTTTGGCTACTGTCCGATAACCTAGGACGCTCAATGTGGGTTTCTTTTGGAGATTCGGTGGTGTTTTGTGAATAGGACCCGTTTGTTCTCGCTCGCTTTGGCGCCGGAGCAACCACATCGTCCTCATCATCAACATTGTTTAACCGAGTACTGCAATTTTCCTTTAAGACTTCTTCCTTTTTTGTAGCCTCTTCCCCTTCTTGACCTCCTTCATCTTTTTCCAGTGCATCATTCAAGGTGCTTTCCTGCGAGAGTTGTGGCTTCTTTGTGAAAAAGCTCGAGATGGTCGGTTGTTTTCGCTTCAAATTTGGAGAAGATGACGGTTGAGAAGATAAAGGCATCGTTTACTGCCCGGGTGTTTATCGAAGCCACATAGGCTTCAATACAGGTGCTTTATTGCTTGGTACTCCAGGAAGAAAAAAAAATTCAACGAGATAGGCGAGATGGAGTAATGAATCAGCGGCGAAGGGAGAGGTGGCAAAGGAAGCTCTCGGCGATAGGTTTTCGTAAAAAGCATTCGAGATAGACCTAGTAAACAAGCATTAGAGGCCAGAATACCATGCTGCCATTAGCTGTTAATTGTCGCGCATGGTATTAATGTCTCGCTGCTCAAAACATCTAATGAAATCCTTGGCAAGTCCGCGGCTTCGGAGCTTAACGCGTAAAAAGACGCGGTAACCGTGTTCCATTTACTTGTTACGTACTCCGGAGTGACTTTACACTACGCACCAAACAAGATTCCTCCACTTTACTTTTCCGCTCTAGGTCCGACTTGGAGCCGCTTTTAGCTCACTGAGCGGCGCTGAGCGTGGGGTGAGCACAGAAGTGCGTCTCCCAAACTAAACATGTTCATACTCTTGTTGTGCACCAATAGCATGACTCTCATTTCTTATCAAAGTTTAGCTTAACATTCAACTATAGAACACGACCATTAATGACTTATGGATGATGTTCTTACCTATTATTTTGGACATCGACATGTTTCACGGCGCCAGGTATCTTGGGTCTTTTCTATACTATAGGTAAATTCCTCGACAAGCCGAGCAGGGTGGGGATTTGAAAGTATATTCAATGCTGACCCAGTTGCCATGCAACATGAATTGGAAGCCCAAATCCAAACCACCCAGACCTTTCTAAAGCTCCGCTAGTAGATGCGAACCAGTTCTTTTAGAAGAGTCCCATCTACATTCGTCATTCCATCAGCCCTGCCAGCTGGATCCTGCAGCCACGCGGTGTCCGATCTCTTGGTACGATATGCACATACAAGGCTACGTCCTTCAGTAGAGGGCAAATCTCCATATGCTACAACAAGCAACAAGACTGACATTCTAACCCCACAGACGGTGTATGTATACTACTTCATCAAGGCAATGTCCCAGCGTGCCAGCAAGCCACGGAACAAGTGATAAGTACCAGAAAGGAGGTATAAATTATGAAGCTATGTTGTACGCGGATGGTCTGGCGAAGTGCCTGGCTATAGTGAATGTTTCATCATGAGATGTTTCGTAGCGTACCGCTAAGTGAGAAACGTATACGGGGTCGAGGACCAAGTCTTCTACTAGTAGTTCGCCCCGCTGGCACCCGATTGCTAATATCAATTAAAGCCCTAATAATCCCTCCTTTCACCCCTACACACCCAATATGTCCATCTAACATCTATTTTCCTGCACCCATTCCTGCCTCAGCGCAGCTGCATGGATAAAAAATTTTTTTTTTTTTTTGGTAAAATTTCGCTAGATTATCGATGACAAGCTACCTATAAAAATCTCAGTCTTGTAAAGACCGAACCAAGGAGTTGTTTTCAGATTAGTGGCAATCTACGCTTCTATCCAAACAAAACATCTTTCCTTCTGTCTCCATAATCAGGCTCGCTCAATTCTTCCTCAGCAGCCTTGCGAAGAGCAGCAGCACACCCGTAGCCCCGATACTTATCCCCGAGTACAGCTGTATGCCCAGATACAATCCCGTATGATCCAGAATAGCCCCTGCAACAGGCGAACCGCACAAGGACCCCAAGCCACACAACACTGAACACATGCCCATTCTTGTTCCCAAGGTCTCAAGATTCGGAGTGAGGGTGGTCAAAGCAACAGCGGGCAGTGCAACAAAAGTGCCGGAGAAAAACCCATATAAGACGGCGAATACAATCAAGCCACCCGAGTCCGAAATAGCGATCCAGCACAGCGACAAAAGCCCACTGATAATGGCACTCCCCAGGAGGATGCTCAAATGACCAAGATGACGGGCCAGAAGTCCCGGAATAATTCTCCCTGGAACGGAAGCAGCATTGAGGATGGAGACTAGATAGAAGGCGAGTGGTTCTGCCATAGCGTGCTTCTGGATGGCATAGGCTTCAATGTAGAAGATGGGTTGAAAAAGCCAATGTAGCCAAAGAACATGGCCAAGCAGGAAAGAGCGTATGGGGTCTCTTTAAAGGCGGAGAGTTCTGTTAGGACCCGTCTGTGGTTTGGTGCTTGACGCACGCGCATGACGCACAGGGAAAATGCACTTGTTGCAAGAGCTATAAGTCCGAGGACTCTCGTAGACCATCCAAATCCGATGCGAGGCTGGAGTTGACGAAAAACGATGGGATAGAGGACGCCGCCCAGACTGCTTCCGGACCCGGCGAGGGCGGTTGTATGTTAGTAGAGCGTTCTGCAACGCAGTGGGGACAACATGAGATCGGTACCACGAGTTGAAGAAGAGGAAAAAAGATCCTGCCACCTGCAACCAGGCCCGGAGACCACCATTCGGCGGCATAGTATAGGCTGTGTTCTGCTCGGGGGTATGCGAATTGACCTCTTTGATTGGCCCGGGCTTTTCCATGGTGTCACTCTGCTGGTGCGACATTTTGGTTGTCATACAGAGGGTAGAGGGATGATTGTTCAAGATGATGCCTGGAGGATTCTGAGTCGAATCTTGGAGCGAATACTTAATCCGCCAGGAATTGAGTAATCGCAGCCTATTGTACCGTTCCTGGAGAATGGATTCCCCGACTACCCGCATTTGGAGCTACTAAACATGTTCGACTGGATCGATTGGGATGGGAGTATTGGTGGTTGATGTTTCAGGGCGTACCAAGTACCGATAGTCTATAGTCGAAGATTCACCACTTGTGTAGAAACCAGCAGTTAGTCGGTATGAGAGAACACAGAGGAGAGATATGGATAATGAAGAATTGTTCAAGAAAATCAAATGGGTAGGGCAGGATTAATCAAGCGTAAGCGGATTACTTGCTCGAAGAGTCATCTGCGTAGTCATTCAAAGCACCACACCCCCATCACTGTGCAGACCACCATAGCTCTATCAGCAGTATCTGATCCCTCTATATAGCCAACCTCTGAACCATGTCAAATGATGTATCAAATGTTCCCTTTCTAATGCAAAAACACGACCGTAAACCAAAGATGACTACACCAGTCACGCCCCCCAAGCACAGGAAAAGAAAAGAGTGTAGATTCCTAAGGAGACATAGATATGTACTATCACATCCCATTCCGCCCCTTCCCATAATTGGGTGCCCGACCGACTGTGGATTACGTTAACTAGTTGCCCCTGTCCTAGTAATATTCTCAGATTTCATGGGTTCATATTATGGATTTAGAGAAAGTGTTACTTTACACACGGTTTAGAGAGCCGGTTCCAGTCACATAGGAGCTGCTCAGGGATTGCTACCCCAATTGGGTAAACAAATGGGATATCCATTGCGGCAGCATAGTTCACAGTCACTACTAACTATTCCGCCCTCAGTGAAAAATTAAGAGTTGACAGGTCAAGACGATGACAAATAACACTTATTATCTATGTGAAGCATAATTTATGCGTTTGATAGTTGAAATGGTGCGTGAGTAAGTACTGATGCCTCACCCAACCATGTGCATCGATCGTGATGAATCATTATTCATGCTTTATAGAACGTCGGCTATAATTATACGCGGGCAAGTTCGGCGCAGGCCTCCATCTTTATGCAGCAGCGACACTGTTCTTAGTCATCCCTTCCCTGAATCCTGCTAGATGGTACGCGAAAAGTCGGCCTGCCCAATATACAACGCCAATGATGGCCGGAGGGTGAGACTCCTTAGCATTCAGGTCAGGTCCATTAGGTTCAAGGTGTCTAATGTTTTGGATCGCACGGTATGGCTTTCGGTCCGGTTCTGCCGTGAAACGGGCTTGTGGTATAGAAAACAATCAGAATGCAAGCAGTAATCAAGAGTGCGACAAGAAAAGAGGGCATAGCAATGACAAATCCTAGCAGGAGCTCCCATCCAAATATAGTCGCTCAAAATCATCATCTTCGATATCGGAAATGGTCGCCTCAGGAGACGTCACGTACGTTGCATCCTGAAAAGAGAGACCGTTGCTGGTGTCCATGGTGTATATAGGATTCTCTTCAGCTGATAATTTTGGAAACGAGGCTGCTAGCGGATTATATGAATATCCTACATGACTATCGTGCCCATCGAACATGTTTAGCTCGATGCGTTGGCTATCGCCGAAAAGAAACTGTGACGGATAACCAGTATTACTGGCTAGATGTCGCTTGATGACGGGAGAGTGCCAGCCTACAAGAGGATCGATTCGGCCGTGAGCATCCGATAGAGGATCAATATTCTCTTTGTCCGTAGTGAAACGGCAAAGCCTCTCTGCAAATTCTGAGATATAATTGCTGGAAAGTACCGAGCTAGGGGTGCGAGTTGTGGTAGCTTCTTGTTGCAGGAAGAGCGCATCAGAAGATGCAACTAGTCCAAAGTGCAAACCATCACCACAATGTTGGTCTGAAATATTTTGGTTTGGTGTGTCACAGAAGATCTTTAACCCAGTGCGCGACCTAGACTCAGGCCCATTGAATGTCAATGCGAAGTCGTCCGCGCTCTCTCCATGAGTTAGTTGATTACCACCACTTGGCGCTTCTGGGGAGGTGGCTCGCGTGAAATATGAATCTCTGTGGTTCAAGTCCTGCCCAACGGTGATCGGGACATGTTTAACTACTTTCTTCTTCCGCTTCCTGTCCTGTCCACGTTGAATGTTGGCGTCGGTTTGAGAGAGGGCACGTTTCAAACGAGTTGATCTCCGCCTTGGTATCGGTGTTTCCCCTTTTAGAGGACTACTGTCCTCTACATTGCCAGAGATCACACGCTGTTTCCGTAAGATTCCGGTAGGGGAAAATATGAGTTCTGTAGGCTCAACACCCATGGAAGTCTTCTCCATCATCCTAAGAGCACTTTCATCCTTCTTCTGATTGCGTTTGCGCCTCATTTGCGCAGTGGCCGAATCGAAGATATCCATTCCCGGCCAAAGAACCCCTTTGAGTCTAGCGATCTCATCCACCCTGTCCTTGTCCACTTCGCTCTCGATGTCATCAACAAGGGGATCGTAACTTAATAGTTGTCGATTTAGCAACTGCGAGGCCATTTGCGCTGTGTGTCCCAACGTTTTAGACCAACTAGGCGTGCATTCCAAGTCAAAGCCTCCCTCATCGTCTGAACCAAACACACGCTCTTGCTTCCACTGGCAGGCCGCGGCTTCTGTGGAGATTTGAGAACCAGGCGTAGGGTGCAATAAATGGCTCGATTCTGCGTTTGCTTGCACATCGCGATTTGGAGAAGCGACCCCAGTGACGCAGTCCGCAGAGACATATGTGCCTCTGTCGCTATCATCATGCTCCATATACACACCTGACGTAACGAGGCGTGGGTCTAAGTAATCAGGAAGCGCGTTGCCATGTGGCGAGCGTACCGGCCCTGTAGGACTCTTGTGCCCATGATCTTCCTTTGCAGGGCACGTTTTGTCATGAGGTGCCGCTGTTCCGTGGATCCTTTTCCTACGAGCATCTTTCGAGGCTAATCGGTCAGAGAGTAATTTCGCAAGGTTATTGGCCTTGTACCATCGATCATATTCATCGAGGAGGATAACTGCTTGGGATTCTTGATGACTGCGGACTTGTAATTTAAAGTAATGAGAAAGGTGAGCCTTGGATGAAACGTGAGTCAACAAATGGGACACATCACTAAATTTGGGTTTTTTGGGGCATATGTTGCAGAAAAGTGCAGCCGCATCCATCGTAGATGACCTTGAAGGAAAGTGAAAGAGCCAATTAGGTCGAGATCAAAGAGGCAACAGGTTAGAGCTGCCAGGTGCAAGTCGTTACATGCATAAAGCCTAAACAATCCAAATACTGGGCGAAAAGCCAATATAGAAAGACTGGCCCTCGTGGCGGTAGACTGAAGATATCAGAAGACTTGCCCTGCAGAATCGAAACTGGCAGGGCAGGTGCTAGAATGGGGAGAAAGACATATTCTGTTCCACATAGGCAACTGGAGAAGGAACTCCTCACAAACTTCTAACTGGGCAGGCACCTGCTTGAACACGACTAGACCGGACAAGGCACTTCACCGTGACCTCCACCAAAGTACATACAGTAGCATTTACTACTGAGAGCCTCGAGGGCGTCAGGCAAGAGCAAATGAATAAAATTGGGAACCTCAAGTCATCTCTCAAATGTACAATTTGAATTCGTATTGAAAGATAAAAGACACTGCTACCATTATGGGTTACATAAGACCATGGAAGATCATGTGCCACTGTGTCTTAACAACCTTTTTAACAGGTTATTGTGAGGGGGTATGAAGCGGAAATAAGTCACAGTGCCAATTATTCTTCTCCTGCCTTGTATCCCATAATCCATGAAATGAAGGCAAAATGGGTTATTAGATTGCAGGAGGTGCTAACTACGAACAATCGAGTAAAGTAACCGTTGTCACTTCGATAAACACTTTGTTATTGCTTTCGGCATACAACTAGCCCTCGTTAGCGCCCCCCTGCGGTTATAGGAACTTGAAGACAGGTAACTCACTAAACAGGATCTACTTCTCCAACACCGTCATACCCCAGGAGACTCAACCCAGCGAGGGCAAAGTGTGTATGGAAAACGTCGACCATATTACCAGGCCGGTCTCCAAACCCACCATTCTCCGGGTCCTAGTTTGGGTTAGAAACACGACATTTGGCCAATTCAGTTGGAACTAACCTGGCAACGCAGGATAAACGCAGCAAGCTTGTCACCATTAATCCAGTGAAGCTTGTCGATCATGGCCAAACTGGCCCCAACCCACCAGCTATAGCATGCATCTTCCAACTTCTCCGGACGTCCGTTGAAGCCTCCATTATCCACCTGTCTTTCGCTAAGCCAACCACCCAAGCGGTCCTTATTAATCAAGTCCAATCGCCCGGCAATCGCCAAAGCCCCTACACAGGTGAAGACCTGTCCAGAATGTGACTCTGCACCAGGGTGGATGCCATAACCTCCATCCAGGTTTTCACATTTCTGGACATAGGCAACGGCCTTCGGGACATCAATAGTATCCAGGAGGCCTAAGAGTGACAATGCATTGAACGCACCATACAAGAACCGTGTGTCCAACTCACCCCACTCGTCACCCATGAACGAGCCGGTTTCCTTGTCCTGTAATCCAGCGATGAAAGAGCCAACTTTCCGTTTGCCTCCAAGGCCACGCTTCTCCAATTCATCCACTGCATCCAGCATTACAAGGATTTGGACAGCAGAGACGGTGTACAGCATATGAGCGTCATGTCCAGGTGCAGCCCCAAACCCACCATTCTCACGCTGACAGGAGAGAACAAAACTGATCGTATCTTCACGAGGCAAGGCTTGAGGACAGCCGAGAAGATGCAAGGCTGTTAAGCCCCAGTAGACCCCATTAAGCCGAAGATGCTCCGTGAGCCAATATTCAAGCTCATCCCTCCTCTAGCATCACCTGTCAACCATCTTCCCCATCACTAAAAGATGGTAAGAATGACGCACGCTGTCCAGATTTTTAATGTACTCTACATGTTTTTGAACACATAGATACTGGTCAGTCTGACCACCCCCCGAGACTAGGGACATAATTTACGCGGGGGTAGTGTAAGTTAGTAGCTCAGTCACTAGCACAAAGCCAGCTAGCTTAGGGTATAACAGGGAGCTGCCAGGTTTTAGTTAAAGGGTTTAAGGGAGGAAAAGATAAATGACAATGAAGACTTCACAGGCTACGCCAAAAGTGAGTCATGCATGGTCTTTGGAAAGACAAAATGAAAGGTTGATTGTCACGGTACTGTCAGTGCTTGTAGCGTCTATATTCGGCAAGCTAGTGAGATTCGGGGAGGTGAAAAGGGAAAAGAGCTTTTTTGCAGGGATGAATGAGTGTGGTCGGGTACCGAGGGCTTTCTTCCACGTGACTTAGCGCCACCGGGTGAACCGCCGGCGCAAAAGCGGGGCCATGTTTCAGACAGTCTTGGGATCGCCAGGGCGGCCGGCGGTGTGAACAGTAACCCCTGAGCGCTTCCGGTTTGCCCCTGGGTCCCTGCTTTTGCAACCTGCGTTTGGTAGCAGTTAATCGTATTCAGTGGCTGCTGATCCTTGTTTTTGTCTCTATGTGGTTCTATGTAGGTCCGTGTTGGTCATGGAATAAAGAAATGTACTTGCTGATGGTACTTGCTCATAGTAATAATAATAGTAATCCTGTTTCAGTTCTTCAATATCTTAGTGGTGTCTAGAGAGACTGTGGGAGTACAGGAGCGGATCCTGGAGTTCACAATGAATCCTTCCCACGTGTCCATATATTGTCTCCATCTCAGAATATAATTCAAATTATGCACATATGGAGTACTAGATAACTAAGTACGTACAATGTAAAGTATGCTCCTATTGAGAACACCTATAGGAGCTAGTGAATGGCCCAATAATATATATTTTCTCCACTTTTTATCATCAATCTATTCATGGTGTAGAGTACGGCAATGTACGGAGTTGTCCGTGTAAAAAAGAAAAGAGAGGGAGCGAAAATTGCCCAATGTATGGAGTACGGAGTACGTAACGGGCAAAGTCATGGGTATCTTAGAATAGATGGCAGGTTTTACTTTAGCATTCCAGCAATCCAGCAACTATTTTTTTTTTTCCTTTTTTTTTTTTTTTTGCTTTTTTTTTTTTTTTTTTTTTTTTTTTTTTTTAGGTAAAGAAGACACCTGGCGGGGCATTGCCTATATATGTGTCTATCTTCCTTTCTTGTTCTCTGGTACAAATTCCTTTTTATATCATCCCCACTAGCGGTATCACGATGCCATGTGTGAACCGTGGTAGCAAGTCCACTTGAAGCTCAGAAGGATCAGCCGATACATGAAAAATGGGGATCATTTGTATTTCTCTCATTCTTTTCCCTCACGGACTAACCTGTTCCGTGCAAACATTCAGATATTACAACACAATCATAAAGAAAATGATGAACAATCAGGACAGATAATTTTGACTTTGAAATGTATTAGTGGTAACTGATAGTCAAGCCTACTTAAATACACCCTAGTGATGCTATGACCGTCTCCGCGCCAGGTACCTCGTTCGCGTCGAGTCCACTGGCCGTTGATTCGCTCATGCCATGGAACGGCGCCCCAGCGGAATATCCGGTCAACCAATACATCGCTGCAATTACTGTATCTTCGTCGGAGCGTACATCATCCCGCCCAAGGCACCAGCTGCCAGGCCCAATATTTTAGGCCAATCAATGACGCCACTCTATTATTTGGATGGGTCTTCCCGATCTTTCGGTGTATACCTAACCCTTGTACACATTCACTTCCCTATACACCATGTGTTCCTCTGCATAGTCTACTAGGGGGGCTATGGTAAGCCACAGAACACCATGATGTATAACCTATACGCCTACTTATTATTAGATAACCCTACAATCTTAACTGTTGGGAACTACCTGAGTCATGAACAAGGGAGTACAAAGTAGACAGGATTATATCATCAAACACAATGTAACTATCTTCCAATGACCTGAACATGTTCTGATACTTCAACTAGCTCGACGATCGGTCGGTGGGTTGGACCAAACGTCACGCTCGACACAAGAAGCTAAATTCTCTCTCTTCCTTCTATTTTATTTTATTTCTAATTTTTTTGCCCCCTTCCTTTTAATTTGGTTCATACGGTTACTTTCCAACATTGGCCCTGGGGTAAATCGTAAACTTAGAAAGAAGAAAAAAGAAAAATATTAGACGAAGAGGAAGAGATCTGTATAGGGTACTTGAGGCCTCCATACATAACTTCCGCCGCGTCTCTCACGGAAAACCCCATCGGTGCACTAGATACAAATAGGCTTTTCCATAGCGCTCAAAAAAGCCACGCAGTACGGATTACTAGCAATTCTGGAGCCTGGCACAACGCCAGCTCCACTATCAGTTCGCCCCCTTAAAGAACGGAGGCTTCTTAGCCTGACACACTGCCGCGCTTGCATAACGCTGTCAAGGAATGTGTCGAGTCTGAGCACTTACAGAACCGTGCGAGAATCACTCTCTCGTGTCAAGGCTTTTGACGACAAATCCTCTCGTTCCCATTCATTTCAATCTCGTTTCGGTGTTAAATTCCTGTTTTTTATTGTTTTGGTTTTTCTTCTTAGGTAGCCTTCTGTCCTCACTTTAACCATCCGACGATAGCACGCTAGTCGCTCCTCTCTTTACCGACCGCCCTCTGAACGCCGCTCCGCAGCCCAACATTAAAAAAAGAAAAGTCAAGGGAGAGAAAAAAAAAAAAAAAAAAAAAAAAAAAAAAAAAAAAAAAAAAAAAAAAAAAAAAAAAAAAAAAAAAAAAAAAAAAAAAAAAAAAAAAAAAAAAAAAAAAAAAAAAAAAAAAAAAAAAAAAAAAAATAGGACAGCATTACTTGAGTTCAACTGTGACCAAGGAATTCACAACGAGTACCGTTGGAGAAGAGACAAGTGTGGATTGGGAAGAACTTCAATCAAGACAGAAGCTCTAATTCATAATATGAGGGGCTGCGCATTCTGGTATGTTAAGATGTTTAGATACCCTCGTCTGCTCTTGGTGGTAGGATGGTTATGGATTCAATCGACTGTTCTCTCCTATAACCACATGATAAATTCACTTCGAATCTCTCCCTTCTTCTTGACGCATACCAAGGGGTAAACCATGACGATGTCAGCCTTCGTGATGGCTTCATGCATTCATAGCCCCCCTTCCCCTTCTTTTATCGACGCTCCTTACCGTTAATTGCTGCACGCCACTCTTTCTTCCTATCTCTTTAACGCAAAGCCATCTTTGTTTCTGGCCTGGATCGCTGATGACCATGCAACTATTTCTTAGACGCGGTCGCTCCGAGATATCCTCCTCCACGTACGATCATTGTTTGCTTTGACAGCGTTTTCGACACCGACATTTAGGAAACTTATTGGCAAGGCTGGTCCCGTTGCAGTCGGTGTATTTACCGTGCGATCTCTCTCAATATACTCGAAGAATATATGGGGCTTCACCTCTTCCTGAAAGAAGGGATAAATTTAGGATATTCTCGCCCTAAAGACTTAGAAAGAGCCAACTTTTTTAGAACAAGGGTAAGTTCTAGAATCTGGGGTCTCTCGGTTAGTCTGTTTCAGCATCCCAAAAATACCACCGATTAACTAGGAACTTACGTGCATTCCGTGCTAACATATGATTCTGTGAATAATAGGTCAATCTTTTTTTTTCCCTTTAGCATTCAGTTAGCGCTTGGTGTATCGCTTTTGCCGGTCTACCCCTGACGATTTGTCCACGCCGTTATCTGACCCGCGATCAACGTCTAAGATGCCGTCTAGACAGTCCACTGTTCTGAATTTAGATCTCAGCCCTTCCACTCTCCAAACGAGCGCAAAGACTTCGTCCCCACATACACCTGGTGCAAGCTCAGATGGGCCCAGTCCCCTGACGCCGCGATCACCCAAATCTTCCTCAAGTTCAACTTTCTTCAAGGGCACAACAATCCGCTCTGTCACACAAGAATCGAATAGCAAAGCAAATAGCCCCATCCTGCCAGTTTCCCCCGGCCTTACCGCAGAATCACCTACTCAAGGCGTCACGGCCATTCCTCAGTACCCTCCCTCGCCACGAGATTCTCCTAAACACAGTCGTGACCCTTCTCGTTCGTTCTTTGCGAATTTAAAGGCGCCGAAGGTTTCTCACAGGGCCCAGAGGTCGGATAGCTCTGGAAATTCGGGCGATAAGCCTAGGAGCCGTGGTAGTTCTAGGGATCGCAGAACGCAGATATCGTCAAAGCTGTACGAGTCAACTCCGGACCTTCCCGGTGCCATTGAACGTGCGGCGCAACAAGAAAATAGTAAGCACCTAGTCATGTCTGTCGCTTCGTTTGAATACACTGACGCGCATACTAGACAGTCATTCTTCCGACGACAAGAACGCGCAACAAGCGGAAATCAGGCGAGTTGGGACGGAGTCTGAGTCTGGTCATACTCTTAAGAAGAGCAAACCACGCTTTGCCAATCTCCTTTCCCGCTCTCGATCGATCAGATTGGACGACTCCTCTGTGAACAGGATTGCACATAGGCGTCCGTCAACCAGCCTTATGAGACTTGAAGAAAGCGCCAAGAGGGAGGCACAAACGCCCCCCAAAGCAGCAGAAGTCAAGCCCACAGGGAACCCTCATGCCCGCAGCTATACAATTGACCGTCTTACGGAAGTCAACGGTGGCCTGATACGGAAGGACAGATATGGCGGGTCAATGGTTCCTTCGGCTTCCCTGAGTCAAGTATCGGGCGCTTCAGCGGCGCTGTTCAATAATATTAAGCAGTCATCGAGTGGTGCTGCGGACCGAATTGGCAAGGCAGGAAAGGGATTTTTTGGGAAGATCACACGGAGTGGCAGTACCAATGAGCGGGAACTCATTAATGATGACAACTATGTTTGCTCCGTGATCAATTTGCCGCTTATCGAACAAGCCCGTCGAACCCGTATCGCGAAGCGGCTTGAGGATTGTAAGGATAAGACTGAGTTTTGGATGCCAGCTTTACCGTATCGTTGCATTGAGTAAGTTCTCGCGCATTTCTGTTCGAATGGGCGGGTTACTGACGTTACATCAGCTACCTCAATTTTAAGGGCTGTGAGGAAGAGGGACTTTACCGTGTTCCAGGTAGCGGGAAAGAAGTCAAGCATTGGCAACGGCGCTTTGATACTGGTAAGTCAAGTAGGTAGACCTTTGCGAAGTAAGTGTCTTTTAACATTCACCCAGAGCTTGACATCAACCTCTTCGATGTACCGGACCTCTATGACATCAATACGATCGGCTCCATGTTCAAAGCTTGGCTTCGAGAATTACCCGATGAGCTTTTCCCCAAAGAAACACAGGCCATGATCGCCGACAAATGCGAGGGCGCAACCACTGCCCCACAGATGCTCAAAGACGAGCTTTCAAAGCTACCCCCCTATCATTACTATCTTCTCTTCGCCATCACATGTCACTTAAATCTTCTGCATTCTTATGTCGATCAAAACAAGATGGACTATCGCAACCTCTGCATCTGCTTCCAGCCTTGCATGAAGATCGATGCCTTCTGTTTCAACTTTCTTGTCTGTGACTGGAAAAACTGTTGGCAGGGTTGCTGGACAGAGAAGGAATATCTTCAGATCGAAAAGGAAATGGACGAAAAAGAAAGATTAGCGCATATAACACAGGACATTGGTGCGAATTTTCCACAAGCCACGAGTGTGGACGAGAGAGCTATATCTTCTTCTGGTAGCAGCCAGCCTTCCATTCAAGAGCAACCTTCTCGTCCTGAGACGGCTAAAGGCCGCAAGAACAAACCCAAGAACATTGAGACGTCACATACTAGGAGTATTTCCCAGCTTCCTGAATTAGGACCTCCGCTGTCTCCTATTCAAATATGAGAACACCCTAGCCAAGAGCCACTGTTCAGTTTTGATGGGTTGAGCCCTTAATCCGTTGATATGAGCCTTCTAGATTTTCTTATGGGTTGACGCACATAGATTCCGGCATTGCATATTTGAGCTCTTCGGCCAGGCTGGCCTGCGCACATCTCACTATTTTTTAAGATTTGAGACCTGAGAATTGCCAGTTCAAAGTCTCGGATTGGATCCGCACTGCAGGTGATATTCTCCTCCGTACTTCGAACCCCAATCTTCGCTATCTTTTTCTATTTTACTTAATCGATTTTCCTGGCTCCTTTGCTCCATTCACGTCTGTTTGCTTTCTGTTTCTAGCCATCTTCGTTCCCCTTTAACCTTTCTTATATCAGTGTGCATGCTTGGCGCCTCTGGAGTCCGTTGATTTTATTGTACTCTCTTCTTTTGTTTGCCTTGTACAAATTCAAATTGGCCTTCCTTTCATCGTCCGGTCATGTTACTTTCCCCCCCCCTTTTTTTTTTTTTTCTTCCCCTATCTTTGGCCTCCTTTTCTCGTTCATTTATTGCGTATCTTTGGCGTGTTTTTGCCCCAGGCATCTACAAAACCGCATTGATGTATTTTTGCTCTTGACATTTTTATACATTCGTTGATTCCCCACATAGGAGCTTGTTTTGGTACCTTACCCTCATGGTTCATTTTTAACTGCATGTTTCTGGAGTGCTGTGCTGGTACATATTTTGTAACATAGATCAATGATTAAGCCATACGTCACACTGAGAGAATCCGATGAAATAGCAAATGCTTCCTATTGCGTTACAAGAATAAGATTCTAGGTATACAGCCGCAGAAATATGCTAGCAGATTATACATGAGTTGTTCTTGGGGACTAGGCAAGGACAAAGAATAAAGTGTTAAAAATCCGACACAGCTGCTTTACTTTTTGAGCCCAAATGGCAGTAATCCATTTAGGCAACATGAGACATCAAAGACCGGCGACTCCAATCCAAACGCCCGATAAGCCCAGTATTCCAGACAAATAAAGAGTTGAGGAATTTGGCCAAAGCCCAACGGAAGAGCCTTGATTAACAAGTTGCACAACACATCTCTTAACCACCACCCGACTTCCTGGATTTCCGTTCATTGTTCCTCATCTTCCTTTCGTTTCGTCGTATCCTCTCCTTACGCTCAGCCCGCGACATCCCACGGATCGAGCTTCCCTTAGCCGCAGCATCTTCCTCTTTCTTCCAATCCTTCTCATTTACTTCAACCAACCAATCCTCATCCGACTTATTCTTTCCCTTATAGCCCCAGCGAGGAACCCACTCGCCCTTCTCCTCATCATAGACCAGCTTCTTCCGGCGCTCCTTGTCCGCAAGTCCAGCACCAGCTTTGCCACTGAATCTGCCAATGCCCTTCTTGCGTGCGAAAAGCTCCCACTTGGTGGGTGGCTTGGGTGTCGGCAGAGGCTTGTGTCTGGGAAGAACAGTTGTAGGCGCAGGAAGCGTGAGGAGCACACCCTGTTGTGAGGAGGTAATGGGACAAGTAGTGAGGAGTTGGTTGAGGAGAGACTGCACACCATCGCGGGCGGTGGCCTTCAGAGAGACATTTACTGGTTCGGAGCGAGAAATTTCGAGGGGATTGGGGTCATTCGCAAGGAGATGGCCGAGATCAAAAGTGTAGGGAGTAGGTTTAGAGACTGTAATGGGTCTAAAGTGCCATTGCAATTAGTATACCTCGTACATAGCAATCTATACATCGACTACTATAGATAGCGACTCACAATCTCTCGGGCTTCGATTTTTGCGCCGCGGAGGCAGCCGTCGTTGTTCCTGTTTCCGACATCGTCAAACGCACCTCAGTTAAATCCAACGAGGTAGTATATGCGCTAGGGGAAGTGCGACTGGATTGTAAGATTGACTAGCCGATAGAAAACTGAAGCGGAAAAAAAAGTTGGTTGATAAATTTAGGGGAGCCGCTTTAAGATGACCACAATAATGACAGACCGCCTTCGGTGTTGGGCTTGCGGCAACTAGACTAACCTTGAATAGGAAATCAGAGGAATCTTAGTTCAAGTTCCAAATTGTGCTCCGAATTTCAATCCAGTTCATACGCTTGGGCAACAATCAACGCGGCCTCCCCTTCCTTTATCCTATAGCAGTTTCCATTGACCGTCGTGCCACTGGCCGCTGAGCCAGTGTGTTGCAGCACAATGGTTTCCTCCTTCTGCTGGGGCTGCCTGACGCGGCTTCGTCCGACACCTCGAGCCGTTTTACCTCCGCCAGTAGCAGCTCCAAGAGCAGCAGCATTTCACACATCGACGGTGCGTTATGCATTGCCAACTAAGAAGAAAAACAGCTTGGATGGTCCTCCCAAGTACCGCCAGGCCAAGTCCGCCAGAATGAAGAAGAAGAAGCCGGTTGAAAGAGCGCGTCCGCCTCCTGTCGGAGAGCGGAAAGCGCTGCGGAAGCGTATCGTTCTCAGCAATCCCAACGCCCTTGAAGTCGAGGGTATGCAGGACTTCACATCGGAGACTATGGTCGATGCGCGCCTCCGGGGATCCGTTCTCGGCCTTCCTGTGCCGATGCTCACTCAGCTGAGGGCGGTTGAGGCTTTCAAGCCTAAACAGGGCTGGTCGATATTTCGCCGGCCTGGTACAGTGGTGAGACGGGAGACAGTGGAATTGGGCAGACTGATTGACGCTATCTCTAATGAGGGTCAAGACAAGGGAAAGTCTGTCAAGAAGATCATCACTGGTGTCAGAGGGTCAGGGAAAACTGTTCACCTGCTGCAAGCCATGGCCATGGCATTTACTAAGCAGTGGGTTGTGTTTACTGTCCCAGAGCGTAAGTAGATACCATCCATACGTGTCTGCTTCAAGTCTTCCTAACTAACATGTTCTTGTAGCCCAGGATCTAGTAATTGCGCATACTGGTTACGCCCCTCTCTCTGATGACACTCCAAACCTATATGTTCAGAACGAGGCGACCGCTGCATTGCTGTCTCGCACAGTCGCCGCCAATGAGCAGGTTTTGAAGACCCTACATGTCTGCCAGGAGCATCCAGCCCTCAAGTCTTCTGTTAAAGCTGGAATGACTCTGGAGGAGCTTGCTAAACTTGGTATTCAGGACCCCGCCATTGCCTGGACCGTCTTCCAAGCATTGTGGGCTGAGCTTACTGCAACTTCCCCTGCTTCTGGATCTGACAAGAAATTCAAGCCTCGGCCCCCTATTCTTGTAACTGTTGATGGCCTGTCTCACTGGATGAAGAACAGTGAATACCGTTCTGCGGAATTTGAGCCCGTCCATGCTCACGACCTTGTGTTTGTGCGGCACTTCCTCGGGCTATTGAAGCCCGGTACTGGAAAGCCTGCCCTTCCAAATGGTGGTCTCTTGCTCTACTCCACCTCTGCTTCCAATAACCCAACAATCTACAGTTTCGAGGTTGCGCTCAAGCAAATCGCTGCTCGCCAGGCTGGCCTGAATGCATCGGCACCTGAATTCCCTCAAGCTGATCCATACAGCGGAGCTGACAAGCGTGTTATTGATGCCTTTGGCTCTTCGAAGCCCACTGTCGCCAAAGAAGGCATGTTGGAGCTCCAGACACTCGGCGGCCTCACCCGGGACGAAGCTCGGGGCTTCATGGAATACTTTGCTCGCAGTGGCCTCCTGCGGGAGAAGATCAACGACGAGTGGGTTGGCGAGAAATGGAGCTTGGCTGGAGGTGGTGTAATTGGTGAATTAGAGAAGTTGGGAAGACGACTGAGAGTGACCGATTAGATATGGAATTTCTTTTCGCCTTTCTAGCATCACCTACATTCCCGTTATGCTGTTCCACGTGTACCCTTTATCCCGCCGTGTCCTTTTCACATGCAGCGCTATTGGATGGACCCGGCTTTTCCTGTTAAATTATATGTATTTTACTAGTTATATTGGGTTTTGCGTTTTGTATGCATATAATGGAATTTGAAAATATACATCTCACTTCCCTCACAGCTCAAGTACGCGGACAGATCCAGAAAAGGGGTTGGTCATATTAAACACTGAATGGCAATCAATAGTTTACCTAAATATAAACCGGTGGGGAACCCCGGAGATAGCGTCAGGCGCAGTCGGAGATTTATCAGATGATACCTAAAATAATTTGTTAGAATAATCACTTAGGCACAGCCTTCCTCTCTTCCGCTACTGTTCTTTTCTTATACTCGAGTCACTTAATCCCACAGCAACACGACTCTTCATGTAAGAGTTGTGTTGTTGGTCCAAGTCAGTGACAGGTCAGCAGGTCAGTTCATCACTGTTCGGGAATCGTACTCTCCTTACACTCAAACCCCGCGTTCCTGCTTCACTTCAGTAAGTGGGAAGTGACCTCTACAAGCTGCACAAAAGCTCACTCATATACTACTTTAGATATGTACGGGTCGAATCCTCACTCTAACTCTTCTAACCAACAAAATTCGGGTCCCCCAGTACCAGAATGGCGGCTTCCATCGACTGCGCAACAGCGGCCGTCGCGGAAGCCTACGCCTGGGCCTACTCCGCCCCCTCCACCACCGCCATCTCATCCTCCACTATCGGCGTCTTCTTATAATCCGAGCACATATGGCTCTATATCTAGTCCGTCGCCTGGCACTGGTGCAAGTGGCTCGCCAGCCCCTGGCTCAGCCAGCATGGATACCAGTTCTTGGGGAGTAAAGTACAACAGGCAGCAATATCCTATCTATGCGCCTCCGCCGCTTCCTGTAAGTCTTACCTCAAATGCACCTAGATATTGTCGGACTGACGCTACCTTACAGCCTCGACCCCCAAGTACTCCAGCCTATTCGTCTAGTGCACAGTCTCCGATCGTGAGTCCTTTGGATAATAAGCCCTTACCAGCCAATCCAACATATGGACCCCCAACTTCTACTGCAGAATATCAACCACAATGGACGACAAATTCTCCGCATGCATCTCAGCCCCCTGTGGTTAGCCCTCTTTCTCCACCTCCGCCGCCTCCGGTACCTCCTGGATATCAAAGCTCAACACCACAGCAAGGTAATCAAACGTGGCAGCAGTTGTCGCCTCCGCCATATTCAATCCATCCTCCTGGAGAGATTCATAGTTTACAGAACAGTAGCGCCCAACACCATATTCCACTCTCATCTTCAAACGTCTCATCGCCCCAACCAACATTATCAGGTCAAGGCCCACTGACCGCTGCAAATCCCGTACCAGGTGGAGGTGCTCTACCTGTGGCCGCTCCCCCGGTTCCTCCCAAGACTAGCCACAATGCTCTTCCCACAAACTCCTCTTTATTGGGCTCTGGCGGACCGTCTGACTGGGAGCATTTGACACCTACTCCAGGGGGCGTCGATGATGTGGAGGCTTTTGGGGCCAAACAGGGCAACGCCGCTCATTCAAGTACTACATCGGAGCCAACACCAGGATATCCAGCACATATTCCCACTGTAACTTCGAACAGCCAGACCGTGATATCTACGCCGTCTGCGAATGTGTCCCCTATAAGTCAACCTGTTTATACCCAAGATACTACAGCAGCACAGCCTTTACCAGGCAATCCCAGCGCAACACATGGCATTCAAGATCCACCTCGCCCAATCAGAACTGATACTTCTGGGTCGATGTATAGTACTGCCTCTACTACTGAGACATCTGAGAGCATTGATGGTGTCATTGAAGCTTGGAATCGGCCCGTTATCACGGACACTCAACCCCCAAACTCCCAAGCTGGTCAAAGTATCAGTTCCCGAACGGATAGCCCAACGCCAATGCAAAAGCTCAGCCCGCTTGAAATCCCCAAAATAAAGCAGGATTTCAGTATACCGCGAAAAGAGGTTCAATCGGGTGCAAATACTCCCCGCTCAAGCAATACCCCCAACGAAACGAGTGCCAAGGTAGACGTATTGTCTCCACAGCTCAAGCCGTTGGATCCTTATGAAGACTTAGACCCTTGGTCTAAGTCCTCCTTGGAGCGTTACGTGGCTATGCTACGAAAGGAGGCGGTCGCTGATTCTGATATGGAGCGTTTCAAAATATTCACAGCCTTTATGTCCAAGGAGACCAAGCTACGTGAGATCTTGTACAACATTGAGCATGAACCGAAAAATGAAGAAGCTCTAAGTCAAAAACCGACACCGGCTTCGCAGGTGCCCAGCCGGCAGTCTGGTAAGAATACACCTCCAATCGAGTCAGGCTTAATACCAGTTGAACCAGAGGAGAGCAACGAGGAGTCAGCGGACGTTTCGGAAGACCTTGAAGACGGGAATTATAGCCCGGGCGGCCGTCCTATCCTTCCCAGGGTTGAAACGCCTAGTACTCTTGGTCTTCAAAGGCCTGCTTCTCAGCCGCCAGGCAAAGGACATAACTTAGGGCATCAAAGTCAACCCCAACCATTGAGGGCTACGTCAGTACCACCATCTATGCTCGACAAGCAGGAGCTGTCTCCTTTAACAACCAACCCCCCACAGCCTATATACACTCCGTTTCGTTACACCGAAGGCCCTCAGCGGGGCTCAGATCACCTTGTAATTGACCGTCCTGCATACCAGGCCTACTCGGCCTTGCGACAAGCCTCAGCGGAGAGTGGACGGGTGATGTCGAACGCCCCGCACCCAGGATCTCACGAAGATTCCCACTCTTCGGCTCCTCTTGCCGATAACGACGACGAAACTTTCATTGGGCTAATTAGGGAGAAAAGCGTTGCTTACCGCAAGGCATCCCGTAGGAAGTCGTCTCCACCTCCTTTACCGATGTCACTCAGGAAAGGAAGGCCTGATGGCCCAGTTGATGATCTCCGCTCTATGATATCATCACCCCTGGCTAAGCAATCAGAAAGTTCATGGCACATTACAACTCGAAAGGACCTAGAGAAGTATTCAAAAGACTTTGGTTATATACAGGAGACGGTTAGATCCTGGGAGGCTGCGAGCAAATCTCGCAGAGAAAAACTAGACAGGCAGCGTATGCATCGTCAAGAGGAATCCGAGAAACGCATTGATGCGTTATTCAATGGAAGAGAGATAGGATATGCAGATATCAATGTCCTGGAGGAAGAATTCCGCCAAACAGAAGCTCGTGCTCAATTAGACGAGGAAAGACAAGAACTGGATGACTATATTGCAAAGGTGTTCAATCCGCTGGATGAACGCTTGCAAAAAGATATTTCTGCACTCCAGGCCCAGTATGACTCGGCGCTTGGTCAGCTTGATCATGAGAACAATAAGATCAAGAACTCGGTGACAGATAAATACAATTTGTCTCATACGATGAAAACAGTCAATGAGATCTACCAAAAGCTTGAGGCTCGCTATCAGAAACGTCTAGAAATAGCTCTAGATCGTGAACATCGGCGAAAGAAAACCGAAAGGCGACCTCTGGTCTTCATGGGAGACTCAGTAGCCCTCAAGCAACTGGATCGGGAGTTTGATGAGATGGAGAAGCGAAATGTTTTAGAAGCGGCGAAGGACCGGGATGAGAGAGCGAACAGGTTGATGGATTCATTCGACGATGCCATCATGCACGGTTTGGGAGAGAACCAGAGTCTTCTCGACGATGTTTCTGCGAAATTGTCAAAGGTTGATGTCGCAACCATTCGTTCATCCAGCTTACCCGACACTGAGATCGAGCATATGTTGAGATCGGTCTATAACCTAGTAGATTCTCTACGTCAGGACTCCGAATCGATTTTGCACAGTTTCGGTATCGCAGATTCAGCTCTCAATGATGCCGATTACGGCGTTTCTGTTGCTGAAGCACGTTATTCCAACGCGGATGACGATGTATTCGGACGACTCGAGGACGACAAAAAGAAAGAGGATGCCAAAATCCAGACAGATCTTAAATCCAAATTGGACAGTGTTCGCGCCGGACCAGCCGAGATTGCCGCCACCATCAACAACCTCCTTAAATCTTTAGGCAAAGCTCCAATCACCAAGCGGAACCATTCATCAAAATCTGTCCCTGCAGGCCACCCTATTGACGTTCTCTTCCCTGGTCCTCGCCCTACGGCTAGTGCTGGTCTCAAAAAACCTGATGAAGGTCTGGAACATCAGGAGCGGCTTCGCAAGGCGCTAGAGAATGCAAAGAGGAGAAATGCCGCAAGAAATACTCCACAACCACCGAGTTAGGTATTTTTAGACTGTTGCGTCTTATAGTAAATATATTAATGCTCACGATGTAACTAATATTTCCCCTTCTACTTCTTTTCTTACATGGCGAATTCCAAATTGCACGCGAAGATCTTATGTCGTGCGCAGTATTCTTTGTTGATACCAACCAATACAGAGAACGCTTCGGTTTATTAGCCAAAATGCACCATAACATACAGAATTGGACTTCTCTTTATTGGATTGCTTTTCCAGACAAGAGTTTATAGAATGGTGGCTAGTCATGGGACGGAAGACACTGGTGGTGGCTTAGACCACCCATCTCCCTTACGGCTTCTGAGTTCAGCGGAGGAAATTTGGAATATAAGATACCCTACCCCCCTCATTTAATGTTAAGAAGAAAAGAGCAAAATAAGAGAAAGGGGGAAGGAATCCAAATGGATTCACCAAGGGACAATCATACGGAGTGGCTCAAGTCTTACTAGGGCGACAAGAGTCTGCGGATGAACCACAGGAAAAGCGAGTGTTGGCGCAGACTCAAGCATAGGGAGGAAAACACGCGATCAAGACTATTCAGGACATTGCTTACTCTCGAGAGACGGCTGTCCTGGTGCAGTTCGTGCAGTTGATTACATTGTGGTAACGGCCACTGCCGTGCCATATAGCAAGTCTCGTACAAATTACGCGCCCAGGTGGCACAGGACCTACGCCGCTCAAGCCACCATTTATACTCTACACCAACTCTCGTTTACCGTTGAATATTCCCACCACCAGGATGCTCACCTAACAAGCTTCTGGTTTCCTTAAGGCTGTTAGGGTTGGCTTGTATTATTGGATTGTCTGATGATCCGTTCAACACTATATTTTCTAAATGTAGCAGCAGCACACTCAGACCAGCCAGTGCTATCAATGCTGCAAGCTTTGGAATCATATAGTTCTTCTTCCACACGCCAGGGATAAACTCTAAACTGTGGCCCGAGTGCAGTCACGATGAGGATTGCAGGACAGCCTTCATCAGTCCACTGGCCCATAAACGGTTTTCTTTGATAGACAGCTTGCCTGTCACCTAGATATGTCAACCACCCTTTGCGGCGCAGGTATATGTGCTATAGGGTCGCTTTCAAAACTTGGTGATCAGCATCATCCACTACGGAGTCCGCGAACGTAAGATGTAAGGACCTCCCGATTTCGATTAAATGGGAGGCGTCGATGTGTCTCCCCCAGTTCCAGCCGCCAATGCCAGTGCCACAACAAGAGAGAAGAACTAGCGGTACCTTCCCAGATATCGGCGCATCAACCTTGCTTGGCGTTAAGTTCAGAAATCTTCCATGCTCGGGACCTCGCCGGCTCGGTTGACGTCCGTAATTGGCTACCGAGTGCACAAAATCTTGTCCTTTTTTGTGTGGTTCAACTTAACAGTCTTGTGATTCAGTATCTTCTAACCTTGTTATCACGATCTCTACTCTCTGTCAGTGGGCCTGGGTACTACGCCGCCTGCGCCCAGTTGCCGTGGTTCGTCTCCTTCCAGTTTAGGCCCCTTTTCATAGCTTTTCATAGGGCACCATGGTGTAACACTCCACGTGCGAGCCATCTGAAACTACTATTCCACCTAAGGGCCGTACTCACGGGTTTCCATAGACTGCTACTCTCTCGATTTCGTGCGGCGAAGGCAGGTCAGCCTACGCCAGAGCTAACTTAGGAGCAGATCAGTCGAAGGTATGCCATTTCTTGCTGTGAACACCTACTTGACTACGGCAGTGTGGGCTCTCTTGGTCGAAATGTACCCGCACTCACCCGTGGATCGCGGCAAACTATAAATACCGGGCTGGTCGTTGTGTTCATCTGATACCAAGATTACAAAAACCCTTTTTGCGAGCTCTGATCCAAGGTTAAATCGTTCATATTTATCTATTCTCCATGTCCGCTCCTACGAGACAATTCCGCGGCCTGTCTATCGACGATAAAATGCCACCAAGGCCAACTCAGGTCGAAGAAACACCACATCCCGAAGACGACAGTGCACTCATGGAGACTGGGACTGACGAGAGTGAGGTCGGAGGGGGGTTGCCTGAATTCTCTACTCTACAAGGGAAATCTGGTATTATCTATGACCTTACTAAACTGGATCCCGAGGCTGAAGCGAGAGCCCTTGTGGGTTTGACGAGTCAGTTTGATGTGATCGGCTGCCGGCGAACCAAGACAGGCTTCGATTTCCAGTTCTCAGAGCGGCCGCGAGTTCATATCGGCTCGGGCGGTTATACGTGCACCTGCTCGACGTTCATGGGTCTGCCGGGCATTGCCTGTCCACACGTTTTCGTGAGTTCTGGCACAATCCATCGCATTCGTCAATCTCTGCTAACCTACGAGAAGTGGCTTGTCGACCAGCTTCATGGCTGTCTTATTCCCCAAATCCCCAATTATGATGTACCGTTATCGAGTGATGGCCACCCTCCAGTCTTTACCCGCATTGAACGACTCCTTGATGGCAAACTCGAAACAGTAGCGGAGCAATTGAGCTGGCAATATGTCCGTTCAGAAGTGGAGGGTGGCATGAGCCGTCCACAGAAGGTGCGAGACCTTATGTCTGCCTTCGATACAGCCACACTCCCCGAAGATTTCCGTCTCGACCTTATAGATGACGTTGGCCAATCTCGCACTCCAGAACAGTGTGTGGTGCAAGGAGACTTCGAGGCGACCATGTTTCGGCTTGCGGTACACGATGACACAGTTTATTTTAGCCTATGCAAAGCCATGCCACCCGGTGCCTGTGCAGCGATTTATTTCGATAAAGTACAAGAAAAGTCACGGAAATTGTTGGCAGATTTCGATCGCTACTGCCAAACGGGCCGGCGTTCGGAAGGATCCAATGTGGACATCAACAACGTGATCGGAGATCTGCAGCATAATGTCAATCGCATTCAAGCGAACATCGTTATGCGAGCGCCTCACGGTGTTGAAGGAGCCGCTAAAGCCCTAGTGACACTATTGGAGGACATATGCAACCGTAATAAGGACGCGCTCGATGGCAACTTGTGGGGTGGCGTGACCTTCCATGGGGAGGACGAGGATCAACGTAACTTATACCACCAGCTTATCGGAAAGGCGGAGGAAACAGGAGAGTGTTTCATCTTGGATGCCCTCGAGCAGTTAGCAGGCTCTGATCTTCATCAATTCAAGGAGAGACTTCGAGCAATTCTTCAGAAAAATGAAGTGAATCGCGCCCCGAAGGCATACATACTGAAGTTGAATGGGCTGGTTCGTCGAGCTGAATCCAATTCTGCTGGCTCGGGACAAAAGCGACCAGCTACGGCTAGTTCTGGGGGGCATGGGCAGAGCAAGAGAACTCGCTAATGCTTGGTGTTATACATTCGTGTTTTGTTCGATACCCTGTATTCCATCCCTTCTTTCCCTTTGCTTCACACCATAGACCAACGAACCATGACTCGGCCAAATACCAGCTGGCTTGGAATTGCCATCTACCTTTGCACCGCCTCACATTCCACCAGAGCAATTACGAACATTTGCCACTCTATACTTTCCCCGCTTTAGCAGATTCCTATGGTGACACAAGATACGGGTTCGCGCCATGGTTTCTCAAAAACTCAATCTGGCTCTCTGGAATGCACCCAACTCTATTGCTACGACGTCCTTCATTCTCCAGTCCCGACAGGTCGGTACCGGATTGCTCCAATACCATGGCCACTGCATTCCTAATTGGGGAATTGCGAGCAAGGCGTACCTTTGGTTCACGATTCACCTAGCCCTTCTAGCTTTGAAAATTGCATCATTTCTGTCCTTGTACGGCTCACTAGCTTTCGGTGTGGCGCAAGGCGACCAGGAGTATAGATTGAATTAAGGTGACATTGCGTAAGAGAGCTCCACATTGAGGAAAACGTGGAATTCGCACCACATCCCGTCAACAGTTCATAGCGATCATACTCCGTACATACCACCGATGATACCAGTCCCCGCACGCTAGTATGTAGCTCTGGTATGGTTGACTCAGAGATATTTGTGATTTGTTTGAAATAGGTTGTAGTACTATATAGATAATAATGAATCATCTTTCAACAGTTGGCCGGCTGGCCCAATGGCAAGGCGCTTGACTACGAATCAAGAGATTGCAGGTTCGATCCCTGCGTCGGTCATAGTTTTTGCTTTTTCTCAAACATCTTAGTTAGGTCTTCGATCTATTTTTTTGTTCTTTGTCTGACCTTTCCATTCTATCATTTTCTCTCGGCCGTTTTGTAAGGTATCTACTCTCGTACTTCGTTGCTCTAGAGAGTGCCATCGCTACCTACACTCAATTCACGTATACTGTTCTAATCATGCGCTGGTTACTCGCCTTGCGGATATATATTTCCATGAGACAATGCTACTCGTTGACGCTTTCACATACCCCCCTCAGAGCACCGCAGTCATAAAATCAAACCAAGTTTGCAGTGCAGTACCAGAATATCGGTAATTGTACTGTAACCTAAGAAATGGCTTGATTCCTGACCTTTGCCCTTTTCAAGATAATCAGCCGAGGTCTACATCATGTACAGGACTCATGGCTTCGACGCTCTCACGTTTCAGATCACAACCTTCCTGATAGACTCAACGGACTACTAAGATAATGTTATACAGTAACCTATCCATGAATATACTCTTCTCAATTCAAGCCTTTAGATATTCCCACGATGGCACGAACCCGTGATGCCCGTCGTCGTTACCATTGACTCTCGCCTCAGAACTGGGTACAATGGTACTAGAGCACCATTTCGCCCCCTCTACCAATAACACCGATTCCTTATCACAGTTCACAACCATACAATTCTCTAGTACTCGCCTGAAAGCTCCCAGAGCCGAGCCGCCGATCTTCAACCATGACCGCGACACCAGAGACAGTGCTGACCTATCCGAACGAAAACATCGTCCGACCCTTCTTTCGCTTCTATCCTGCATTTTTTCCAATAGTGCTGGTCGTAACTGGCCTCCACGTGCTCTGCACAAAAAAAGCTGCTTGACCACCCGGCCGTCAGTCCAAGTTCTCCCCGATTTCACCATACAGAAGAGAATGTACGGATCATACATGGCAGTGTCGGATTGAGACTTGACAAGAAGGGACTACACACACTGAAAGGAGCAAATTTTGAAGCAGTTGTTGAGTTTGAGGATATTGGGAGTAGCTCAAGAGTTTTTTGGGGCGACCGAACTTTAAGGGAAACCCCTATCACGGAGAGCTTTAAGGCTTGAAGGGCTCAAAATGCTATCTAGGGCCTAATGAGCTGAATACTAGAAGAGCTGTACGGTTGTGCTAGGTCTACTGAGGAAGCGCGCGAATTGCCCGGCCTTACTTACCAACCTAGCCAGTTTCACAGGGATCTAACGCGATGACTTCCAAGGTTACGTTCGTGGTTCTTTTACCATCAAGTCCACGACTATACTCAGAAGAACTGAGGGTATACTATTCTCATAGACTCAACACCGATTAATTGCAATCGCTGGCGCTCGAGTTTTCCATGCTCTGCTAGCTGTAATATCAGATACTGTTCGCGCATCGCCAAAACTACAGCTTTCACAGCCAATCAATATCATTGAGCCAATGACGCAATGATGCACGCTACTTGTAGCCACTAATTGTAAGTATGCATATAACTTTATTTTCATTATCTATTCCGAGGTTCACGAACTTGTTGAGGCTTATTTTGTCGATCGTTGAGCGTTCGCGTAGGGCAACGAGGACCCTACTATCATCCCCCCGACCTAAGTTCTTCGATTTGAACTGTACGCGGTTTTTTTATGTTTCTGTTTGAATTTCGGCATTTTGCTTGCTACTTTATGCTTCAACTGAGGCATTGTGAATGAGCAAAACCAGCGGCTAACTTAGGATAAGTCCAGGACAACCCGTCCTTGCAATTTACCCTCTCCCATCTCCTCGAAGACACTTGTCAACTTATCCATCTTCTCCGTTCGGAAATGAGTCTTCACGATTCCCCGTGCTGCGAATTCCAAGACCTCAATTGCTTCTCTCCGGTTACCGACGGCCGACCCCGTAATGTAACAATGCTTGCCGATCAAAGTGGCGGGTAACGCACTCGCGATGGGCTGAGGGTTGTTCTCAGGAAGACCAACACACACCATTGTCCCGTTGAAGCGCAAGAACTGCACAGACTGGGCATAGGCTGCGTTGGAAGATGTGCAGACGATGACACCATGAGCGCCCAGGCCACCAGCAAGGGACTTTACATGGTCAGATATAGCTTTGCCATTGTCATCCGTGGGAAACTTCGTGAGGTCAACGAAGTGTTCTGCACCGGATTCCTTGACCAGCTCCTCTTTGCTGCCGTGGTCGATACCAATCACACGCAGCCCCATACCCTTACTGGCCAGTTGTACAGCAATATGGCCCAGTCCACCACCTGCACCAGAGATGACAATCCACTGACCAGGTCGAGCATTGCTTCGTTTGAGGGCAGCATAGACGGTGACACCTGCGCAAAGCATGGGTGCTGCTGCATCTGATTCTAAGCCATCTGGGATGGGTGTCACGTAGTGGGCAGGCCCTAAAACATATTGCTGGAAAGTGCCAGGGGTATAGTATCCAGAGACCTTCTGATCAACACAAAGTCCTTCCGCACCGGCCTGACATGGTTCTACAAGCCGGTCAATGTGTACCCTATGTGTACGGTGGAGCATTATACATACGACAGTTCGTGCAAGCACTGGAAAGCCACTTGATTCCCACCCTGTCTCCGACTTTGAGGCCAGAAGATTCGGCTCCAGAGCCGAGCTTCACAATCTTACCGACGCCTTCGTGACCACCAACTTGTCCGGGCTGTGTTGGGTGTGGAAGCCAGCTCCACTTAAGGCCATGTGAGTATTGGTATTAGAATATTCAAAAGGGTTCTCAAGAACATACAGAGTTTGTCATGATACTGTAGTCTGAATGGCACACACCGGAATGGGTTCTGCAGGCGTGTCAGATGAACACTGGGCCCAGCTCGGCTTGTCACTGTGCCGCGAGTTCAGTCAGAGCTTACAGATTGATCAGTACCTCGCCTGCGCCAGGCTCAGGGACGTCTAGTTCTACCACTTTGGTTGAAACAGTCCCAGGCTGGTCATAGACGGCCGCCTTTTGCTTCTTTGGAATCTCAGAAGTAGCCATAACGGACTATGTGTGAACTTGACTAAACCGTGTGTTTTGATAAAAATGTGATGGGGACGTTGTAAGACAGATAGTTTGAGAAGTGTCCTCGCAGGACTGTGGCCCCAAGTTCGCTCTTTTTATCTTAGGTGAGCATGCCACGCCAAGTTCCTAGCTGTTAGGCAGTGTAGCCGAGACGGGTAGGAGGAGGTGATGATCACAGCTGGCTGCGGGGGTGCTGCGAGTGCACATCTTTCGAGGGGCTCGTCGATCGCTTGTGAATGCCTCATTAAGGGTTACATTGTATCCGGCTGAGCCTACAAACCAATCATGTGGGCTGAAAGTTAATGGGATCAAGAGTGAGTGAGGGGGAAGCGATGACCGAGGGAGTTTGCGCTGAAAGGCCTCGGCAAGCTATCTTATGTCAGGCGTTGTCAGATCACCGCGCATCCCTGAAAGTTGGGGATTTTAGTACGCCTCAAGGATACCAAACTCAGGGAATCCCGCTATTAAATACCCGTCCCAAGCCATTGTCTCAAAGGTACCCATTGGGACGATGTGATCGTGCCTGGAAATCCGTACTTTAAATCCTTCGGCCTAATGATCACCGAATGGCGTCGCAGCGATCCCCGAGACAAATAAGATGATCTCCCCCACCCTTGAATCTCAATTCTTGGAGGCCATTGATCTGTCCATTTCCAGATCAATGCAGAGCCACAGAGTTTAAGTGAACCTGATCACACTCAGGTGACGCAATATTCGTGTCCAACTAAAGCGTCACTCAAACAATCCATCCTTTACCCCGCAATCTCCCCCGCCAGAATCGCGATCCACCGCGACAAACATCTCGCCCAACACAATTATTGCAACATGCCTATTCCAATTGTAGATTCTCACATCCATCTTTTCCCGGAGTCTCACCTTCCAACTCTCGCCTGGTATGGCCCGGAATCCCCCCTGGGATCCCAACACTCAGTCGATGAGTATCGCCTTGCGACATCCTCGATCTCCACCACCGCAGATACCGCTGACCTGACATATCTGCGCGGCTTCATCTTCCTCGAAACAGATCGCATATCTTCCGTCGAGGAGGCTGGGGAAGGCTGGTCTCATGCTCTAGACGAAGTCTCACTGCTTACGAGAATCATCACCGGGGCTCCTGCGGCGGGTGAGGGTCACCACGATAAAGATAGGCATCTCTGCCTGGGGTTTCTTCCATGGGCACCTGTGCCCGGGGGATCTACCGTGCTACAGAAATACATGGACCTAGTGAAAGAACGTACCAAGACAGATGACGTCTGGAAGAAGCTTCGGGGCGTGAGATATCTATTCCAAGATAAGCCGAAGGGTGTCATGCTGCAAGATGACGTTGTTGAGGGACTGAAATGGCTTGGGAGAGAAAAGTTGGTATTCGATCTGGGGGTGGATGCGAGGCAGGGTGGATTTTGGCAGTTAAGGGAGGCAGTCGAAATGATGAGGAGGGTCTATGATGGTGTGAAAGAAAGCGAGAAGGTTGTTATAGTCATCAGTATGTTTGAACTTGCGGATTCCCATTTAACCTTTTCTCCTCTCTCTCTCTCTCGGCCGTGGTAGTTGTTATCCAAAGCTGACGAGCATGAAGATCACCTCTGTAAGCCGAATCTCCGGCTTCCCGATCCATCGCCCGCCTCGATAACGACGCATCCCGAATTTCTGGAATGGTCGTCTCTGGTCACCGCCATGGCACAGTATCCCAACACGTACATGAAGCTTTCGGGCGGCTTCTCTGAGCTACTGCCAGTTCCTTCGGATCCCGAACCTGATATTGCTTCTATTGTGGAGAGGATTCGCCCTTGGACTGATGTAGTGTTTGATACATTTGGTGCCGAGCGAGTGATGTTTGGGTCTGATTGGCCGGTCTGCAACGTAGGGGGAGGCGGTAACGCAGTCACCTGGAGACGTTGGAAGAGCATAGTGGAAAGCATCTTAGAGAAGAGGCAGTTAACGGACGAAGAGAAGAGAAATGTATGGGGTGGAGTAGCAGTGAAAGCATACGGAGTCGAGATATGATCGCCTAAGAACCTTTTTACTATATACACTATCTATCAAGAATGAACAACAGAGATTCCTATCCACCCATCTATTACCTACTGAAGATTTACAAACGCCCCACCATCCACAAGGAGCTGTGCACCAGTCTGTAAACACACAGTTAGCACCCGACATACCCCCAAACTTGGAAGACAAAGGAATAGGAAATGAACCTACCACATAACTACTCAACTCCTCACAGGCCAAAAACACCGCCGGCCCCGCCAAATCTGGCGGCTGCCCAAGCCTCCCAAGGGGAATCCTCCCCTCCATATATTCCCGCTTGACAGGATCACTCATATCCTCATCATTTAGCTGCGTCCGAATAGTCCCAGGTAACAGCGCATTACACCGAATATTATATTTCCCCAGTGCAACCGCACAAGACTGCATAAGACTTAAAACTCCAGCCTTAGTAGGCGTATAATGAGTCTGCTGACCGCCACCCACGAGTGCCGAAATAGAACTTATCCCGATAATAGACCCGCCAGGCGGCGACTGCTCCAGGGCCATCTGTCGAGCCGCCGCCTGCGTAGCATAAAAGGCTCCGGAGAGATTGGTGTTTACCGTGTGGCCGAGGAGGGGAGGATCAACTCTGTAAGAGAAATGGGAATGTTATCATACCACTCTACATACTATCATTTTGAACAGCCAAACGGAACCTGCTTTCACAGCATCAAAGATAGGATAGGGTAGGGTAGAACGAACTCCAGGAACTCGGCGAATTTGCACACGCCAGCGTTGCTCACGAAGATATCCAGTCGGCCAAAGGCAGCGACCGTTCTGGCGACGAAGTCGCGTCCCGTTTCAGGCTGCGTGACGTCCCCCGGGACGGCGATGAAGCTGTGTGAGTCGGCGCCGGTGATCTCGGAGACGTCCTTTTGCAGCGCTTCAAGGAGAGGCTCCTCTTTTGGTCCACCCAGGTGGTTGATGGCTACTTTTGCGCCGTGGCGGAGGTATTCGAGGGCGACGGCCTTTTGGGACTTGTGTTAGTTTGGGACTTTAAGGGGTCAGAAGGGGGTGGGGATGAAGTACCCTGCCAATTCCTGTTAATCCGCCTGTGATGGCGGCGACTTTGCCTACTAGGAGTTGGGGAAGAGGCATTGTGTGGGTTGGTGTGTTTGGTTTTTGGTTTGGGATGGGGGAGAGGGGATCAGGGACTGTGTGATTATACTCTTATAGCACAGATAATTTTTCTCAATTGATTTATTTACGCCCGTCGTCGTGCCTTTTGCTTCTTTCGTTTCTCCATCTCAACCCCGCCGCGCGATAAGATAGTGCGCAATTGGTGGGAGTTTTGCTCGGGTTCTTCGTGCTATTGTTACCCCGAGCCCACCGATGTTTACCCCACATTTTGGCCAGTCGGGTGGGCGTTGCGGCAAGTGCCTGTCACATGGGTTAAGGTGGTCGTCGGGAATTTTTTTTTTTTTTTTTTTACCAAAATGGATGCTTAGCATTCTGTCTATGTAGTTTCAACGTGAAATTCATAACAATATGTACATTAAATAAAGAAAATGCAATGGAATTTTAGATCCCGCTGTATCATCCCAAACATGAGTAAAGCGACGAGTGGAGCTTCTAGTGAGCCGCGCCATTGGCTCCATTTTCCTTATCCGTAGGCGGAGCCAGGCTCTTCTGAGGAGCAGGAGTGAGGAGGGCAGAAGCTGGGATCAAGGGAGCGGCGGGGTTAAGCTCGAGACCGAAGCCTGGCTTGTCTAGGATGGAGACATCGAGGTAACCCTTGGTGGGAATAGGCTCGTTGAGGAACAGGTTTCCAAAAACTGGTTCAACGGTATGTCCATCAGCAGAGTTGGCAAGGTACTCCTGGAATGGTGTGTTGGGCTGTGAAACCACGTAGTGGTACGAGTATGGGCCTGATGCATGAGGGACAACGGGGATATCGTATGCGGCTGCGAGCGCAGAGACCTTGAGCAATTCTGTCATGCCACCAACCCACATGACGTCGGGCTGGACGATATCAAGGTTACGACCTTCGACGAGCTTGCGGAAACCGTAACGGGAGTATTCGTGTTCGCCGGTGGTGAACTTCACAGTGGGGTGGGCTCGCTTGAGGAGAGCATGGCCGTCGAAGTCATCGGGGCTCAGGCACTCCTCCCACCAGTCAATGTCGATTCCCTCAGCTTCACATTTTTTGACAAGCTGAATAGTGTAGGGAACATTCAACGACATGTAGCAGTCCACGCGCAAGGGGAAGTCAGGACCAACGCTCTCGCGCTGCTTGCGCAGGTATGCCACGTTCTTCAGGAGTCCTTCGGTACCCTCGTCTGGGCCGTGGGGCAGAGCTACCTTAGCTCCAGAGAAGCCCATAGCCTCAGCTGATGCGGGCTGGGGTCCGGTGCAGTAGAAGTCGAGTCGTGTCCGAGTAGCTCCTCCGATGAGCTTGTAAACGGGTTCGTTACGAATCTTTCCCTGAAGATCCCAGAGTGCCAAGTCGATCACCGAGATGACAGCAACCGGAAGACCCTTCCGGCCGTAGAACATAGACGCACGGTACATCTTCTCGAACAGGTCGTTGACATCGCGAGGGTCTGCAGTGAGATGAAGTAATTAGCCTGACTATATCCCTCATCACGGCAAAGACTAAGAAGGTTCGCACCTGCGCCGATCAAGAAACGCTCGAAGTGCTGGTGTACCAACCAGCAAGCTGGAGGGCCACCAAAGCCAGTCGCGAAACCCTTGGTTCCATCTGTGGCTTCTATTTCCACACAGAATGAGCCCAAGACATTGATTCCCCACGATGTACGAGATCCGCGATATTGCGCCCATTTAGTCATGGGAGTAGAGATGTTGCTGTCGATCAGCCAGTGACCTCCTTTGACCTGAATTGAGAATAAGCCGGTATATCTTTCCAAGTAGGGCATGAACACATCATTGAAAGAGGCTCAACATACATTGTGATAATCACCACCGGATCCTACACCATCGATGATGAAGGTGCGGATCTCTTTGATGCGGGGAAATTCAGATATAGAGCCCATGATGAAAAGGATGAGGTAGAAAAGCAGGACAATGTGCTAAACCAGAAGATCTATAGAGAATAAGGAATAGAAAACACTCAGATAAATTACAAAGTTGCGCCGGGGGTAAAAGGCCATATTTGAACGCATAAGAACCCCAAGCCCTCGAGGGGGCGTGAACATACCCTCGGTCAAGATCCCGTGTCTCGGTACAATGCTCCCCCGAGCCTGTCAACACTAGCAGTTTCCCAAAGGGGCAAAATCCTTCTCACCGGGCAGTTAGTCATCGGGCTCGTGGGAGACGAATCGGGGGACTCCGATTGGCAGAACCCAGTGATTTGTGGAGAATCTCTAAATGCGAATTAGTGTTTTGCGGGGTTAGTTGCCGGTGACTGCCTCAGGCCTCAACCTGTTTGTCACTTCTCTTCGCCCATGTTGTTGATTCTTTCGGTGTTCCTTTCCCTCTGTACCCTACTCCCCAGACCCGGTTTCTTGGACACTATCTAAGTGTTAAATCGGATTCTTCACAGAATCCTTCGGCTTTCGGACCGAACCAAATTCACCACCGATACGGGTCCCCGTCACCATGCAGTAGGGGTTTGACCGAGGATCTGTCTTAAACCCCGACCTCGCTACAGTACCATGCCGAACACTGCTGCACCCGCAGTCTCTGCGCAGCAGACTCCACCGATAAGGCGCCCCTTTGGAGATCAGGACAGAGATCAGAGCGCAGATGAATCCTGGTCTGCTGTTGATAGCGATAACGATCTTGTCACTCAAAATGGAAATGCGTCTCGCTCACTGAAACGCAAGCGCCCTCTCACAGTGTCGTACGTACCTCCGCCCTCGGGCCTGCAGCACGAGGTTACCATCTTCTTTCCCCTCGTCCTCTGGCCCAATTCCAGTGCCCGATGATCGTTTATGGAATAGTCAAACTAACGGCTCAAGATGCGAGCTGTGTAAGCAACGGAAAGTCAAATGTGGTGAGTAATTCTTGCCTCAGTGATTCTGCACTAGCCCTTTTGCGACCCTCTTTCTCTCGCGATAGATGATGCTGTAGGCTGAAATTATTAGATCGAGCTCAACCAAGCTGCGGCTGGTGCGCTCGTAATGGCCAGCTATGTGAATACAAAGAACGAAAGAAACCGGGTCTTCGGGCTGGGTATGGCAAAGAATTGGAACAACGTTTAGGTATGTTTTCTTACTCTTCAACTCTCGCTTGTTCACTTTCATCTCTCAGAATTTTGCTCACATGTTTCACAGACAGGCTAGAGGAGGTGATTCAGACACAGGCCCGTCTCATTGAAACACACATCCTACAGAGCCAGCCTCGGTTAAATCATGAGTTCCCTCATGCTGCGCCCCATTCTTATAGTTCGCCGTCAGAGCCTTCTGCTGCTCATGGGCCAAGTCCTCGAAATGCAGCTTACTTTCATGAGCCAGCATCTGTGCCAGCTCATCCACGTCCGTCTGACGCATCTATTACTAGTCCTTCAGACATCTCCGTTAGGAACGTGATGCATAGCCATCTAACAAGTAACCTAAACCCACCTATACCTATCCCACAAATTTCTGATACCACACACCCGAGTGATTATACGGGAAATGAGTCATCATTGAAGGTACCAGTCAATTTGTTCTCCAATCAGGAACAGTCATTTGCGGACCCAGAACTCGATCTCCCACCGTACGATCTGCTATACGCGCTGGTCGACCTTTACTTTGACCATATAAATTCGTGGTGTCCTATTCTTCACCGACGTACGACTCTAGACACCTTCTTCGGCCCATCCCCTCTTGAAGAAGCCGATCGCATGGTTCTGTATGCTATCGTTGCAACTACGCTGCGCTTTTCGAGTGACAGTAGGCTCAACGAGCAAAATCGGAAGCGGTACCATGATTCGTCCAAGCAGAAAGTCTTGCTTTATGGTTTAGAGAACTCCTCGGTCAAGGCGCTTCAGGCCCTGGTTATACTGGCTTTGGACTTAGTGGGCTCCTCCAATGGGCCTCCCGGTTGGAAACTGCTTGCCCTGATTACGCGATCCGTGGTTCAGTTGGGGTTGGCTGTTGAATCCAAATCCTCACTCATAGCTCCCGTTTACCCTTCCATCTATACCCTAAGAGCGGTTACTCTCCCCGACTCAGAGTCTTGGATTGAAGATGAAGGCAGGCGCAGACTTTTCTGGATGGTATATTTCCTGGACCGATATTCGACCCTTGCAACAGCCTTTGATTTTGCATTGGACGATAAAGATATCGACCGCAAGCTCCCATGCAAGGACGAATTTTTCATGAAAAACCAGCCCGTAGAAACTAGATGGTTTCACCACTCGAGCGATCGTGCTGACTATATAAAGCGTGCTGAAAATGTCGGCTCCTTCGGACTTTACGTGGAAATTCTCGGCATCATGTCCCGTATTCATACCTTCTTGAAACGGCCCGTGGATATCGGCGCTTTATCGGATGTTGAAGAGTGGCAAGCAACATATCGCAAGTTGGATGGTGAGCTAACGGCCTGGGAGTTTGGCCTTCCGGCTGAATATGCCTACGAAAACTCATCTAGGTTGTTCAATGGCTCGAAATCAAACAAGGGCCTCCCCTGTGACTGGGTTCAACTCCATGCCACATATCAAACGTAAGCATTACCATTAACCCTGATCTTATTCCCGAGTTATCTCGCAATGCCAAATCTAAATAATTACAGTGCGGTAATAAGACTCCACTCATCGGCTGCATACCCAACGACTCGATCCCCGATATTCACGCCGTCATACAGTGCCAGCCAGCGCTGTTTATTCGCAGTCGAAAACATCCTTTCTGTGACGCGCTTTGTTGTAGATAACAACATGCTCGATAAGCTTGGACCACCTTTTGCCTTCACGCTCTGGGTCTCTGCGCGCTTACTACTTGTCCATGGCTCTACGATCGCTCATACTGTGAGCCCGGATATAATCTTCTTTGTCGATACGCTCGCCCAGATGGGAAAGTACTGGAAGGTAGCTGAACGCTACAGCACAATCCTGCAGCGTGTACTTGACGAGTATGGTGAATATCAACAATCTGGTGTTGAAGATTCCGAGCGTGTAACGCCATCCAGTGTGAAGATCCTCGCAGATATGAGGCGCTGTGCTTTTGACCTGGACTTCTTGATATCCCGACAGCCACGCTCGTCACCTGCAGGAAGCCAGCCGACAGTACCAACCCCGGCCGCGCATCCACGCAACCTTGCACCAAATGAATTAGAATATCTTGATGTTTTCGGCTTCTTCAATGTGCCACGAGTACCTGCTGCCAGAGCTCCCGATATCACTGGCCTCGATATAAATGAGACGGTCAACAATCCTATGTCAATAAATGGTCTTACTGGGTCTGTTGTGGATGGTTCTGCGCCCAATGCAAACGAATTTAATATCACGAACTACTTGATCCCGACTCCGGAGACGGACTGGTTATTTCGCTCAGAAGGCTAACCATTACCCGCCAAATATTTTCTGATACCACCTGCTTCGCCCTCCAACGGTCAAGGAGGGCTCTTGCATTCCGGGTTTAACACCAGGCCGCCAGGCGTGACATATTTAAGCTGTACCCTTGTCTTCCAGCTCGCCTAACTTAACAGACCTAGTTTACCACCATGGATCTGACCATTGGACAACAAGCTTTGTCAAATGTTACAACACAGCCATAAGTGAGAAAGGTTTAGCCCGAATATGCTATGGAGGTTTTTGCGACACAGAGGGAGCACGATCGAGCCATTCCTCTAAAGTTGGGCTAGACCCAAAAGCAGGGTTCTTGCTACACCATCAACTCCACTTTCCACTATTTTGCTTGCCTGATAATGTAGCTTGCCACCAGTACGAGCAACTCAATGTTGTTCAGCTTCACATACGCCACGGGTCATTGCAATCTTTGAGGATATTGCTACCGCATCACTACTCCCTTAGGCTGTGGCCAACAATCCAGAGCCGTGAGACCACCAAGTATGTGTCGGAGAAGTATGTATGATAATATTCTGAAGCTTTAAGCATTTCGAAGCACATGTACAGTAACAGAAAGTCTTTGCAATCCTTCAGCGTATCCTCAGCGCAAGTTATGAAAGTAGAAAAACAAGATCGAAAAGAAAAAGAATGAGATGCAAGCCATAGAGTTCCCATGAAGCAACTCAGGAATCGAGTTTAAAGGATCCAGCCCCGAACATTTGACAAAGAGAAAATGCTAAAACAAACGAGAATGCATCTCACGTATCATAAAAGGCGTATTCAATCAGTCATACGACGGTATCTGACTCTTCATGTATGTGTCTTGTTTCATCAACGATTTGGGATATAATGTCCGGACAATAAGCTCCCTATATGCAAATCGCAAGCCCGGCAGACCAATATCAATACCATATCGACCCTAGTGTGTAAAGCTAGCCACAAGAAAACCTCAACGGCGAGGAAAATGTGCCTACTGTTCAATTCCTGGGTGTCGGTAGTTCTTCATCAGCGGGTTCAATTCTGACGAGTACTTCTTCTAGGAATCCTTCCAAGAATGAGGAGACATCGGCGCCCATTCCGACGGGTGCTTCGTTGTCCCAACGCTCAATCCTTGTGAATATTCCACCCAAGTCGTTCACAAGAGACTCCATCATTTGCTGAACATATTCCCGATTCGATTGGAGTTCGTATGTTTCCATTCTGGTATGGCCATTTTCTGCACTAGGGTTGCGCGATAGAAGTTCCAGGCGACGAGAACGACGGCGAACAGCCGCCTTTAGAGCAGGTAAGATAACACTATTCAGCGCTGTAATGTCGTTTGATGGAGGCATTTCAACACTAGGCTGTAGATTAGAGTCCATACCCCTGTGAAGCGGACCAAAACTACTCCCCAGACCAGGAGGCTGCAATGGTGTCTGGAGATGTCGTTGTGGTTGGGGAGATGCGTGTCTTGGTGTTGGTGGTGGGCGAGGAGATGGTTGGAACGCTTGGTGGTGAGGACGGGTTTCCGCTGCAGGTTTAGGACTCTGGTCCGAAGGACGTCGCAAGGGCTGTGCTGGCATGCGTTCCTGATGTGATGAGACCCCCAAAGCGCGAGGTAGATTGGCTTTTCTACTTTCTTGTGGAGCTGGAACGGCACGCCGGCTGTTCACGGAGGGCGAGGGACTTTCTGGGGTAGGATCAATATGAAGAAAAGATATGTCTCGGGCCAAGGATTGTTGCAGAGCTCTATCGTATTCACTGCCAGGGCTCTCCTTTAGCTGTTGGGGAATTGGTCTCTGAAGTTGGGATGGTGTTCGAGGGTTGACCTCTGCCGGGCCCTGTTTCACTGGGGATGGTGGTAGCGGAACTTTTGTTGGTGATGAAGGCTTTGACGCAGCCGTTGAAATGTGCTTCGTCTGTGCAGGTCTCTGTGGTGTGTAATTATTTATTTCCACTGATTCTCTTGGTGGCCGATCTTTAGGCTCCCACTCTGACGATTCGTGACCTCGTGTGTTCATATCCGCTTCTTTCATGGGCTTTAGACCAGGGCCCCGTCCAGCGGGGCGTACAGTCCCAAAATCCCAAAGATCATCCTCGTCTTCGGCGTTTGTGGGCTTCGGTGGAGGCTCAAATGCAGGCTCTTCTTCATCATCGGCATTTTTGTTGCCATAGACAGCATGCCACCGTTCATAGCGTTCAATCAATTCTGTCAAATAGTTGGTCTTCTTCGCCCTCTTGATAAAAGGGTGTTCAAGCAATTCTCTGGCAGACGGTCGTTCCCTAGGATCGCGGCGCAGGCAGAGCTCAACGAAGTTTTTGAAAGATTTGCTGAAATTTCCTTGCAAAGTGGGGGGAGGGTTCTTTGGGATCAGAAACAAGACCTTCATAGGATGAATATCAGAGTATGGGGGCTCTCCATTGGCCAGTTCAATTGCTGTGATCCCGAGAGACCAGATATCTGCTTTGTAATCATACCCTGATTGCTTGATAACCTCTGGAGCCATCCAAAAAGGTGTACCTACAAAGGTGTTCTTCTTCGTCATCGTTGCGGATAGTTGGCCAGAAACACCGAAATCCGCTAGTTTTACCTGCCCACTTGAGGTTAAGAGAATATTTGCAGCTACCATGCGATCAGTTATTGACTTTTCTAAGAGCTATCACGGAAAGAGACGGTTACCTTTTATGTCGCGGTGCAACTTTTTATCGCTGTGAAGATAGTCTAGTCCTCGAAGGAGTTCTCTCAGGATGATCATGATATAATCCTCCGGGATTGTCCCCGGGCGCATCAAATCAGAACAACTACCCCCAGAGCAAAACTCCATAACTATCCATAAGCTTGAGCCCTTCAAAAAAGAGCCATGGTACCTTGTCACATATGGGGAGTTGAGTTCAGATAAGATGGCAATTTCTTGGATGATGTCTTCGACTTCGTCTTCAGCATTTTCCACATCGATAATCTTGATTGCAACAGAGGCGCCCGTCCGCTTATCGACCCTAATATTCACGAGTCAGTGTCAAGGAAAATCACTCAAGTCAGAGATTTTTTTTAAATGTCGTATCATACCCTTTGTAGACACGCCCAAAGCTCCCACCCCCTGTACTTCAAGTTAGGGCACGGTGCTACATTGACGAGAGGCCTGTGAAAAGATAAAGCATACCAATGCAATTCTGCTTCATGTAAATTGACTCTGGATCCACTAGGCCTTCCATGTTTGTTGAGTGTGAGATTTATCGTGACGAATCGCTAATTACGGGTTCATGTAGCTCTGTCGCACTTCAATCTGTCAGCTTATGCAAAAGTGAGATGCGCAATCAAAGATCAGTCATGCAGAGCGGCTATATGCAGAGAAAATGGAGAAATGAAGCAAATAAAGACAAAAGTATGGTGGAATGGATAACAAAAGATGACAGCGCATAATAAGCGTCGAAGGATCAAGATAACAACATACCGACCAAACAAGGGGGACGGGCCTAGATTGCAAACAGAACAACTAGGCATGGAACACTGAAGTTATTGTATGAATCAATGGCGGCTTATCAAGGAACAAAACTAATAAGGAATTAGGCTCAGAGTTATCCCTGCGGATGTTGTTGCTCGTTTCGACGCTCCACTTACTATTGTTTTGATGGGATCCCTCGTCCGGTGGGACCTGGAGCTGTAGGCCATCAACAATGCGGCGAGAAGCTTTAGAGAGACACAGGAGCAAGCAAGATTGAATCTTTCTTGAAGCTTGTCCAAGCAAACAACACTGATCGGAGCGAGGGGCTTGTATGGACTCCTGTCCTGGCAACAGCTCGGAGAAGGATAACAAAGGATTGTTTTTCCCTTGCATTCATCCGAACAGCAACCACAGGAACCGGCTGGTGATTGGGGCAGGCGCGGGGTCATTTTTGCCGGGCGGTCGAGTTTCCCTTTGCTCCAGTCACGTCTCCATATCTCTCAGGCGGTGAAGGTGAGGAGCAGATCCAGTCAGTGAACCCAATCACATGATTGCACACTAGATAGTTAAGCAGTTAATGTAGACGGGAGTCTTACGGACTCTGTACTGCTTGTACCAACCATGTCTATCCTTTGAAAGGTTTTGCTTGATCTGTCTCATTTTTTGACTTGGAGTTGAGAGATTACCAAAAGAGCAGTATCATGTCAGAAGTCTAGTACTGTACAAAGAAGCTCTATTATATATCTCGACTTATACATATAAGACCACTCTATCACATCGGCACGAGAACATCTATAACCTCTATCTATCATAAAAACCCTGCGGAGCTAACAATATAGGTCCACAGAGGTCTTAAGAGTTACCTATAGGCATACTCTATTGAATGAAACCTCTATCAGATGCTTCCAAAATCGCCTTGTACCAAACATTAGCCATCTTAGCATAGCCCTGCTCATTTGGGTGGGTGTCGTCTGCGACTCCATTCGTGGTATAGTCCTTGGGGTATGAGAGCCGGTTGTTATCATCGTCTGTCTCAGGGTCCATATCAGCCAACACGATGCGGACACCATCTTTTTGCATCTTGTTAGCTAAAGACCGGTACTGGCGATTGACGTTGGGACGGTTGGCCTCAGTCATTTTCTGTACAGAGGGTATTAAGGTGGACAAGACAATCGTTGCGTCGTGTGTGTCCTCAGCTTTCAGAATACTCTCAATCAGGGATCGCATACGCTCGCCAGCGCCTGGGATGCTAATGTTGCGTCTGCAATCGTTGGTTCCCGCATTGATCAAAACCACATTCGGTTTATATTTGAGGGATCCCTGGGCCGCTGCCTTGACCTGATCGATGGTGTCGCCGGAATGCGCCTCGACATTCTGGAGGTAGCCATGTATGTTAATAACATATCAAGATTGACGACACGGATTGGAATCGTTTAGGGGAAGGCAACGAACATCGTCTTTCATGTTACCGTGGTGTTTAGTTCCGACCATATCGACTTCCCAACCGGCTGAGGTAAGTTTACCCCGTAAAGGCCCCCGGTAACCATTTCCAGAAGCAGAGTTTACACCCCATGTAATCGATGCGCCGAGTGGGAGAATTCTTAGGGGCACCTTATCGGCTCTTGTTGTCACACTACCACCCTTGACAGGGGCGAAGATCCCTGTTCGGAGTGGAATCGCTGTGCTAGATACAACTGATAAGAGAAGAAGCCAGAGGGCAAAAAGAGGATACGACTGAGCCATTTTCCTTTGCTGTTGTGTCTGTTAAAATCACTTTGTGTTCACACTTCAAGGGTTCCTGGCTAGTGTTCGTCTTGCATGCTCTTAAATGATTGCGACTGAGTTGCGAAGGTGGTTAGCGCTGTCCACCGTGATTTAGCGACCGTCAGCCACGATGATCGACATCCTTGGCCCCGGGCCATCGTTCCAGGGCGATGCAGAATCCTTCGGTCCACAAATCCTTTCAGGTCCACTCGGAGGCTATGTTAGCGGGAGTTGGAACGTTTGCCATTGTTATTCGGCAGTTCGTCTGCCAGATATACGTACATCACAGGCGCCCAAGAAGTAGGGCTATTTTTACCTAGGCTTATTAGATATAATAATGATAGCTTTGGCTTATTTCAGCAATCACACGTGAGATCTGCAGAGGATCATATCACATAAGCGCTTTGTGGCTCGGAGTGTTCACAAGTATATCGCATCATAACCTCTGGAACAGCTATCTAAAATGGACACAACCAGACATATTCCAAGTAACGGCAGATCTTCCCGATCATATGTAACTTACCCCTCAAATGACCAGCATCGTTGCGTCAATTATATGGACATCTCGGCATTTTCTTGCCGATTGTTGGGTTATGCAAGAGCACTGTGAACCTATCATGCAGGATAAACCTCTAGTTAATTCCGATATGAACGGAATATGAAGGTGTGTTTCGTTTGTATATTAAGGCCCCCCCAATCCACGAGAAGCTTCAGCCTGCTGATCCATTGATCCTCTCGTCCGAACTCTATATCTGCCAAACGGATCTTACTATAATTATCTACAATGTCGTTGCCTACTAGCAACTTGGCATTTCTTACCAGCCCCCTGGGTACTTTCGAGGTTATAGGTGGAGTTATCGCTTTGGTACGATAGCTTACCCTGTATTACTATTGTTCAGCTTAGTAGTAGACATCCTGTGGGCCTCTCACCTGACATAAGCGTTTTAGGTCTCCATTGCAACTATTGCCTCGTGGTCGTACAACGTGTTCTTCCACCCACTCTCGAGCTATCCTGGGCCTCGGCTCGCCGCAGCCAATAGGCTCTGGTACGCCTGGCACTGTGCTAACGGTTCTTTACCTTTTGCCATTCACGAGCTTCACGTAAGGTATGGTGATGTAGTCCGGGTGGCTCCAGATGAGCTTTCGTATATCCACCCAGATGGGTGGAACGAGATTTACGGTCATCGTCCTGGAAAACCGGAGATTCCGAAAGATCCAAACTTTTATACGAGTACACTATCTGGTCCGGAAGGTGTCTTTCGCGCCCCCCGGGACCGTCATGGATACCTCCGAAGACAGATGTCACATGGATTCTCCGATAAATCGATGAGAGAGCAAGAGGACACTATACGGCACCACGCGGACCTAATGATTAGCTACCTGAGCACTCAAGCCAATAGAGAGAAGGAAAATGTTGTGGACTTTACCCGTTGGTACAATGTGGGTAGTAAATTGATCTCCTCCCTCGGTATACTTGTTTGGCTCGTTGGACTGAATTTTCTATAGTATTTTACATTCGATGTCATGGGTCAATTGGTCTTCGGGGAGTCCTTTAATTGTCTTCAAAGCTCTGATTTTCACCCTTGGGTCAGCATAATATTCGACAGCATCCGCTACAATGTTTACGTTCGATGCGCCCAGTTCTGGCCCTGGCTAAGCCCGGCCATTCGAAGGCTTATTCCGAAGAGCTTCCAACGCCGTAAGATTGAGCAGCAAGCGCTAAGCCGGGAGAAGGCAAACTATCGGAAGACCATCCATGACGGGCGGAATGACTTAGTTGCTAATCTCCTCAAGCCCAACAGTGGTGTAACTGATCCGGAATACCAATCAACGGTACAGACATTGATCGTTGCGGGCAGCGAAACTACTGCCTCCTTGCTATGCGGTGTTACTTTCCACCTCCTTAACAACCCAGAAAAATTGGAAAAGGCTGTGAGAGAAGTCCGAAGCGAGTTCGATTCAGCAGATAAGATCTCCTTCGTCAGCGTAAACAAGCTACATTATCTTCTAGCTTGCCTGAATGAAGCCTTACGAGTTTATCCCCCTGTGGCGGACGGATTCCCCCGGAACACGGGATCTAATGTAGAGGTGATAAATGGTCGACCAGTGCCCCCAAATGTAAGAATTGAATAAGCTGAATCTTTCATCGAGTGTCTTGGGAAAACTGATTAATAGATTGCAGACTGCCATTCGCATGACACACTGGGCGACCTACCGTTCTCCTCGAAACTTCGTGCGCCCCAATGAATACATCCCTGAACGATGGTTAGGCAATATGCCAGGATTCGAGAACGATCACAAAAATGCCTTACAGCCGTTCCATGTTGGACCTCGCAATTGCATTGGTCGAAAGTACGTATTTCCCCCGAACCTTACTGTTTGACGCCAGCTGACGAACAACAGTCTTGCATATATGGAAATGCGCTTGCTGTTGGCTTTGGTGCTCTGGAACTTTGATCTGGAACTTTGTCCAGCTTCGAAGAGCTGGGATAACCAAAGAGTATACAATCTATGGGAGAAACCAGAGCTGAAGGTTAAGATTTTACCTAAGAAACTATAGTCTCAGAGGTCTCATGATTGTCAACCCTCTGCGTTGACGGTGCTCACATTGAGGAAAGGTCCAGTATAAGAGAAACATTCAGTTAAAAACGCTCAAATTATCCATGGTGGGCATTACATATCTCAGGTTGCAATGGAATATAGTGGACTAGTTCATTTTATGCTCTTTATGTCGATAACAAGTCAGTTAACCAAAATAACATTTGTTGATTGCCGTACAGGGAGGTTTGAAAACTCACAATGTAAGAAGAAGAAGAAGAAAATAAGGAGAGGACAGAGGGAATTAAAGGTAAGCCTGGGTAAATCTACTGTATCTTCTGGGGTTCCTGAGCACCAGCGTTCATAGCCGGCCCTCCTAGCCACAAAAGGTCGTGCTAGCTGACTTCTATGAATGCCATAAGCACGTGAGCGTGATTGCACATATAACGTGAATATGCGTTGTTGTGGAAGAAATTGACATTCCCGAGGAATATACTTTAAGTTTGAAGCTATGGTTATAGATTTCCTGATTTTTCCGACTCAAGGCCCAGTTTACAAAGACTGCCTTCATTGCTATAAACAAAAGTAAGTGTTTTACAACTATACTAGAAGTTTTATTGAATACTACGGTTGCAGCATGCTATTGAGCCCCGCTGTATATATAAGGGAAAGGAAAAGGATTGGGTGTATCTGTGTCAAATTTCGAGGACAAGGTCCAGCTAAGTTGCTATCAGTATACGAGAAGCAATGCTCTCAATAAGGTCCGGTCATCTGTTACAATCGGATATACTTCAATTCATGTTTGCAGACATTTCCATGACGGCTACTCTTTACAACAATACAGTAGCAGCATACTTTCCTAGGTCACTTATGTTATATATGGTACTAATACCAGATTAAGAAAGTTTGTTATTCATGGAGCACCAATTGGATTAGGGTTAATGAACCCCGAGTTTATAGATGATTTTCACCCTCTGGAAAAGGGCTATAATGTGCACAGAGGCTCATGGCGGATTTATAGCTTTCCTTGATTAGTAAATGATCTTATGTTTGCAAAGTTGCAATCCAGTGATTGTGCCTGGTATCTCCTACTATGGACTGACTCCCGTTAGTAACAGGATGTGTGCTAAATTGTCCAATAAACACTGGACAAATTAGGAAGGGAATACGGAAACTGGAAAGAAAACAATTCTAACCTAGGCAAGAATGCCTCCCTATCTAAGTGAGAACCCATGGTGTAAAATGTAGCCTCTGTCCCTTGAGCCTTGACCGGCCGGTTCATAAGTCTCCGAGCCCAACGCCTCATCAAATGCAGGTATCATATCCTCAATCATGTGCATTTATTCTTCAACGTATCCTATCATTACTGTACCATTCTTCAAGCCCGCATCTTCCACACTAATGTCAAGAGAGTCGAGCAGATTGTGACCCAGGGAGTTGAGCTCGAACTCCACGCCCGCTTTATCTGGCAACGGAGGATCGGCCTTGAGCCATTCGTAGATTCTTCGAACGGGATCCTTCAGAGCGAAGCGTCGGATTACTCTTCCGGACGGATGGCGGAACTGAATGCGTGTAGTCGTAGCCGGGTCGGCGGGGGGCTCGGTGTGAGGCTTATCATTTGGAATTGAGGCGAATGGAGATGTTTCAGCTTCGCCCTTTCCGCCTAGATCTGCTTCACCCATGCTGATGTCTTCGGTATCGGCTGCTCGGCCTTTGCCTTTCACGTCCTCGACGCTCCGAGTCAAATCGTCGGGATCTTCCAATTTCTGAGATTGGGAGGGATCTCCACCAAGGCTATTTCTCATTGCCAATTCCATCATCTCCTCTTCCGTCATAGCATCAATGCTCTTCTCCTTCTGCTCTGGTTTCCGCTTGGCTACTGGATTCCGCACATTGTGGTTAAGACTGTAACGGTCGAGAAATTCATGCAGTTGCATCAGGAACTCTGCAGCCTTCACCACAGGCGGCCCGGACCATACCTTCATCTGCTCGCCGGTGCGTGGGTCGACAATGGCAATATGAGGGTAGTTGTCGGAGACGTCGCTCGCTTGGAAATAGTATTGTAGGTACTGCGCAGCTCGTGGATCGTCTTTAGCGTACTGCAGGAAGAGGAAGTGTTCTTTGACAGTGTCTCGGATCCCAGCGTCCTTCCATAGGTCCCTGTTCAACAACTGACAGTCAAAGATGGAGGGGTCTTGTATATTGACCAGCAGCCACCTCTCATTCTCACGGCCTTCCTGACGGGCTAGATCCCATGGGAGTCGTGACATAATCTCAAAAGGCGGACGGTACATTTCTGCAAGCATATTTGATTTATTCGAAGCATCGGACGCACCCCCGGTTGCTTCTGAAAGCCTTTGGCGACGTGAGGCCTCGTCCTCTCCTGTCCATATCGAAGAAGTATCCCTCTGATTGAAGATACCAGGTCGATCTAACAGGTGTTAAGGTTAGCTGGCGAACGTGAGAGGGTATTGATATGGGGATACTAACTGTTTCGTTGCTGGCGAGCGCGCAATTGGCCCAGTATGCTTGCGTGCATATCGCCATCGTCGAAGTCCGCATCTGGGCCTACGAGTGTTTCTGTTGTGCGAGCCATCGGAGCACGCACATCATCATCTTCAACTGCTGCTCCCCCACGTCCCCCACCACCATACATTTCCTCTTGGAGACGTCGAGCCATGGCCTCGTCATCTTCATAGGTAGAATTTGGTGGCGGTTGGTGCCGAGGGGTAGATCGCGCTTCGTCAACAGTGACCTCGTCATCAGAGCCGATATGTACAGCCCCGCTATCGCCTGCGGTAGGTCGAACTCCTGGAGTGTCTGATGTAGATGGAATTAGCTCATCAGTTAATGGTGCGCCTCCGTTTTCGAAATAAAGCTGCATGGCTTGTTCAATATTGTAATCGGCTAAGTGGAGGTACTGAGTGGCCAGTTCAGGGCTCGAGCCCGTGATCTCGGTGAACTGAGCCACCACATCGTCGTTCATAGCGGGCAGGATTCCTGAGAAGGACTCGATAACGGCGAGTATTTGAGGAAGATGAGCGAGATGTTAACTTGTCGTGATAGAAGAAGCTATCCCACAAGATTTAGTGTATTGAGACTTGTGACGAATGTGATGCAAACAGCTGCAAACAGCTGTTATGAGCTGTAATTGCTCAGTGAATGAGAAGGATAAAAAGCCACCGAGGTTTTAATTAACAATGATCGCAGTTATTTGGTAAAATGAATAAATTCGGCATATGAGCTTTTTGTTACTTGGCGGGATCACTGATACCAACGGAATGATCTGATCAGATATATGGCTTTGCAGAACAGGCCCGCATCATCAGGTAGAGCCGAGTGACGCACTTTGCTTTGGTGGATTTACCCTTGGGATAATCAGATTCTCCGCCACCGCGGGGATAAGCGGCCTTTACGCGCCCGACTTAAGAGTTGCGTTATTGGCTTTCCCGCCGGTCCGTAGCCAGGCCCATGTGATTTTCCTTTTTCGGGGCATTGGAGGACGCGTGACGCGAGGCGGAAAAACGCGTGAGGGCGGCGCGAATAAAAAAGGGACGGGCCAATTATGCCTGGTTGAGGCATAGTCCATATCACCGGGTCTGCCAAGTACCTGTCATCGAACCTCTAGACCTAGTAGCGACCTATTACTTTTATGTGTAGTACTACCACCTCTGTCGTACTTGCCTATTCATACCTTCTCCTCCACATCTGCTCCTTCCCCAGCAGCTACTGATAGTTTCGAGCGCTCACAATGACTGCTTCGGTTCTTGGCAAGCGCCAACGGAATACTCTTGAGGTAGGAGGTACGATTGCGTGACATGGACCTTTTCTTTGCTCTCTCCTTCCTCAGGCGTCGTTGAACCCAGCCCATGCTAACTAATTGATATTAGTGCCAGTGCTACCTGTGCGCAGTGCCAGTAAGCGCCGAACACAACCGCCTCGCATCCTTCAGGAAGAAAATGCACCGTCTGCACCGACAACACGCCAACTGCGGTCAAAGACAAGGAGTGGCAGCACCTACCAACAGGAAAATGATGCCAAGTCTGAGGACGACTCCAATAGAATTGGAAGTGTGAAGGATGAAGAGCCGGAGCAAGAAGCGCTATCTCCCACAAAACCCCATTCGCGTATCCGTACCTCAACATCAATCAATGGAGGATTATCGACGAAGAAGTGCGGCGATCCTCAACCGGCAACTATAGATGAGAATACGAGACCGGTTGAGTTCAAGACTCCTTCAAAGTCTAGATACAGGGACGCCCTTGACTCGCCGCCTATCACACCAAAGCACCGGGTTCAGGTCGGAGGAATCTCGTTAACTCCACGTACACCTCGACAGACATTAACACCACAAGCCACACAAAACACACAAACAATTTATACTCAGGCCAGACAATTGTTTGCCCGGGGCGCAAATTCGGGTCGCCTTATTGGCCGGGAAGCGGAACGGGAAAAGCTAGTCACGTTCATCCAAGATGGTCTCCAGTCACGGCAAGGTGGCTGTCTGTATGTCAGCGGTCCTCCTGGGACGGGCAAAAGTGCTATGGTTAAAGAAGTGTGTGATGAGCTTGACCTGGGCTCTATGAAAGTTACACATGTCAATTGTGCGAGCATGCGAAGTGCTCGAGATGTCTATAGCAAGCTCATCGAAGATCTCTGCGACGACCAGCAGATTTTCAAAAAGAGTGAAGCAGAGAGGCTAAAAGCCATGTTCACCTCTAATAAGAAGCAGGATGATATGTATCTGGTTTCATTGGATGAAATAGACCACCTACTTACCGCGGATGCGGGTATCCTGCAATCTTTGTTCGAGTGGTCATTGCAAGGAAAATCCAAGCTCATGCTTATCGGAATTGCCAATGCGCTAGATTTGACCGACCGTGCATTGCCACAGCTCAAGGCAAAGAACCTGAAACCTCGTTTACTTCCTTTCTTACCTTACAACGCTGGTCAGATCGCCAACGTAGTCACTGAACGTCTCCGCTCGTTGCTCTCTGCTGGCCAGTGCGATGATCCCAAATTCATTCCTTTTGTCCAACCGGCAGCTATTATGTTATGCTCGAAGAAAGTTGCATCGCAGACCGGCGATCTGCGAAAGGCTTTTGAGCTCATCAAGCGTGCTATTGATCTCATCGAGCAAGAAACGCTGCAGAAACTCGAAAAACAGAACGAGAACCCGGAGAGCCCTTCTCAAACAATACTCGTTGAGAATAACAACCTCTCATCCCCCAGGCCAAAGCAAAATCTTACATCAGCATATACAGCACTTACTGCACCACGAGCCAGCATTGCCCATGTTGCACGCATTACTTCGGCCACATTTGGACAAGGGACCGTCCAACGACTTCAAGGCATCAATCTCCAGCAAAAGGCGGCCATTTGTGCATTGATTGCGCTCGACCGTAAACGACGTGAAGGGGAATTTCCAGGTACACCGTCGAAGGCCAAACATTCGGCCCCAACAATCAAGCAAATCTTTGATACCTACTGCACGCTATGCCGGAAAGATAACATCCTCCACCCACTTACAGCCACTGAGTTCAGAGATGTACTTAGCAACTTGGAGACTCTAGGACTGGTTGGAGAATACCAAGGTAAGGGCCGAGGCGGCACAGTTGCCGGTGGTTCGAACATCAGACGTTCTCCCTCTAAATCAATGAGTGGGCCTATGACCCCCAGCAGAGCTATGGATGAACAGAGCCTGGTTTGCTTTGTGTCCCAAAAAGAGATTGAAACTCAGCTTTCTGGCCCAGGAGAGGGGATCCTCAGACGGCTGCTCACTGGCCAGGGGTTGTGATATGTATAATGAACCGTACCGCACGGATGGAGTCTATTGGATAAATTTTGTTGTCAATCATTTGTACAGGTGTTGGATCCAGGGATGCATTCTTTGCCTAGCGTTTATCATAGCATTCGCACATAGCGCTGTATAGTTTATCTAGATACGATCATAGTGTTACTAAGACAATATGAGTTATACATAAGATGTCATAAATCGCGAACACGTTTCTACATATGAATAAGCTATCAGCTCATCGAAAACTGAAAGGGCTATACAATCGATTCCACACGGGTCGCTGAGAAGAGGACATTGTGAAAGCGCGCAAACCAAGAAGTAACACAAAATGGGAGGTAGATATTTCATGCATACAAAGAGACAAGTGGAATCAATAAAGGATAAAACATACATGGAATAAATTTCGAGGGGTATGCGAAACGATAGCGAACGGTATGGTATGGTTTATACTTGAATAGAAAAGAAAACAAATGGTAAAAGAAGGGCTTCGGACAAACATAATGAGTATATCGCAACTTCCATTGTCGTACATCAATCTCGACTGACAAGGCCTGCTGAAAGTCTGAATGATGCCGACTACATACATACATTTCCCTCCTGAGGCTGTACTTTTTAGTTCTTTGGTTTTCCGGATTCTTTGCTGAGAGTGATGCCAGTCATTCCTTTGTTTCGCTTCAATCGACAGTACGTTTAGTCATCATCCATTGGCTTGTCTTCCAGGGTTACGCCCTTGGGTTCGCTGTCAGCCAAGCTGTTGCGCTTGCTATCTGTTCCGGATTCGCTTGAGACGACAGGGAAGCTGGAGCGGTTGCCGAGCCCGGGCTTACGGGTGAATGAAGCGCGATTTATGGAAGCGCGCTTCTCTGCATCCACGGCTGGCGTAGGAGTAGGGGTAGGAGAGTCCTCGGATGCTGTTGTCGCAGCCATGGGTGGGGGGGTCGAAGTGCCAGAGGAGGGAGTCTCGTTGGCAGTAGCCGAAGCCGAGGAATCACTGGACGTGCCGTTGGGAGTAGCCTCAGTGGCAGGAGCATCAGTAGCAGCGTTGATGTTCACGTTTGATAGTTGTTCTTGAGCGGTCGGCGAGCTGTTGCTGCTAGGAACGTCTAGGCTGTTACGTGTAACCGTTCGCCTCTCGGTCGGGCTGGAAACGTTGACTGGGAAGCGGCCTGCCTCCGAGGGACCGCTGGAGCGATCCCGTCTGTGTTTCCGAGGAGGAGCAGGGCTGTTGGCCCGAGTGCGATCCATAATCGCACGGGCTCGAGCCTCCATAGCTGCACGACGGTTGCTCTCATCCGTGCTAATAGCGCGGGGGCGGCTGATAGAGCCGGTGACCCCGAGAGCGCTGGACTGGCGCTTCAGCTCGCCAAAGATTGCATCCTTGTGAGCAAAAAGGTCACGGATGAGACGATAGCTGTGACGCTCATTCATGGTAAGGCTACTCTCAACGCGTGGGCGAAGAATGCAAGGAGACAGTGCTTGCGCGAGTGAGGAAATGTAGGTTTCATCGGCAGATGTGAGGTCTATCAGACGTGTAAAATGGGTCATAACAGCATCAAGCGTTGCAATGTTATTGAGACGAAGCTGTCCCAGGGTGCTTTGCAAGACCTTGATTCGGCCTTCTTCCGTCGTCTCATGAGCGGTGGTGGAATAAATGGTCTTAACAATTTCGTAAACTTGCGAAGAAACAAGGGAATCTATCAAAAATAGTCAGCATAGATCTCAGATGTGTTGATGTAAAGGTCGTACGAACCTGGCAACTCAAGAAGATACAATTTCAACACGCTTGCAACAATAGGAACCTCATATTTCTCTAGGACTTCCTGGTAGTCTATCTTGCTGTTGTTCAAGACATTCCGAAGGTGATGGGTGGCTGCCAGAGGGACATCATAAAGCCAGATAGCACGTCGTGCCTCATCACCCTCAAGATCCGGGTAACCTATAGTATTCCGTTAATGCCAAACTGGGGAGGCAGGGACAGCTGTGATCTTACGATTGTCAAGATAGGTCAAGACCGTAGTAACCAGGACAGGAACCCGTTTGCGATCGGCTCTTGCTCGGGCCTCAAGATCCACGCCGAAGTTTTGATCTGAACGGGTTAGTTGTGGTCTAACTTATACAAGATCTATTGATGATATCATACCTTCTACAGAACCATAGTAGTTTTCATATGCTTGGACGCGAGGCACAAAGCCTCCGGTTCGGTAATTCTCAAGAAGATACCGGAGATCTCCAAGGGGCTGAATAGTCTCCTGGTACAGCATCATATGATCCACTGTGCTTTGCAAGTTGGGGATGACATTGCTGATTGCACCAGAGAAATCAAGGACAACTGCCTTAATCGCCTTAAGCCGGTCCAATTCACACTGTTCCATAAACCGGAGATTCTCCACAATCTCTTCCTCCAGTTTGCATCTAATCTGGTCCAGCTTCCGCACAGCAGCCTTGTACCGTTCATCAGCCTCGCGCGCTTCTCTGCGCAGCTTCTCCGCCGGCGTCTCATTCGGATGAGCGTTGTTGAGAGGGTTCCAGCCTGCTAACATTTCCGAGACAGTAGATATCGGGGACTCGCTGCCGTCCTCACTGTTCGCCATCGATGTTACACGCAAGAGAGGCGTCTTCTTTTCGGGGATGCCAGTGATTTGAAACACTTTGGGGCGCCATTGGTATCGCATCTTGGTGCTATTAGCGAATGTACTACCCATATTACCCACCAACCGGAGCAAGCCATTGTCGACAAGATCCTGCCCGATCCTTTCCGCATAGCTGACGCTGGTTGCGTTCATGTGTTTCTGGGTGTACTCCACGATGTCGGCACCGGTCGATGTATTCTGGTATGTGCCGATGATGGGCACCTTAACATCACCCATTTTGATGTTATCCAACATGTGCACCAACAGCTGCTTAAGACCCTCAGGTGTGTAGACGTGATCGCCAATCTCCATAGGCTCTTCCTCCTCTGCCTCCTCCGGAAGTACGATCTTGGGAGGCGCTTTGGCCGGCGGGCTAGCCTCTGGGGCCTGGAATGCGAGCTTGTTCTCTTCCTCCAAGTCTTCCACCACACGGCATTTGTTGAAATAATGGCTCCGCAGTTTCTTGACCAAGTCCGCTTGTTTTGTGTGTTCTTTGATACGGGCCTGGAGATCGTCGTGTGAATTCTGGATTCGTGCCTCATGCTGGTCGCACCAACGACGGAAAGGTGAGACAACTAATTCGCGAATGTTCGAGGCAATCTTCTGGTGATTCTTGGCGGCTTCGACCATCTCGGTGCGGACACCTTCATATGCCTTCACGTCGCCCAAGAGACTTAGTATACGTAGCACCAGCCATGGTCAGAGTTAGCCTACCTTCCTCACGCTTGCCCCATCGTCCTTTGCAAACCCTGCTCCCGTCAACCGGTCGACAGCCGGCGCAATATCCCCTAACCGGGCGCCATATTGATCTTCCGCATCCGCACGCATAGATGCGATTGTGATGATCTGCTTGTTCTCGACAACGCCTTGCTGGAGCTTCCCATAAAGAACCCCCAGACCTGTGGCGTAGTCTGGCGTCCAGAACGAAGCCGCAAAACCGGACATCGTGACGGTTTGTCGAGGATGCGACCTGTGGGATTCGAAAAAGAAATGAACGGTAACTGTGGACTGGGTAGGGGTATCTCAGAATAGCATCAAAATTTAGAAAATGAATGACTTCTGTCGCCAACAAAGCCACTAATGAAAAACAAGCCACCAGGCTTAGGTTGGGTATTGTCCGCAACGAAAGGGCAGTTGCGCGGGCGGTGAATAAACAGAGAGTGACCAGCCTCGTTCACAGCGCCTGTTTCAAAAGAGGAGTGACAACGAATCCTTTCTGTGGCTTAGACCGGCTGCGAGCAAACATAGGCACCGGAGCGATCTATGCGAGGGCGGCTAGGAAGCGAATAGATGCCCAGAAAGAAAGACCCTAGGAAAGTGATAATCATAAATACCAACAAACACAAAGAGAGTGGAAACTCCGGGTGAGGGTAGAGGACACCGATGCTCTAAGGACGGGATGGATGACAACAGGGGAAGATGATTTCTTTGCTGGCGGAGATCTGAGAGGAAAAGGTCGCTCCGGCTCCATGAGTGTAATTTACCGTTGTGAGACAACCTAGTCCATAACCACCTCAGCCTCACGTGTTTCAGTCCGGTAGCTATTTTTGGCCGCACCGTGAAATATTACACTCTTGGCCAGACTTTAGGAAGTTGTGACACCGTATTTACGGTGGAATACGCGGTTTGTGGACCACTACAAATAGCGTGGGGACATCAAATACAACCATCCTTACAGCCGGTATCAGCTTTACCTATAGCAGTCTGGAACGTTCTCCATATACAAACATGCCAAGACTGGAGAACGACTGTGTCAACATCAACATTCCAAAAGCTTAGCACAACTGCCTCAGCGGTCGCATGGACGATGCCTGGACAGGGAGCAAGGCAATGGGATTCAAACAGGCTTACGACAACCAATCATGCTAGGAGCAATGCTAAAACCATGAGATTGGGTTATCAGAATCGGAATAGAGGCACATTAGTCATAATCGTACAGTGGAGATCAGCGTGTGAATTTCAAGCCTGCGAAACGAAACAATGATCATAAAACTCCCGATGCTAACAGAAGAACTTATATACCTTCTTCCACGCAGGCCACTCTGCCTGTTCGGCTCGTTCCTGCTCAATCAAATACTGAAGGTCGAGATCGCGACGACCGGTTTGCAGGTCCATGTCCTTGGCCCGAATAAATGGCGTCTTGAACCAGAGCTTATACGGGATATAAAAGAGCAGGACAACGGGGGCAGCTAGATATACGGAGAACCAGGCCTCAACAAGCTCACCAGCAGTCATAGTGCTATAACCGATTGGCGCGAATCCAACCCAGAACTGTACGACTAAAACGAGACAGTTGAACAAGAACCCGACCCAGGAGCCAATAACTCCCGGTTGTGATTGGAAGGCGAGCTCTTTTAAGCTGTGGCCCTGAGCCTTCCAGCCACGGCGGAAGCGAATGTGTGCCAAACAAACCGAACCCCAGGTGAAGATGGACGAGAGACCAGAAATGGCCATCATCCACTCAAAGGCCACTTCTTGTTTGTCCGATGCGGCTAAGAAACTGAGCAACCCGAGGGAAGAGGCAATTAGAATTGCCCAGAGAGGGCGACCCTTGCGATCAATGTATGCCAGAAACTTGGGGGCTTGCCCTTGCTCGGCAAGAGCTGCTAGGGTACGAGAGGAGCCGTAAACTGACGAGTTGCCCACAGACAAGACCGCAATCATGATAACGACGTTCATGATAGAATCTAGCACGGAGATACCAGCGTTGTTAATGGCAATCACAAATGGGGAGGCCTTGGCGTCAGCACTGGAGCTGCCATCAAGAAGTCGTGTATCGTCGTAGGGAACAAGAAGGCCAACCAGGGTGAGCGATACAATATAGAAGAGGCAAATACGCCAGAACACCTGCTTGACAGCTGTTGGGAGCGATTTCCGAGGGTTAGCAGTTTCAGCCGCAGCCAAACCAACGAGCTCGGTTCCAGCAAAGGCAAACGCGGCGTTGACAAAGACACTGCAGAGACCTTTGAATCCATTATGGAAAGCACCGGGACTGTGCCAGTACTGTCCACCGATATACCCGCCCTTCGGACCTCCGCCGCAGTTCAGGATAATGCCGAGGATTCTATAGTACGTCAGCTCTGCTGATTAAGGTAATGGATGATGGGGCAAGTATTAGGAACGGAACACTTACATAAAGCCAATAACAGCAACGACCTTGATGAGTGAGAAGACAAACTCGGCCTCACCGTAGCCCCTGACGCCGAACAAGTTGATTGAGACGATCAATACCCAAAAGATCGCGACCCACGCAGCGTTCGAGATATCAGATTGCCAATAGTCGACGGTAATTGACGCAGCTACAATTTCCAGCGGCAGCACTACGAGCCATTGCAGCGCATAGTTCCAACCCATGGCGAAACCCCATGCCGGATCAATGAACCGAGTCGAGTAGTGCGCAAATGAACCTGCGACGGGAAACAGAACCGCCATTTCACCCAGTGCGTGTACAGTGCAGTAAAGCATGCACCCGATTAGAGCATAAGCAATGAGAACCGACGCTGGGCCACCCGTGGCCAAGACTTTTCCGGATCCGACAAATAGACCAGTACCTAATAACGTCAAGAGCGGGGGTCAGAACTAAACGGACTTCATAGTTTGGAACAGCATGATGAAATGATTGCGCATACCAATAGAACCACCGATGGCAATCATCTGCAGATGACGGCCCTTGAGGCTACGCTGCAAGGGTGAAGAAGCAGTCTTCTGCGCGGCGTTTTCGATATCGAAGGACTTCCCATCTGCACCGGAGGAAGTATGGCCGGCCGTGACATGGGCATTTGGATCCCTTTTGAAACTATCCCATATTCTGCGACCAAGACCCGCCTGTGTTGGCTCGGATTCTCCATACAAAGGCGGCGGGGACTCAAAGGTCCCTCCCCGGGGCTCGGCCTTGGCCTCGATCTCGTCCTTCTCCATGATGAACCACCTGGTTTGCCTCTTCAGGAGGTCAACGAGGAAATCAAAACAACGAAAGGGGTTGTAGTAGAAGTAAGGGAGATGCTACTCAAGGGGGAAAAGGAGACAGGGTAAAAGAGAAAGGATGAATGTATCTAAAGCCCTCGGAGAGTATGAGTAGGGCGGCGACCGCTCAAGACAGAAAGCTTGCTGACCGAGAGAGGAGCGGGAGGGAAATGCGTGAATCTATAAAGGAGGTACGGTACCAGTAGTTACACTGAATTCTGAGGGGGTGGGTTATCTGCGTTATTTATATTAAATGAAATAGAATGGAAGAGCAAATAAAATGAATATTATTTTTTTTGCGAGAGGGGGGTCAGAGAATCAAACGCCATGGACCGATTCACACCACCTACTTACTACTTGGGAAGGGTTCCGCAGCATTAACCTATTATCTACGAGCAACGAGGGAGGAGAAGTCATGGCAGCGCGGACATGCCGGTTTGCAGTTCTGGGTCTAGTTCCATGTGGCTTACTGGAAAGAGAGTAGGAGGAGGATCTGGAACCGGACAATTTAGTGGATTCAAGTGCAGTACGGGGAAACCTTAAGTTGGCCCAATGGACGAGGGTCCTGATAGCAGACTGATTGCATTTAATTTCATTATCATTACCATTACTTGACCGTATCGATAAGTCCGGATTTGCGGGAATTTCATGCGACCCAAGGACTCTGCTTAACTCAAGAGCGAATGAGTTAGGGACTAACCGAACCTGGGTTTTGAACCCGCCTTAGGTCGTACATCCATGTATATCCTGGCGGGGACGGACAACTACTACTACAGGCATGTAGCCGACTTATTAGTGACAGGGTTCATGTCAGAATAAATTAATCCATAATCTTTTCCTCCCTTTTATTTTCCTTCCTCCCCCCTCCCTCCTCATCCCCTTGCTTTTCTTGCCAACTCATCCCCGTCCATTTTACCTAGTGGGCCTAAATTCGTACGCCGTAGGCCACTCGGGCGGCTGAGCCAGCAGTGAACATGGTTGCTTCCCGTACTACACTCAGCTAAGGTACATCGCCGTCAAGTAACTTTTCAACGCCACCGTCTAGAATCTCTCGTTCTTGGGTCAGCAGAGACCGTGAACTGTATCGCGTGATTGACTTCTCATACGAGTTTGTGCTTGAGCTTGATTTACCAAGAAAGTCACTTGGCGGCAGGTTCAAATGAAAGCGGTTACGGTTTGGTTGTTAGCATGAATGGCAAATGTTATTTTCCGAACGGGAAAAGGTTAATTTCTTTTCTCTGTTAGTTGCCGTCAAACTGATTCAATAAGTGGAGTTATGTGTCGACATGGACCCGTCTACCTAGTATTGTACTGTACTGACTTTGCTGGGAGCTTATCTCCCCAATCTGGTAAGTACCTCATTATTCAGTCATTATCGGTTTATCAGTGATTGCTATCAGAAGATGACCTGATCCACTTGAGATATTGTCTAAGGTGCGTCGAGGTAAGGAGTTAGTGCCACGCGATACGCTGCGTGGCCCTGCAATCATACGTGAGCTTCACATGCAAGATAAGAATATCAGAAAGTACGAGATGCCGCTAAGCGACTCTCGAGGCCGTGAATACCCAGTAGTACTGATGGGCTGGTACCTGAAGTACACCTGCCCAACCTTACTGCAAGAAATTCGAACGGTTTGTAACTTTCCAGAATAGTGGCAAACGCCACGTCTTTTTTTCGGTCTCTCACTATCACGCCTCGAGGAAGAAAGCATCCTCTCATGAACGACGGGAAGAAGCGCTGAAGGGGGGTGGGGGAAGAGGGCCGTTCGCGGCCTGCAGCTTTCTTTCCCCGCTAGACCAGTGTGTTTTGGGAATCGATCGCCCCCACTTAACTTCCACGCGGTTGGCACCTGAAACCAATCACATCGCCAACATTTACATAGATAAGACAGTTGCGTTGCCCAGAGCCGTGTCAGGACTCAGAGATGGTGCGTTCCATGGTTTCAGAGATTCAAGGCATTCGCCGGGACTTATTGACTATTGCCCAGTCCTATCAAGGCATCTCGTCGTAATTCCTTTTCTCCGAGTACTTAGAAGTATTGCTGTATGTATGTACATACTACGGAGCCTACCAGGTCAAAATTCTGTATAATCGGCTTACATGGGTTGGTGCAGCTGCTAATTAATGAAAACGCAATGTACGCCTGTTTCATGTTTCTATGACATACAAGAACCTCGAAACCCTTACAAAATCATCAGTTGCGACGTCGTTTGCCCTCGTCTAGCTACGGCGTCTAACTTAGTCGAAACTTAAAAGGCAAGTCCTCATATTTCTTTTTGCTCCTTTGGACTAGAACGATACACTTCGGAGGAAATCCTACTCGCTCGATTCTCTTATGCTAAGGACGACCAATGCATGGAAGCACGGGAGAACACCAGCAGAGAAGGGGTCCCGAAAAAGGGGCCCTCAAGTATGTCAGATCTTTGCTTCATCCGTAGACTCAGCAGTGAAATGGTCACCGTCCGACTGGGCCACTGATCAGGATCTTGGTCGAGGTTGCTAACCAAGATCACATTGGCAAAAGCGTCGCGAGCTCCCAACGCGCCTTGGCACCACCATCAGAGTCCTGGCGCTCATGTCGGTTCGACTCGGTTGTGGTCTGAGTCCCTGACAAGGCCATTCAATGGGTAATAAGAATAGCCGAAGGCCGTGCTTCGAACCTTGGCATGTCAGGCAACCCTCATCTCAGTTTACCGCAAGATTGGAATTGTACTCCTTGCAGTAATCTCACTTCCGAGCTCTTCGTTCAGAAAGGGGTTCCTCATGGATCCAAGAAGCCTCGGCCCACACGCTCTTTGTTGGCCCCGGGGATCTGTGCCCATTCCCAAACCGGTAAGACTAAAATATCCCATAGACCATGACCTCGGTATCATTTGTACATAAAAAAGCCCTTCCAAGAATTCTTAACGAGTTCTTTCAATCAACGGTCCACTTGGTTGAGTCCGTTGGGGCGGTGCCGAAAGCAGAAAGAGTACGTGAAAAATATAAAAAAAAAAAAAAGAAAAGAGAACGAAAAAGAAAAATGTAAATGAAAATGGAAAGGTGTCGCTGTCAAAGTTTTCTCTGCGAAAGTCTGAGATCAACCTTAATTCTTAATTCTTTGTATGTCGGGCGGCGGGCCTAACCACGACCCTCAAGGAACAAGACCACGGAACCAAGGGCATGAATCGAAGCCTTCACCTCCAGAGATCAACCACATCTCGAGCAGGGGGGATACGGTGACATCGCGTCAAACCAGAAACGTCCTGATTGGCGCAGGTTGCTTCGACGAACCAATCAAGGCTTCGACTTATGTCGAGCGTAATCCTAGACTCAGTTGTGGCGCTGACACCACCTTCGCAGTCCCAGGCGTCAATAATATTTTCGTGGTTGCGAAGGAATCCAGGAATCAATGATTGAGCTGCGTACAGAAATGCCCAGAGAATCCTCGTATCAGACGTGGCAACAGATACCACCCTGAGTGATGGCAACACCTCGTGGCTCTCCATGCCAGCCAATGACAGCGCCACAGCAGCTTGGATGGTGGCATGGTCTCGAGGGCTTGGTTGATCGGACTCCGTTGGCGTTGAGAATCCTCCTCCCACCAATACGACGCAAGAGCAAAACGGATGAAAGATAAAAATGGAATAATCAAAAGTCAGAAGCGATGATTTACAGCAATCCACGTGAGATGACACAGCCCTTGGCCAGTATACATCCGGTCAAAGTATCTTTGTTCAAGGTTTGCGTCGTGTAATCCCGAGTATCATAGAAGAACCTGTGCCGCCCCGCCACACTTTAACCTGTGTAATATGCTTTTTTTCCCTGGCAACCTGTACTTACCAATAAGTGTTCCGCTATCCTCCATGTACCACGAAAGATCTCGTAGCATAAAACCATGTGGTTTTTTTTTTGCTTTGTGGTTTCCCAATTTTCTAACCAATTCTACCATTGTTGTACAGTTGGAAGAAGATAAGTTAAAGTTGTTCCCAAACCCACACCTCCCACGACCATAACGCGGGGAAGCAATTCGTTACATAACAGTTTCCACTCTAGATCGTCAGCAGCTTCTCCATGAATCTGGGGTAGCAAAGCAACCTTCGGTATTTGCCTCTCGATGACAATGAAAACTTTGGATTCGACCAAATCTTGACGTCAAATCCAATTCCCCCGACTCCAACCGGGCCGGTCCTGCAGATGCCAATGCGTCGTGGTGGGTCGATATGTTTCATTCGTGGTATTCCTCCCACCGGATTGAGAAATATCATCGGTTAGGAAGGGATATTACTGGAATAATCACCTCAAGTTCCAGAAGGTCAAGGCGTTTAATCAACGAGTACGTTCTGTTTCTCGCTCTCTCAGAGTGGAATGAGGGGGGATGACGTCAGATATCGTTGCGCCAGACGCTTGCGAATCCTGTGTACCTTATGGTAACTTGTCGCTCAAAGCGCCCGCTAAACTTCAAGAGTATCTGCAGCTGTTCCTTGCGTAAATCTTTGGAAGAGCCAATACTATCGCTTGACTCTGGTCCGTGACGGTCTTCACGGTTCTGGCCGTCCGAACGGAGCTAGTGAAGGAACAAATGGGAGCTTCCTGCCTCTATGTATGTATCCAGGGTTTTGCCCCTCAAGAACTACTAACCTCAGACAGCGCTTCCGAAACCTATTTGATATCTTTTGTGCCTCATGCGACCGATGCTAGCCTCTTGTGGCAGAGCGAAACGGAATAATACCGCTGACTCGCTGAGATATGGACAGCAGCTATTCCCATAGTTATAGACTACTTCAGGCGTGCAGAACATACATCTGCTGCTATTTTACATATTTAGACTCCATATGTGACGAAGCACCCTGTAGTTGAACTTCAATATACTATACCGGCACAATATTAGGAACCCGTACTGTAGCTTCTCCATATAGTGGCGGAGCTCAGCTCCTCACTGTATGCATGAGCTGGCTAACTAGCAGGCAGGTTATGTGAGATATTTCTCACAAGCGAAGACTACAGAAATATATGAACTCTCTTTAATTGCCCACCATATCAAGTCATCATTTTGATTCAAGGTATACTACTGATATACGAATTAGTAGCCGAATGCCCTTCTCGAAGCCGTGTACTACCGCATGTTCATAACATGACGAAACCCATTGAATGAGATTTTATTCATATAATTATAACATTCTATCACTGCTCAAACACCCATTTAGTAGGGTCAACTACCTATAGCGAGTCTATCTACGTCTGCTTGACTGGCCCTCTAGGGTACACCATTCCTCAAGTCCATAAGAGAAGCTATACTTAGTTGCTTTCAACCAAGCATAGCCTAGACCGATATAGATAGAAATTATCCAATATAACTTGTTGGCCGAATAAAATCACCTCATTGGACAACTAATCACTAATATGAAAGTCAGAACAAGAGGTTCTAGGCCCAATGCACGTAGTTGACATTTAAGTTATATATAATCTCTTCCGGATCGCGCTTATATCTCCGCCATACAAGAGATAGATATTTACTGCGAAAAGAGGAATGTTTGTACATGGTGGCGCAATCGAATAAACAATCTAGATAGTTGATCAACATATTTTTGCAATTACAATAGAATCTATAAGATATCGTTTAACATCATTCACAAATCTTTCTTTTTTCGTCAAAGCAAGTAGAAAGCATTGGATATCAGAAACTAAGAGCTACCGACCGGTCCTTCACCACCAGGGATCAACTGCAGATACGTTAGTAAGATGACAATAGTTGAGGAACAGGTAGTGTCATCCGTACCATGCAGACGTTGTTTCCATTTAGCAAGATCTTGGGGAGCTTAACCTGAGCGCCGGAGTAGTCGCTGTGCTGCTGTTAGTTCCTAATCTGCGGGGCGTGACCAGAGATGTAGGTGGATCAAGAAAAGCTACATGGCTAGCTGTACTCACAATTCAGTCACGTCTTCCAAAACCATGTCTATCCTATGTTAGTATCCGGTTCTTCGGAATGTGATGAGGATAGAGGGTAACTTACTGACGTAGTCATCAAACCCGAGCAAAGTACCAGCGAATTCTGTAAGTGTCAGCACACGATTGATTCTCCCACGCCAACCGACAAACCTTTGTCATTCTTCATGATGACCCAAATTCTAGAACCGACACACTTGTCGATCAGCTCTATGAAAATTATTAGCGAGGAGCTCCATTAATACACAAATGGTTGGGTCATTACCGAGGGGAAGGAGTTGAGAAGCCATTATGGATAATATGTGCGATGAATGGAGCTAAACCGAGGAGGTACAAGGAGTTTAATCTATATTTGAACCACTAAAGCTATCCTCTGCAAAGAAAGGTTTGGCCTGACGTGATATAGAAATCGCACGCTGTTGGGCGGATCCTCGATCATTCCCATTCGGACAATCTTGGCGGGAGGGAACCCACGTTTATCCGACCCGATAATCTTGCGCCAATCAGATCTACGAATACTTCTTCAGGGACATAAAGGTTATTCTCAACTTAATCATACAATGGTTGTGGGGACTTTATTTACAATCTACCTGCAATCCCAATAGGTTACTATTAGGGGCGTTTTCAGTATGACTGCTTTGAGATATGTCGTCTCCTCGATTTATCCCAAGAGAGTTGAAACACTCTTTATGCCAGGCGACAAAGCATCAACAAGGCTTTGTTGTGCACAATGATTCGCTCCATAGACACGAGACAGCCTCGTTGGTTCATGTTTCCTTTCATCTGATCTCCTAGCTGACGGGTTCTCAGTCGGCGTGGTGTTTCTTATAAAGTCCTGGCTCTCACATCTTCTCGAGCCTCCATTGCCAGTTCAAAACTTCCCCTTAGGATTGAAGGCCATATCACGTCTACTAGTTACTCAACGTTGATACGCATGCCGTGTGTTTTGAGGAATCAGGGAATTTTTAATGTCAAAACCGGTAGAATCCGAGCTTTCTCTTCGACTACAGCCATGTTTCGAACAACGCTAGCTCATATCACTAGCCTGGCCAAGACCGGGTTCAAGAGCCAGCTCAGAAACCGTCGTATAATCGACGTCGCTGATGCAGCTAAGGGACAACCACGGGGCATCCCTTGCAAATATTTTACATATGGCCTAGTACAGTGTGAGAATTTGAAGAGACTGGACCGTCCTAGGCTTTCGACCGTATGCTGCAATAGCCAACGCTGCCCAAATCACTCTACTTGCCCTGCGATATGTGCGAAAGCACAGCATCCCAAATCAGGCTTCAGTACCAGTCAACATACACGTCCTCGGGCGGAGGGTGCCTCTGGAAGACGAAAACATAAATCCATATACTCAAACATCAAGAGGCAATGTACCTCCAGCTCTGCAGCTCAGTTGACGACCGAGCATATCAAAGATACGGAGAAACTTTCCAACATTATTAAATCTATACCAGCGATCCCAGCTGTGAACTCCTGCCCTCAGCTACCCAAAGACAGCCCAGCTCCAAAGTTCGCTCTAACCTCAGGAGCGCACAAATTCTGGAGTCACCGACTATACAAGTCACCAGATGGCAAGGATATCATTGTACACTACTGCAAAACCCTAGAAAGCGCCGAAACAATAGCGGGGATGTTCTCAGACGATCCCATCCTTGGACTCGACATAGAATGGAAAGCCAACGCCTCCGCGGCGGACGGCATACTAAAGAACGTATCGCTAATCCAGCTTGCGAGTTCGACGCGAATCGCACTCTTCCACATAGCTATGTTTAGACCGGCGAGGGGTGTGGAAGACCTCGTACCCCCTACTCTGAAACGCATCCTCGAGTCCCCGGACATAACAAAGGCTGGCGTATCGATCAAAGCAGACTGTACCCGATTGCGCAAGTACCTAGGGATTGATACGCGCGCCATCTTCGAATTGAGCCATTTGTACAAATTGGTGAAGTACAGCCAGTCGAATCCAGGACTCATCAATAAGAGGACTGTGAATCTGAGCGCCCAGGTTGAAGAACACTTTGGGATTCCTCTGGCGAAAGATGTTGAGGTTCGATGTAGTGATTGGGCATCTGCGCTGGATTATGCCCAGGTTCACTGTAAGTGTGTCCTTTCCCTGAACGTGTAGGATTGTTTAACAAGGATTGGTTTTATAGATGCTGCGGCCGATCCGTTCGCATGTGTGTGTCTATTCAATACTATGAATGAGAAACGTATGGCTTTAGAACCCATGCCTCCATTACCGGCACATGCTGAGTTGAATTTACCAATTCGGATTGTCCATGAGGCCCCGGTGAATACTGAGCCTGAAGTGGAGGTTATCGAGCCGATAGATAATCTACTAGTGGAGACTGAGGAACGTTCCTAAAATTGGTCTCTTTGTTGTGGTTAATAGTCTGGATAACACTAGGTATGACTGGGACTCGGGATGTTCTAAATCATGTCTCGGATGCAATGCATAGATTGCGTGCTCATAGGAGGCGTTCGATGTTTGGCACTATTCATTTGACTTTAAAATACCATCACATTTTCACCCTCAATTCATATAATGACAGGGGTTGTTATGCCAAGTCTACAAAAGCCATGCCAAGAATTGTGGAATCAATATACCTGAAATAAATGAACCATTGTGGGTCTTCGCATGCACTTAATTACAGGTCACTTGAGAAAGGGGGTATATATTCCTCTAAAGACCGGAAACGACAACATAAAAAAAGTAACTGGACGATGAGCAGGACTATATGTGGACCAGATATCAAACGCTGATATATGCGACCATACCCTATATTATATACAGAGAAAATGGCTGGAACTAACCTCTCAGAGGCAGAACTTTAGATAGCAAGACATCTTGTCGGCACAGAGGACATTCGGGCTTCTCGCGTACCCAATCTCGCACACATGTCCAGCAAAATACGTGCCCGCATGTGGTGACACTAGGGTCTTTGAAGGGATCTAAACAAAGCGTGCACCTGCTTTGCTGCCCTGAGGGAATCCAAGGGATTGCAGTGGAGTCCTCTGAGAGATCGTACCGGGCATCAGAGGCAGGAAGAAGCGGTAGCGTTGGCGGGTTCTCAATAGAGTGGATCAAGGTATCATCCTGGCCCGTAGAATGGGTCGCCTCTGTCTCAAGATCTTCTTGCTGCAAACTGAGCCCCACTTTCTTGACATGCAGCACGCTTTGTACTGCGATTTGCAAGACAAGCAACACTCCTAGCACTTCGTACCCAACCCGCTGCTCGTTCTCCTCAAGCTTCTTTGTAAATACATATCGCAGGCCCCAAAGGCGTTTCGACAGATGGTAGTACGCGCCGGTGAAGTAAAACGTCGCGATGCTCACAGCGTAGACAGGACTCAATGACGTGATGGAATCAAGGTGTTCCAGAATATATTTTTGAATTCGTAACTTCGTGAAAAAGGATGGTGCCTTTGATGTATCTTTTCTGCTAGGCTTTGTCCCCTCCCTGGCTTGTTGAGCCTTAAGCTGTTGCCGCGCGATGCTCCGCTCAAGCTTCACCCGTAGTCGCTGGCGGAAAGCTGGTAGGATCCGCTGAAGGATCCAGGGCACAATGATACTGCTTACAATATATCCCGCCCGCCTGATAAAGGAAGGAAGCTGGAGTGTGTCATCTTCCAATTGGACAAGATCACAGTATTCCTCCCCCAGCGTGCGGTTGCCGATCAGGGTAGTCAGGGAAAAGTATAGGATCTCGGTCAGGTTCTTGATGGTTTCGGAGTAGGTATGAGCAAATCGGGCTCCGCGGAGTGAGCGGATGATATTCTGAGCTTGCTGTACAAGATTTGAGGTAAGAAATAAGTCTTTTTCATGGGATCGAATGATATCCGGAGACGTCGCGAATGGGTAGAAATGCGCCGAGGGACTGGGCGCCGAGGCAGGAGACAGAGAGAAATCTTCGTCCGCCATTGTTAATGTATGTATAGTGCAATTGAAGTAGTATGAAGTGTTAGTACAAAGCCAGGTTGACGAAGAAAGCTCGCTCTACCGTCTTATCATTGTCAACTGACGTGGTTATCATTTCCTTGGAGAATGAGCCTCCGCAGCGGCGATATGGTATACCTCGGCAGTCCACACGTGAGGTATGTCTCACGTGACCTATTTCCATCTGGAAACCTGGAGCCAAATTTGGAAGTCTCGACCTGCAAGGAGTTAGACCCGAAACAGACAAAGTGTGCCTCCTCCCAATCCGAACAGCCGCGCGGAACCGCCTGGACTCTGAAAGCGTCCCTGAGTGTCTTCATTTTCCGTCTAATAATTATGAGTGTGTAAATTTTGGTTTTTCAGACTCACCCCTAGTCACTCTTTATTTGGTTCAACTTCTTTTCGCTTCTGCTCTCCTATTTAGACCCCCTTATTGTGGTCTTCCTCTTTAATTGTGACCTTCTTGTCCCTTATCTCCCCTATCTTCTCCGTCCTGGCGCTGTAGTCCCGCGCCGCTTCAATGGAATATGGGTCCTGATCAACATGCTCAATTGGATCGCTTCAGTCTCTTTCTTCCTTTTCCCTATCGTGTGGCCGTGATTCTGGTTGCTGGTAAGCCGAGAGATACTGACCCTCTACTTATGTTATATTTGTGACAATGTTGATTCCAATGCACAGGCTTCTGGGGTTGGGGGGTCAATCTCCAATATCTTCTCAAGAAGAACATTGTAGGTTAACCCCTCTCTTCGCTTGTATTTTCTTGAATGATATCTGACCGTTCTCGATTAGGATGTCCCCGCGCTCATCCGATATCCTGCCCGTCAATCTTCGTCCCAACGACCCCACCATGTCTCGACATACCACTTAGCTACTCTCTTGACGATCCCCCTAGTGCTTTCACTACTTATATTCTGGGCCGCTACCCATGGCTCTACTGAAAGGGTCGAATCTCTGGATTTTATCCCGCAGTCATATCTCATTATCTTCTTCATAATCATCCTCCTCCCTTTCAACCGTCTCGCGCGCTCTGGTAGACATCGCTTGCTCGTGACCCTGAAGCGAATCAGCATTGGTGGATTGGCAGAAGCTCAAGATGGGAAGTTTGGAGACATCCTACTTGCCGATGCATTGACTAGCTATGCTAAGGTACTAGCGGACTTGGTTGTCACCTTCTGCATGTTCTTTACCTCGGGTGTTTCCAGCACATCCAAGCCGGATCGCAAGTGCGGACACGACTGGGTGATTCCCCTGATCGTTGCTATTCCGAGTATTATCCGACTTCGGCAGTGTTTAATTGAATATGTGCGTGTGCGTCGAGCTGGTTTCAAACTGGAAAACCAGGGCGGCCAGCACCTAGCCAACGCTCTGAAATACGCTACCGCTCTTCCCGTTATCTACCTTACCTCCAAACTGAGAAACTATAACCCTCTGGAGAGCTATGGATACAGCGAGATGAGTTTGTCACGACTATTGTATGTTGTTTTCATTTGGTCTACAAGTTTGAGAGGGGTAGAGTTTGGCTAATGACATCCCAGATACATGTGCACTTTTGTGAATTCCACTTACTCTTTCTACTGGGACGTCACCAAAGATTGGGACTTGACCCTCCTTACTTCATCGCGCCGCGGCGCGCATCATCCTTACGGATTACGCCGACACCGCCATTTTGCGGATCGCCAATACTATCTTGCTATTCTTGTAGATCTTGTTATTCGGTTTTCATGGTTGTCCAGGTTTATGCCAGGGCTTGTCTGGCTCTGCGAGACGGAAGTGGGCATTTGGTTGCTTATGTCCCTTGAAGTCGCACGTCGGTGGATGTGGATCTTCTTGCGTGTGGAGACCGAATCTGGTGAGTTGCATTTCGCCTATGAGTACATTAGTAATGTACGCTAATCTGGTCAATATAGTCAGAAATAGCCGTGGACCGGCCCCTGATGACATTCTTCTCGGTGAATTCAACGGCAAATTGGATGCAGACTGAACCGCAGCCATACTCCAAAGCTGTTGAACACCACCCTTTTTATAAATGACATGACTTGGTATATCCACGGATGTAGGACTTATTACTGTGATTATGTATGCATTTCACTTTAGTTGTTATTCTTTGCTACGCCCTTTGAGCGTCTTGCTCATCATTCGGTCCATTTCTCAGACCACCTATATCGCATCTTCGACCAAGCGAAAGACTTTCAATTGACCATCTGTATGATATTTGCTAAGCATTGCGAGCTATCGTTGTGCGCAGTACATAGTGGCAGGTTTATTTTTCTTTTTCTAATTTTGTTTCATTTTCTACATGCAACTACGGTACGGACATATGGGTAATAAAAAAAATTGCACTTTCGACAGGGAGACCCAAGACCCTGAAATGTAACTCAAGAAAAAGAAATCAACAAATACCACACCAAAAGCTTCATGATGGTCTAGATGACCTCCAGTGAACTCCGTCGCCTAAATTACCGCTACAAAAACCAAAGAGACAAGGTGAAAAACTATCCAGAAAGGTGCGTAGTCCTGAAGGCTGGAGACGGTTGTTCATGACATGAGAAATGTACATACGCTATATAGCAAGATTATGTAAATGATATTTGCCATCGAACGTAGAACGGGAAAACTAAGAATAGAACAGGGGCAGGGAAAGTGAAACTCAGATACAGCATTCGTTCGGTCTTGGAATGGTAGAGCGCCCAACCCTACTGTCTATTGTGGGGAGGAGGGTTCTCGAACAAGTCTTCCAAGTAGGCACTAGGAGTCCTTCCTTGCGTAGGAGATGCAAGATTGACAGAGCTATTGGACGCCACGTGGGAATATCTCGAAGTGTTAAACTGGGGTTCGTAGACACCACCAGGAGCATGGGTAGGCGTGCCAGGTGGGCTGGGTCCCGATTTTGTTCTCGTATACCCCTGTGCCTGCGGGCCCATGCCTGGAAGATCAGGCGCCGAGAACTGCATACTCTGGTGGCTTCCACTACCGGCCGCAGTGTTCCCAGCAGCATAATACCCCGCGGGAAGATAACTTGAACCTCTGTTTCCGCCGCTGTGCATTCCAGCCGTGGGGGAGAAGAACAAGCCACTGTTGGATCTTGGGCCCTTGGAGGAGCGGGGATTTGTGCGATGCCCGCCGCTCATTTTTTCCAAGGAGACGGCTGGTGCTGGGCCGCCATGCGAGCGGTGCGCAGATCTCTTTCTCCTGTGACGGAGGAGTCCCTTTGCCTCGGAGGATTGCATTATGGCTGCCTTGCGGACGGATCGGTTTACGGACCATGCCACCATGCCACGCCAGGCTAGTAGCGCAAGACCCAGGAAGCCTAGAACTGCACCGACGGCGATGAAGACGGTCCCTTCGGGGGTATCTGATGTTTGCATGTATGGTGCATCGGCGAGTGGGGGCACTGTCACCACGGGGTAATCGTTCGTTGCGGTGGAGGTTGTACTGGAGTCTGTAGATGTCGAGGACTCGGTTGTTGTTGTCGTTGCCGGTTTGTCTGTTGTGGACTCTTTCGTGGTCTTTGATGTCGTGGTAGTGTCGTCGTGTGTCGTAGCTTTGGTCGTCTCCTTAGTTGATACATCCGTTGTCGGCGCAGGGTCATTCGCAGTGGTATCCTGAGCGAAAGATATATGCGCCATCATCAAGACGGCAATGACGAGTAAAATCCATGTGAAAGAGGGTTGGCGGCGGGCCTTGCGAAGGCCCGCGGCTCGAAGATTCATTGCTGAGACAGTCTAGCGAGTGAATGAGCGATACCGATGTCACTTGTTTCAGAGGAGAATGAGTTGTGGGCCAGGACGATTGTGCCTGGTATGTCGCGCTGACGATCCAAGTCGTTACATAAACTCTCAGGTGGTGAAGAGTTACCAGCCTTTGTGGTCAGAGTTATGTTTGGACGCAATGGCGACCGTCTGTCGCAAGTTGTGGGACGTGGATCTCTATCGGATAGTCTCCACCAAAACACTGGATCGACAGAAACCAGATCTACTTTGGGGCACAACGATAGTATAGAATAGATAGAATGGCCAAGTGAAGACAGACACTATTACTCAGGGCAGCGATGGTTATATCAAATGACGAAGCGAGAGATGAGGGCGAATTTTCAGTGGGATAACCCCCCCAAAGATCAGCGACAGGAGATCCGAGACCAACAACCGTTGCCCCGTCACGGGCCTTGTACGTTGTGCCTTAGGCTCTGGTTCTGCGGAGAAGTTGGTTTCACGTGATGCCCTATATATAGGTCTTCTGTCTCAACAAAACCCTCGCGCTAGTCTCAAATACATATGGTATAGTTGATGATCTAAGGGATGACAGAAGCTTTGGGAAATCCGTAACTAACATTCAGACCCATACATAAACACGCATGAAATATACAACATAGCATACACGATAAAACTCGGATGGTCTAGAGCAATTGATGACCGACTTTCAACCGATTTGTCATGCCGAACTCAAGAGTAAAAACAAATTCCAAGACATTTATTCACCACACCAACCACTGATCACTGCTGCTTCTTCTGCACACTGGCGGACGTGTCTTTTTCAAAAGCGGCGTAAGGAACTTCGAGACTGGCAAGGGCGCTGAAACCGACATACAAGATCATAATGAAGACAAATGTTGCCATGAGTCCCATGAAGAGGCCTATTAACGTTAGTTCCCGCTACTAACAGTGCTCAAGGGGCACTTTATGTCAAGGTCGTACCTGGTGTGAAGTATTGATACTCCTGGAAGAGTGACTTGTTAGATGCAGGCTCCGAACGACGGCTATGCGCCGCAAAGTCTCGCTTCAAGTCCATGTGGACGGGATCTTGGTAGGGATCAGTTTCAGATTGATAGATACCCGAATCGGACTCTCCAAATTCCCTCGGCGATGTTACATAGAGAATGGTGTACTTCTTCGACGAAGGAATTCGTTCAATAATATCAGAAAGTAGGCCGTCTGCAGGACAGTTAGAAGATTCCCTCATTGCATTCTTGGATTGTTCACAGACCATTATCAGAAAGTTGCTGAGCCCTCTCCTTCCCCAGGGGGAGCACAGGGAAATCAATAAAAAGGACTCGGGGGTCGGGGCCAAAGTCAGATGGATAAGAGCCAGCTAAAGCACCCGGTCAGCGAGATCTTCAATTTATTTGCGACCTTGAAATCATAGGACTTACAGGAACCATCAATAGCAGTAGTTTGCGCCCCACATTCCTTTTCGATAATGCTTTGGATCTGCTTCGCTTCAAGCACACCAACAACTTCGTTGACTGTCGCAGTCGACCGGATAGTCTTATCCTTTCCCGTCATCTTCGCGCCCAGGCGGGGAGCAGACTTGCGAGTCGAGAAATCGGTGCTATGGACACCGGGTTGGGAAGCAATGACATAATAGTCGGAGGGACACGAGCTAAGCTTCGAGGAAAGGTCATCTAGCAAGGAGGGAGCGGATTTGAGTTGGGACGAAGTAGAGAGGATCCTAAAGGAGCTTGTTAGCTGGGTCTTTGAGGAGCTGCCCGCGATAACTCGAATGACTGCCACCAAAACATACTCAGAGGTCGATGCAAGGAAGAAGGGCGAGGTGTCACGGAAGGCATTAGCCGTTGCTGCTCCCAGAGCAAGCAGCGAGAAGCTGCTCAAATGCATAGTGGTGAATTGGATATAGCTTCAGACAAGCACAGGCTGTCCGAACGGTGAAAGGGTCCCCGGAGGTATGATGGTTGGAGACAGGCTGGAGGATTGGCGGAACGGGGCTCGGAGGCGGTCGACCCAAATCACCGGCAAGGCTTAGCTTCACTTTGATCATCGTGCATGCAATATTTTTTAGAAAAAAAAATTTGGCCCTTTTATATCGAAACCATATCACTCATTAAGTGCATTATCAACGCACTTATCTTTTGTTCTACTCTCTAGAGTATATAAACTTTTTTTTGTCTACATAATATCATGGGACCACAAGCGAAACGGCGAAAGACGAGCAAAGTCGAAGAAATCACCTTCGATCATTCTGCCCGCCATGAATTTCTCACAGGTTTTCGCAAGCGAAAACAACAACGAATTAAACATGCGCAGGAAGTTGCAGAGCAGAAGGCTCGAGAGATGAAGAGAGAAGATCGGAAACGAGTTCGTTATTCCTTGATAGTATCTCAGTAGAAGTACGTTTATTAACTGCAAATCCTGCACAGATTCGGGAGGAACGAGAAGCAGAGTTCAAAAACGCCCTCGAAGAGCATCAAAAACAACTAAAGAGACTTAGGGAAGAAGAGGATGGGGCCATTTCAGGTTCAGATTCGGAAAGTGACGAAGACAATGAGTGGGAAGGGTTTGAAGAGCCACCTGCAGTGGATTACGAAGCGGAATACATTGACGAAGACAAGTATACTACGGTAACAGTAGAAGAGATGGATGCTTCTAAGGAGGGCTTGCTACGAGCACAGGAGCATAGTTCGGACGAAGAGCAAGAGGGTGAAAAGGAGAAACCGACGTCCGAAGCGGATTCCAAGCCAAAGCCGGTAGAAAAACCCAAGAAGGCATCGGACAAACCCAAAAAGAAGAAGTTCCGGTACGAAAGCAAGGCGGAACGCCAGCTCACTCGCAAGAAAGAGCGTCTCTCAAACAGCAGGAAAGCAAAGGCACGGAGAGAACGGTAGCGCAGGTTAATCCTCACACAAATCCATGCGTCTTCGAATCAGTTCATTGAAATACCCCCGAGGAGACTCTCATTGCTTATGGTCTATGTTACTGTAGGCAAGTGGATATATAGGCAGAGGGCAGGTGGATGGCAAGACGGAGACAGAGATGCTACTGGATTCGGCTCCTAATGGCAAATGCTAAATGAAGTAATCTGCAACACGCAGGGAACAAAAAAGTTATTATGTTAGAAGAAAGCTCGAGCCGAGGTTTTCCCAGAATATTGCATCTGCAGGCAACCCTAGCCTTAAACATTGCTTATAGAAACCTCCAAGTCGTGGAGATCCTTCTGCAACTCAGCGTACTTCTTCGCCATTTCCTCATACTTGCTTTCCCACTCATCACGAGACGACTCAAGGGCCTGCACTTTGCGCTCGTAGTGGCCGGCTTTAACGTCGGTTTGGCGGAGCCTATTGAACACCAGTGTGATTAGTAATTGTTCGCGGACGATGAAAAGGGGTTCCAAGGAAAACCATACTTCTCAACTGTCTCCCTGGTATTCTTGTCGGCATTCTCGAGCTCCTCTTCCAAGAGCTGCAAGCGTCTCTGAAGGGTTTCGTTCTGAGTGTCGTGCTGGGCGCTCTGGTTGGCAGCATCCTTGGCCTCCTTGAGAGCGGTTTCCAACTTCTCCACCTCACCCTCAAGAAGCTGGTTGCGGTGGTTGAGGGATGTGATCTCCTGTTCCTTCGCCAGGTTCTCCTGTTCCAGCGTCTTGATCTTGCCCTTAAACTCCTCCGTCTGAGCCTGAGCCTCGTCAGCCTCCAGGCGGAGGGCGGCCATTCTCTAAACGCTGTCCGTCAGCCCCTTTCCCATCTTCGCGTTTATTTAATTCGGGGAACGCGAATCAAGACGGCATCCCTGTAATCACCGCCGGGCAGGATACCGAAATGCATGATTAGGGAGGGTCACGCAAGGAGAAAGGGTGATGCATGTGCATTTTCGGGAGCTTAAAAGCTACCCCGCCAACAGGGGGGGAAAAGGAAACTCACCTCCTTGATCTTGTCCATATTGACGACGAAAGAAGGTTAAATTTATGTGTACGGGGGAAAGACAAATATGTATTCGAGAAGAAGAATGTATACGAGTAGCAAGTTAAAGGGCTTTCGCTCAGCGAGAAACCCGACAGAATCAATAACGTGTTCAAATGTTGGGAGTTGGTTTTGGGAGAAGAAGAAGGTGGAGTGATTGTCTCCTGGCGGTCAGCCCGGGTCAGCTTGGTTCTAACCCCTTTTAGCCAGTAGTAAGGGCGGCGCCTGACTGTGGCGGCCAACCCACGGATTGGCTGCTGACCGGTCCCAAGGGATCGACCGCCTGTCTCCACGGGCAACCACCGCAAAACACTTTGCTGGGTAAGGTGCGTCGGGCGTCTAGATTCAGACAGACAACCCCATGTCCTCACGACCTCAGCGATTCTCGCGATCTCACACGACCCTCGGACTCGACCCCAACAACCTGTACCTATATTTTCGGCTGTGCATGATCAGTGCTGTCTCATATCCGCCACTATGCTGGCCCTCCGTGACCAAGAGAACCTGGTGCACGCTCATCAGACCGTTGCCGCGTCCAAACCTCTGAATCAAGGTCTCAAACAACTACAGCTCAAAACCCCCGGGGCACGCGCACCGAAGACACCATTCAAAGTCCCGTTGAACGATGAAAATGACCCGCTGGCATTTGGAAAGAAAACTGTGAAGGGTGCTGGTAAACAGAATGGAGCTGCGAAACCATCTGTCAAGGATGCTTTTGTTACTCCAATGGGTATGCTTGGAGGGGTAACACGGCGCATTTTGCTCGGAGGCTGACAGATGCGATAGCAGAGACTCGTCAACGCGCGCCGTTGGGCATGAAAACAACCAATGCGAAAGCTCGTGGTTTACAGACCCCTGCTCCTCCCGCTGGGACTGTGAAGCCGGAGAAGACAGGCAAAAGAGCCTCCACACAGAGAGTGAAAAAGTTTGCTCCGCTGGTAGAGCAAAGCCAGGCTGAGGTACAGGATAAACCAGTTGAAGAAGATGTTCCCGACATTGAGTACATGCCCCCGAAGCCGAAAGGTATGTTTCCAAGGAGTCGTGAGCATGCCAGAAGGCCGTGGTATTTAACAATATACAGAGCTCCCGGATATTCCTGATGAAATTACATACGATACAACATTCCCTCAGTTTCAACCGAAGAACTTGGCGTTGGGGTTGGAAACAGTGTATGGACATACCGAAATCGGTCCCGATGGTCTGACCAAGAGGGAGCGCAAGCTTCAGGAGGATTCTATTGCATACGACAAAATGATGGATGACATGATCTTGAAACAAGTCGAAAGTATTGGTTTTGAAGAGCCCAGTGACAACGAGCAGAATGAGCCTTGCGTGGAGGAAGCACCGCCGCGTCGCTATGAAACGCGTCGTACCCGCGCCATGAGCGCCCGGGAGAAGCATACCAGCAACATCCCAACGGTTCGCGCTCGTGATGCAGCCTCGGCTCTTTCTGGTACCGAACGCACTCTCCGACCTAGGCCTGTTTCAATCCCAAAGCCAAAGCCGAGAGTTGCGTCGTCCTTATTCTCGTCGAGAAAGCCCAGGACGCCAACTAACCCATCATCCATGCACCATACCGCAGCCGTGGCAAACTCTAAAACAACAGTAGGCTACACCAAGGGCCGGGACGTGTCATCTAAGCTACATGGCAAATCGCCCAGCACTACGAAAGGACAGACAATTCCCCAGGGGATTTTCTCCGCTGACACTTACGTGCGCCCGTCTGGGACCCCTCCTCTCGAAACCGATATGGTGCCTCTTGCACATGATGCGGGTCACCTGACAGCCAATCTTGAGGAAGTGCTCCCGGTGTATGAGGAAGACGAGGAGAGCTTGAATTTCCAGCTGACGCTGTGAACGGAGGTTAATGAGCACGGTTCCATATCCCGGAGTCAAGGGTTAGCGTTCTATGGTGTTTGCTTCTTTAATGGGAATATGATATAGCTCTGTTTTTCTTAGCTTTGACGATTGGGGTGGCGGCACGGTACCATATTGCATGAGACAGGACTTCCAAGGAAGGGGGGGCGTTTTATTTGAAGTATCATGGGTTTACGGTCAGCAGGATTAGAATTGATGTATGATTTTCCAAAGTGAGCGAGCGATAGTCAAAGTTGAACGTAGTTTGTTTTTGTACAATTAAATTGGCTTACTATCTCTTTAATGGATACTCCGTACTCTGTAGTCTGTAGTCTGTACTACAAGGGCCATTGTCGAGGTAAATTTAGGTCATGTTTCAGGGACCCTCCCGCAAGTCTGGGTCCAGTTTTCGGTCCCAAAGTTGCACTGTCCTTCGGGACCCGAAAGGGCCTCGGGAATGGTTGATTCGGACGATTGTGATTGGGAATAGCCTGTGAAGCTCTGCGGCCAGACCTCATCTATTGGACCAGGAATATCCACCAGGTACGGGACCAGTACGTATGCATGGTGTTTATCTTCCCCCAATTTCATAATCAAAACGTCTCTCTCAGGGCCACAAATCCATAGCCCAATCAATCGATCATGAACCTGCGTCTTTTCTCGCAGGGAGGTAGGAATTCCTTAGGATGATATGGCTTCACCGCTCTTGTAGTTAGGGTCGGCTCACTAAGCCTAATCGGGTCCCTGGGACAATTTACCTCGAGGTAAAGCTCTCTGTATGTACGTACTATGTACAGTACTGACCAAGGGAGTATCACAGAGGACACCAAAACAAAAACAAGCCTATATAATTCCCACTCCCTCGCACCATAAGTCTGCTGTCAAAACATGTAGAAGGTGAATACAATTGAGGCCACTTGAATCAAGAAATGAGAAAATATTAGAACGCATTTCAAGGGCACATTCTGGGTCCCTGGTGGTGGATTCGATCAATTGATCGTCCACTTGCCTTTCCTCGGCGCCCACCGCAAATACAAGCAAGGCAAACTAACCAAACGGACACTAAAGCCCCCGGCCGCCTCAGGTCAACATCTTCTGACACGCTCCCTCATCTTTTCTCTTTCCTTCCTCATCCTCTCTTGCCCCCCTCTTCCTCCCCTCTCCTCCGCTTCAGTCAATTCGTCATGGCTGAGACGAAGATCCATCCTCAGTCCCCTGAGGATTTCGAGTTCATTGAAACTCCCCCTGCCTCTTGCACTACTGCCGCTGAGCCCTGTGGTGTGAGGACAACGTCGGTAAGTCCGGACCTTGGATGGAAAACACATGGCTTGTTACGCTTCAATTGCGAGCGCCAATTCAGTACAGCTCGCGCTAATACTTTACCTACACAGTACCCAGCCATCAAAAATGCCCCCGTCCCAGCGGATTCTCCGGGCAGTGATAGCTTCTCCAACATCCTCCTGTTCTCCTTGCTTCTGCTCATCCCATGGTATCTGGCCCGCCAGGTCGGCGGTGGTTTCTACACCACCATCTTCTTCGCAATCTTCACCACTATCCCTATCTTGATGGCTTTTTGGTCCATCGCTTCATCCATCTCCCCCCGCAAGACCGAAAAGGCCAAGTATGCCGGTCGCCCCGTCGAGCACTACCTGCACTTTCACAGCGAGCATGACCGTGCTGCCTACCGCGGAAAGAGCAAGATCCCCATGGAGGTTTTCTACGAGAAGTATTTCAACGGTGAGGTGGACTTCAAGGGTGATGCCCTGGAGTGCCTCGAGTTCCGTCACGATTGGGCCAACTTCCGCTTCACCATGGGCCTTTTCAAACACTTCCTCTTTGGTTTCATCCCCGAGTTGCTGATGCACACCCGTTCCCAAGGTATATCGTCACCATCAAAACTTCATGAGAATTACGCGTGTGCAATTGCCTTGCTAACCTGTGAAATCTTACAGATGAGGAGCAAGTCCGTGATCACTATGACCGTGGTGATGATTTCTACGCTTGGTTCTTGGGCCCTCGCATGATCTACACCTCTGGTATTATCAGCGATCCTGATCGGGAGGAGACCCTGGAAGAGCTGCAGGACAACAAGCTGGCTGTGGTTTGTGAGAAGATCGGCCTGAAGCCCGGAGACACCGTCCTCGATCTTGGTTGTGGCTGGGGTACTCTGGCCAAATATGCTTCTGTTCACTATGGTGCCCAAGTTACCGGTATCACCCTTGGTCGTAACCAGACTGCCTGGGGTAACAATGGCCTTCGCAAGGTCGGCATTGAGGACTCCCAGAGCCGTATTCTGTGCTTGGACTACCGTGACGCTCCTCGCGTTGAAGGCGGCTACAAGAAGATCACTTGCCTGGAGATGGCTGAGCACGTCGGTGTGCGCCACTTCACTACTTTCTTGTCTCAGGTTTATGACATGCTGGACGACGACGGTGTTTTCTTCCTCCAGATTGCTGGTCTCCGTAAGTCCTGGCAGTACGAGGATCTCATCTGGGGTCTCTTCATGAACAAGTATATCTTCCCCGGTGCCGATGCTAGCACCCCTCTTGGATTTGTTGTCGACCGTCTGGAAGCCGCTGGTTTTGAGATCAAGGCTGTTGACACCATTGGTGTCCACTACTCTGCTACTCTCTGGCGCTGGTACCGTAACTGGATGGGCAACCGTGAGAAGGTTGAGGCCAAGTACGGCAAGAGATGGTTCAGAGTAAGTCCCTCCGTGCCAATGTACTACTACGTCGGAGTACAGACAACTAACATCCGTCCTTTAGATCTGGGAATACTTCCTTGCTGCTTCGACCATTACCTCCCGTCAAGGTGGTGCCACCTGCTGGCAGCTCACCCTTGTCAAGAACATCAACTCCACCCACCGTATCGAGGGTATCAACACTCAGTACGGCCTTAAGGGTGCCCGTCAGGCTGCTATCGACTCTGTCGGTCACGGCGCCGTGCCTAGCGCCCACGTCACTCCCAAGGCATAAGTTTGACGCTAGCATGTGAGTACTGGTCACCGGTTGTAGTTTACACTTACTTCCCTGCCCGGTGTATACATGGACGAACTTTGTCTTCGAGCCTATTGGATCCAATGACATGATTCATGGAGCAATGGAGGAAATACCTTTGAAAGGGTTAATGAAAAATGTGATTTTAGTCCCACTACGGGAAGAAAAGAGCTTAGGAAGCATTTCCCCAGGAAGGGAAAGAAGGGACGTATGTTTTCATTGATAGCTGTTATGTATGTTTATAGCCATCTTGATTTGTATACCTTCGGCCCCACATGGGGCGAGCAGGTGGTAAATCACAGGAGACATGTATTAATGAGAATAGAAATGATACGTATACGGCAGATTCCTTCGAGGTTGTTGTATGGAATAGTGTGAAACCATGCTGGTAATTTTCGTGTATGCTCAAATCAAACTGAGGCATGCAATTTATAGATCAGTCCATCCATCTCATTATATTTAAATTATATACAGAAAGAAGTCTCATGTACAATAACAGAACCAGCCAAGCGTATCTCACTTAGTCAACACGCTTGTAAAGCTTCGCCTTGCTGCCTCCAACCCCAGAGCAGCATGCCGCAGCCGGCGCCGGTTCGGGGTGAAGAGTCGATTTATTGAATGCCTGGGACGAAGGAGGCACATCCAGAGCCGGGTTCTTCGTAAAGAAGCCATCCGGCCGAAGCATAACGCTAATACGCTCCATAGGCATCACAGGGAAGTCCTCAATACGAGGGTTGTGGGTGAGACCGAAAGCTGAGCGAAAAAAAGTTAGTTTCCTTTTCTTCTTGCAATCATTGTCTTCGCGATAGGGAGGAAAGACTTACTGTGCCAAAGGACCACGTCCGCATTCTCTGTATCGTCGTTTCTCTGGACCCAGGTCTCAACACCCTCGGCCTTTTTGCTCTGGTTCGTGAATTCGCCAGCGGCGAACAGCTCATTATCCTGGTACTTGGTGACCCAGATCGGCTTGCTGGCAAACTCAGCCCGCTGGTGTCCCACTGCGTGCTTGGGGAGTAGGAGCATTTGGCTAGGCACTGCCATGAGTTTGTATGACACGGGCTTGTAGGTGATGGGGTTGATAACGTTGTCGTTACGGATTTTGAAGACGCGGTGACGGTTAACGTCTGTGTTGGCGGAGGTGGACTTCCGGATCACGGTCTGTTCTGTGGTGTAGCCCACCAAATAGGGGTTATTCTCGTCCTCAGGGAGCGGCACGCTATCTTCGTAGTAGACGGTGTTGTTAAAGCCGTCGATTGCGGGGTCGATGCGGAGAGAGAACATGTGTTGGTGGTAGGGGGCCATGACGCCAGGGCCGACGTTAGTACCCCAGGGAACAGTCTCACCGTTCAGGTTGTCGAAGGGAACGGTGGACAGGATACCTGTTGCGCGGACTTCGAGCTCGACGTTTCCAGCTTGGTCGAAAATGTAGGCGAAGATGTATTCGTAGTTTGCGACGGTGCAGATCATCTGGAGGACGAGCTGGCGATTACGCTTGACGGTTGCTGCGTTTGAGCGGTAATTTGTGTGCTTGTATTGCAGGCCGTTGTCTTGTTCGTGCATACAGATGATGTTCTTCAACAGGATGGGGCTGCCCTTCGCGTCGCATCTGTAGCCGTCGAAATATTTGATATGGCCGAGGCAGTCGCAGCCCAAGGAGAGTTGGTTGGCGTTGAGACCAAAGCCGACGTCGCCGACGTCGAAGGCTTGTTTGCGGTGGAAGGGGGCTCGGGGGTCTAGGGGGGATTTATTAGATAATGGTGTATTCGAGAGGGATAAGGTGATGCTTACCTCCGTATGGCACGGTCATCTCGGAGACATTCAGACGGTAGAAAACGTTGCGCTTGTCGTATGTGATATTGTGGAGGACGAGACCCTCCCGGTTATTGAATCCAACCCTGAAGCGCCATTTCTGCCAGTAAACGGAGTTGCCATCCACCGAGAAGGAAGCACCCTCAGGCTGTTGAACAACATATGGCTTGAGGTCTGTCCGGAGTGGCTCGTCTAGAAGTTCTGGAGCATACTGAACTGCTTTGACGGGTACCCACGGCTGAGTCTCGGTTGTCTGGTGATCTGCGCCACCGGGGAGATAATCCATACGGACCAATTCCTTTGTACGGGCATCAAAGACAGGAGAGAACTTGCAAGGTAAAGAATAATGGTTGTTCTCGGGATGATCGACCTCGACGATATACATGAAGCATTGGAAAAGTCGCCGTTTCTCGTTGAGGTCGTCAGTTCCGTACATCCATGGGTCATTGCAGACTGTCATGCCAGGGGGCAGCTTGAGCTTTTCAATTTCTGCCAGGACAGCTGGGTGCTGCATGCAGTGCTCTTCGATACCAGCAATTTCATCAATATCCATGGGGGGCTGGTTGCTATTGTTAGTGAAGGCTGGCCGGGAAAAGAGCGGCAAGAGGATAAACGCACCTGCACTCCCTCTGGGAACTCCTTTGCGTAGATGAGAGACCTCGTATCCGCATTCATCAAGGCCTTGATGCAGACGCCTGTGTCTTGACGACTGAAGTAGGAATACAAAAGACGTGCTGGTCTGGGAGGAAGAGGCTTTCCTAGCCGTTCTGCTTCGATATAGGGAATGACATCTTGCTTAACAGGCTCATGAATATCAATGCGGTTGTAGCGAAGCGGAACACCGGGAAACGATGCCTCTAGGATGCGAACCGCGAGTCTGATCTCTTCCGGTCGGACAGGGTCAAACGGGTGAAGCTTTCCCGAAGTTGTCGGTGTTGTCCCTTGAGATGTGAATGACATGATGTGAAGGGGTTCAGGGTAAGGGCACTATAGTATTTAGAGATTGTCTGAGGAGAAGTAGGAGAGGTGATCAAGGACAGACGACAAGGGTCTTCGGGGGATGATGTTGAAAAGGGTTGAAGTGGGATATGTAGCGACATTGTTGTAAAGAGGGAGAGAAGGTCTTTATATAAGTCAGTTGGCATTGGCGATGGCCACCATAACGACGGATCAGGGTATAGTAGATAGCCGTGGTAGATGATGCATATCGACAAGGCGTTCCACATGGCGCATGGACATGCCGAATTGGGTAAGGTCGCTGTCATTGAGTGGAGATGCTCTAATCGGCGGCCTCGAGCATACCCCGGAAATACATCGACAACCTTCACTGTACTACACAGTAGGGGCCAGAAGTGTACAAAACCGGGCTGAAACCTACCGACCGTATCCAATCTCCACTGATCTGGAAGGGACGATACTCCTATTGGAGCCAGGAAGATCTACTGTACATTTGGATCGTGGCGGTATGTATCTTTCAATACCCGCACGGTATGAAAATGCGGGCATGCCGGCAGTGACTTACATAACCATCCCCGATAAACAGGCGTATTTCCTTCCCCTTCAGGACTAGTCGCTGAGTCCCCCCTCCCCCGTGACCCGCGGGCGATGACTTTACATCGGCGGAAATCGTTCTGATTGCTCAAATTATCTTTTCTTGAAGAGTCTACAAAGTGTTAGCATTGGATTTGCGTAAGGCAAGCTCTTCTCTTGATAAAACGAGGGGCAACATCGGGGTTCGGAGATTCAAGTTACAACCTGCACTCCCCGCCCTTATCAGTGATGCCAGCGCGACTTGCCTCATACTGAGGGTGCCGATAAGATTGTTCCGCAATGCTGTACAGATTTCCCGACTATGAATCAACTTGATACAGCCAATGTCTCCGGAAGAAACCCTGTTCAGGGCACAACGAGGAAACGTGCCAGAAGAGAGGGCTCAAAATGGACTCGCTCCGGCTGCTTGACTTGCAAGAAACGTCGCAAGCGGTGCGATGAAGCTAAACCTAGGTAATTTTTCCCGGCTCTCCAATGCACGAAAGGCGCTGACCATTTGGCGTAGCTGTCGTAGTTGTGTTAGACTTGGGCTGGCCTGCGAAGGTTATGGCTCAATGTGGGCAGAGCCACTCAAACCATCTGCAGAGATCTTTCAGCAAGTTGTGCCACCAAAGCGACGACGAATTAGCCCGTCGCCTTCCGTATCTGCCAGCTCCCCGGCAGCACCAGTAGAACAGCTCTCGCCCAATTCAACCGTATTCTCTGGCTATACTACTGTTCCTTCGACTCCATCAGACTACGGCGCAGCTGAGATATGCACACCACGAGATGAAGATAATGAATCTTATGGAAATGAGGATGTAGCTCTCGATGTTGCTCACTCTGAGAACTGCACTGTTATTGTACCCAAACAGTGCGGATCTCTCAGCCATCTGTCGAATCTTGAAATGCACTATCTCCAGTACCATATGGAACAGGGATCCAGGCTCTTGGCTAACCTGGAAAGTGATGAAAATCCTCTACGATCATTAATCATCCCTTATGCGTTATCATCCCCACTCTTGATGAAGGCGCTATGTGCCGTGTCGGCAATGCACTTGGCAAATCGTTCATGTGGTAACTTGAGCGCGCAGACCGCAGCAGCAAATTACTACGTGCGCACAATGAGTGGCCTCCGCTCCGCTCTTTCGAAATCTGCTGTTGAAGGGCTCCCCACAGACTCAATTCTAGCAGTGGCACTTCTCTGCAAGTACGAAATTGTACGGGGCAGCGTAAAGCAATGGGCAGTGCATCTGAGCGCATTGGAGAAACTAGTGATTTCTCGCGGTGGATTTTCCACGTTCGACCAGGACACAGCTGAATTCTTATGGGGACTGTATGTAGTCGTCCCAATGACCCACGGCGCACAGCTAATCAAGACCTATAGGTTCGTGTATGCACACAACGTGGCGAGTGTCACTAACCGCAAACAAATCACAAACTACATCCCCGGCGAAGAAGCTTTAAGCCTCAGAAAACTCGACATATACATCGGATACACAGAAGGCATCATCAAACTCTGTCCCCGAATCGCCGACCTTCCCTTAGTTAGTCACGACCCCGTTGCGCTAGGTTTGGAAATCCACGCCATGTATGCCATCACGAGTACCAAAACCGAATAAGAATGTCCGAATAGTTAACATTCCACAGAGACTCATCACTCCGAAATTGGACACACTCCTCAACCCCATACCTAATCCCAAAAGGAGCCACAGACGCAAGCCTTGCCCGCCTGCGCATGGTAGCCGAGTGTTTCCGCGATGCAGCGTACATTTACCTCCATTCGACCCTAGAACGAATGAGCCAGGGTATCGTTGCCCGAAACCTACCATCGTTGTGGTCTTCGTTCATCTCCCGGACCAAACAAGTCGCTTTACGCCGTTGCCTGGATCGAATCCAATCTTTCCCTCTGGATGAAAACTGCGAGTACTCGGCCCTAACGTTTCCGCTTTTCATCGCGGGCTGTGAGAGCGAGAGCCCTGCGGCAAGAGAGCTGGTTATTCAGTCGCTGAGCAAATTAGAGAGTAATTTCGGGATCGGGAATACGAAGCGGGCTAAGGAGTTATTGAATATTCTCTGGAATGGGGAGAAAATGCATTGGTTGGATGTACTGGAGCAATTGAAGTGGGACCTAATTCTTGCGTAAAGCTTGTTCAGCGAAAAAGGTGGTTTGATGTAACATTAGCATGGCGTTACAGGACATTTTGTATAGTTGGCATACTGGATGGACACCTAGACCTATGGACAGATTGAGTATATGTGACTACTGAAACATAGGCGGATTAATTATTCATTGGCATGCTTCCTCATTGCTTCTTAAGCCGTGGTCAGTCTTTGGGGCTATATAAGAATTAATATATCGAATGAAATAAAGGGTATAAACAAGAATTGGTTTGTGTGACGGATGAAAAGACAAGGACGAAGCTAACGTCGATATACCCGGTCACAGAATCACAAACCTGCTCAACAGCTCGTAACATCATTCTCAATTTTCTAACTTAACCCCATATTGACTTCGTCACCTAACCCCATCTCCCGCTCTGCCCTCTCAATGCCCCCTGCAGCGCGTGAACCCCAGCGATCCAAGCGGTCTTGCGAGTGTGCGATCTCCTTGTCTCGTGCACTCTTATCGCTATGGGCTGCACTGCCATGGACGCTTCCTTCCCGGCCCAAACTGCCGCTCCCGCTGGAGTAACTGGACGACAGCTTCTGCGAGGACGGAATGCTAATCGGCCTGGAGGCGATTTTGCCGGGGCGGCTGGAACTAGTAGCAGGGGTTATTCTTCCGAGATCTACGGACGAGTTATTGTTGGAGGCTGGTAGTGTGGAGGAGGAGATGCTGCTGGTTTTGTCGCTTACAGTCTTCGAATTCCCAAACCAGCGTCGTCTCCGTGCTTTGGAGGTTGACCCGGCGAGACTCTCGGAATCAGCATCGACTGTTGAAGCGTCAAGGGTTCCGGATCCCCTTCTCTTCTCCCTCTCCTTCTCCAGCGCCTGGGTTAAGCCGGACGTTGCCTCCGCCGATGTCGAATCGGCGGTCGATGGGACCTCAACGAGTTCAGCATCGCGACACCACTTTCTTCGACGAGTGTATCGGTCCCAGCCATCTTGGCCTCGACGGCCATCGTTCCACTATGAGAATGTACCGGTTAGGAAATGGTATCGCTTACTCGAGAACGATGATCGCCATCGGCGTGAAAAACTCACCTTATTGTCGTAGTAGATCCAGCCCCCGCCATCTTTGGCGCTCGCATCATCGGCGCCATCGATGCGCCATTCACCCCCTTCTACCCAGCGCCACTTGGCGTTCCCGCTTTGTACTTCGGGTAGCTCAAATTCATCCTTTGATGGCACATTGTTGAGGTGCTCATCGGTCCATGCAGCACGCTCGGACGGGAACAGCGAGTAGGTCCAGCCAATTCCGAGCCAGCGCCGTTGGTTCTCATATAAAATGAAGGTAAAGCGCACACCGGAAGATTCTCCCCGTCGACGGGTCGCAACGCTGGCAGCATGTCCGTGGCTTTGTGTCCGAGCCGACGGTGTCTTGTCCACGTTCAATGAGAATGATAGGCCGGTGATCAATGAGCAAATCCGGCGGACAGTTAGTGATCTCCACAGGATAACGCGGGATACCCTCGCTGGTCGGGAATGATAGGTGAGGATAATGGTGCCAATGATCAAGATAACACGACGCGTGGTGATGAGATGCAAGGGAGGCAAAGTCAGGGCGATCCAGATAGGTGTTACAAAGAGGATTCGGAAGAAGAGTGTGGTCAGAGCCGGTCTGGTGGTCGCGGATGTAGCTGTCCTTTGGGTGGACAAAAAATCCGTGAGTTCCAGAAACGGTTCCAGGAGCATGTTACAACGAGTCGTGAATGCCCTCATCGTTTCAACAATCTCATCGAGGCTGTCATGATGGCGCAGGGAGCTCTCCGAGGGAGCTCTCTGATGGCCTGGTTTCTCTCCGGATATGGATCTGGTTGATAAGGGGGAGTAGCGTCTCCAATACATGCCCAGAATGAGACCGATCACCACGAGGGGCGGGCCAGCCCACAGAATGATGGTGTCACCATAGAGGACGATCGTCCAGAAGATTGAGACCAGGAGGAAACTTTGCCATGCATCGTCAGTGGTCCATGTCAGTAAGCCTACTAGCTTATTCAATGGTAAGATAAAGGGGTGGGAGTAGGCTAAGGCTCGAGTGATCGGTGGAGGAGTCGCGACCAGGAGAGGAGATTTGCGATGTACGATAATGCTAGAGCGCTGTCGGGATGCCAGCGATGAGCCGGAGATGGTAGTAGGAGAAAAAGCAGCGACCGTCGGGGGCTGAGAATCAGCATGGTCCTGCGCGGAAGTTGATGGGGCCATGGAATCTATCCACGGAATATCGTCTGCCATGCCATCAGCATCTATGCAGAAGTGCTCTGAAGAACACTTCGCTCCTCGCGCGGAGAAAGAATGTGGGGGAGAGGAGTAGGGAAGAAGGGTTTGTTGATGACGGGGTGAAGCTGGAGTTGTGGACTCAGGCACACGAAATAAGATCACATACCGAGAGCTGCCATCCAACAGAGACGTCATATGCGACCAGTTGGCTCATTGCGGGCGGTGAGCACGCACAGGGAACAAGAGAAGAAAGGAAAGAAGAAGTTATAAGGGCCGAGGAACGAAGAAAAAGGGTTGGAGATCACGAGCAACCCCGGTCTAGTCGAAGATCTCAGGAACCGACCGTCAAACCGGAATATTAGGCGGAGAGATCGCCTGCGGGGGAACTGGAAGACTGTAGAAAGTCCCGCGGGAGGAAACAAGTTGAAGCTTTTCGCGGGTTCTCGGGACATGTGACAATGGGGTGAAATGCCAAAAGTAAGGTTGGCAGCAAATCTTTCTTACTGCATAGGGGAGTCGTTGCGAGCAAATTAAAAAAATAAAATAAAATAAAATAAAGAATAGAAAAAGCAAAGAGCCTCAATCTTTTGATTTCTTGAACAAAAATATATTCCTATATATATATGGCAAGAGATTAATATAGTTATGTCGCGATCCCTGTCCGAGAGCTCTGATCTTGTGCTCACGCTTTGGTTTCGATTGTCCTCCGTATACTCTGTATGTAGAAACAGCCGACAAACCGTCCCAAGGTACGGGGTACTACTGTAATCAACTCTTGAATGGATGGATGTACTTACTTACATACAGCTGTAAGTACGGGACCGTTCCGAAGTCGCCCCAACCAGTCATGGAAAATTACAGCCGTCGCTGGTCCCGACCCCGATGGCGGTATCAGGTACGGAGACAATACCGCCACCGAAATTTTTCCATTGTCGTTGCGGCTTCAAACCTCCGTCTGTTTCCATCGCCATCCAACCTTTCTTGATCTGCCCCAGACCGCCAGAAACGCAACCCTTGCCTGCTTTGCGTGTATCTTACCGCGATCGCAGACTTGCTTTTTGTCGCATCTCCTTGCCTTTGTGTCCTGTGTCCGTTTCCTTGGTTCAAAGAACTACCATTCCACCCGCCATTAGCCACCATGGTAAGTCGTCCATGTCTATCTACGATGTGACTGCTTGCTTTTCCTCAATGCCCTTTGGATCCAGCTCACTAACGGACTCCCCCGTTTCTATCAGGCCCACCGTCTCGTTTCCCAGGTCGTTGTTACGGGCGCCCGAGTCTTCGGTCGCGCCTTTGCTGAGGCCTACAAGCAGGCTTCCGCTACCGGCAAGTACAAAGCAGTCCAAGGCAAGGGTGGAAGCAGCTTCTCCTCATCCGGTTTGACCCTCGATGAGGCTTGCAAAATTCTCAATGTCAAGCCTCCCCAGGGTGGTGAGACCAACTTGGAACATGTGATGGAACGATTCAAGAAGCTATTCGATTTGAACGACCCACAGAAAGGAGGCAGTTTCTACCTTCAGAGCAAGATTCTTCGTGCGCGGGAAAGGATAGAGATGGAACTCCGCCAGGCTGAACAGAAAGCTGCCCAAGAGAAAGAATTACGCGAAGGCTGGAAGCCCAAGGTTTACAAGGATTAAGGATTGACCGATGAATCCTTGGCGCTGGAGTCCGTCGAGATGGAATACTTCGCGACTGCTTTCAAGGACGCCTTCCAAATCTCGGGTCGATTAAAACGAACGCCCTCCACGGTCGAGGCGACCGTATCGAGCATATACGAGAGACCGAAAGAAAACCTATAAACTCCATCGACTTATTCCATATTCCCTCTCGGTTTTTGCAGCATAGCATGGCGTTTTGGTGATTCCAACATCTGGGTTGGAGAGAGTTCTAGATTTGTTTTCTAATTCCCCCGTTCTTTATACTCCAGGTCAGATAACAGTGGAGGAGGACATTAGAGACGGAATCGGGGGTGGTTGAATCCGCATACCTACGAAGCCGAACTCTGTCATCCGATGCATCCTTGCCTATCTCATTCGGATTATATCCTCTTGTGTATACTATTTGTTGGACGGCCTGGGGCTCTAGATGGATCGGATTCTGATGAGGACAGTTACGGGATCGGACCCCCATCTCCTGTACTCGCCATATCTATCTATTTGTCTTTGATCCTCCATGTTGCTCCCTCTGATTATGACCTCTACTCCACTCTTGTGTTCTAGAAACAGCGTTGTCTCATGTACTTATAAGGAACCATCATATGCCCTCAGTCTGGAGGCGACGATGAAAGTGTGTATAAATGCAACCGCCATGTATTCAGTTGACGTTGTGAACCCACCTCTTAAGAATAAAAGAGTAAAGTCTCTCCGCAGGAAGACCGTTGAGCTTACATAAGACGTTAGAGTTCGAGGGGCAAAAAAGGGACGAGGAGAAAAAGCAGAAGAAAAGGTGAAAGTCAATCCCGCCAAACGTTGATCACCGCCTTGAGCCGAGAGAATCAGGAACACCCGAGATAGCCATCCTAACCACCGAAGCCACGCAAACCAGACAGCACCGCTCTCATTTGGTGGGGGTCTGTACCCCGTGTAATTTTCTGGGGTCTTCCGAACTGCAGCCCCTCCCCTTTGTGACAATACATCTCCGGGAGCCCATGGGGTTTCAGCTATGGCGCCATCCCGAGCGGAGGTTCCGCGCCGATGGTTAGAAATCCAATTAAAAAAAAAAGCCGGGCCACTGTCTAGACTTCCGATCGCTTATCAACGCCTATTGCCCCTCCCTTAACCTCCCCTCTCTCGCTCGGTTCTACATACAGTCGATGTTTACGGAGTAGTTCACCCTTGCTCAACTCCGTTTGATCTTCTTTGACTGCGACAATGGGCCGCCCCTCAGTTCCGCTGTCGGCGAATTTGCCGCCACTGGTCATGGGCACTGCGACATTCAACTCGCAGTACAACCCCGATCCCTACGCCCTCCCGACTACAGAATTGGTCCATCGTGCTCTCGCTAGTGGAGTCCGTGCTTTCGACACATCGCCCTACTACGGCCCCGCGGAGGAACTCCTCGGCCGAGCGCTGGCCACCGATTTCGTCCAGTCCAACTTCCCCCGCTATACATACCGCTTGCTCACAAAAGTCGGTCGAGTCGCGTCCTCTTCCTTCGACTACTCCCCGGAATGGGTGCGCTATAGCGTTCAGCGCAGTCTTCGTCGTCTCCACACCGACTACCTCGACGTAGTCTACTGCCACGATGTCGAATTTGTCTCGCCACAAGAGGTGCTGGAGGCTGTCCGGGAACTGCGCCGCATCCGTGACACAGAGGGGACCATTCACTACGTGGGTATATCAGGATACCCCGTTGATGTACTGAGCGATCTCGCAGAACTGGTCCTACGGGAGACGGGCGAACCGCTCGACATCGTTATGTCTTATGCCAATTTCACTCTGCAAAACACCCGGCTGCTCACTGAAGCTCTGCCCCGTCTCGTGGCTGCCGGTGTCGACGTGGTTCCCAACGCTTCCCCGCTGGGAATGGGTCTGTTGCGTCGCTCAGGTGTACCAATTGGTAGTATGGGAGACTTCCACCCCGCCCCGAACGGGTTGAGAAGCGCAATTCACCGCGCTGCGGAATGGGCCGATACTCAGGGCGAGAAGATCGAGGTGATTGCCATCCGGTTCGCACTCGAGTCGTGGCTCCGCGAGGGCGCTAAGGCAGGTGCTCTGGGGCCGCCTCTGGCTCGGTCTGCGGACGCGGATCCGGGCTTTCTCTCTGTTGTGAATTTGGGAACCGGCGAGCGACTCGGCGTCAGTGTGATGGGCGTGAGCAACTTGGACGAACTGCACGAGACGCTCCGAGTTTGGCACAGTATCATCGAGGGTCTGGAGAACAAAGACGACGACGAAGGCACCGAAACGGGCAATACCCAATCCAGGCCGGCCGCCGTCCCTTCAGCTCTCCAGGCTCCTACAATCCTCACCCCCTCAGAGGGGATCATCACCGACCGCGCGTGGTCAGACTCCCGTCGTCACCGCATCCTATCCCTTGCCCAGGAAATCCAGGCGATCCTCGGCTCCGAATGGGTGGATTTTATCTGGCCAAGTCCTGGAACGGATTTCGTCAACACTTTGTCGGCCGAGCATCTTGCCTTGAAAAGGGAATTGGCTGGACTCACTTCCGCAGGACAGGAAAAGGCATCTCCTGCTAGCAGGGATGGTCCGACAATGATCACCCCACCCTTGGATGCGGTAGATATGAAGATACCCGTCGACGCAGCCCCTTCAGATGTTGCGTTGTAAATATGGATTGTAAATGTTTTGCTCCAATATAGACCGGGGAAGGTGACTTTTTGTTTGTTCCTCCTTTCCCATTAATGATTGAAAAGAATTATCCTTATGACTATGTGGCCTTTATGAGTGATCTGTTTTGCCAAATCAAAATAGACTTAGCCACGACATGAAGTACACGTCCTGAATCTTCTAAATCTAAATATATATCTTCTGGAAGCAATCCTAAGCATAGAGAAAAAAAGCCCCGATAAAATGTATGATAAACAAAAAAAAAAAAAAAAAAAAAAAAAAAAAAAAAAAAAAAAAAAAAAAAAAAAAAACAAAAAAAAAAAAAAAGCAAAAGCAAAAAGAACCAACCCTTTCTTTTTACTTGTGGGATAGAAGTATAAAATATACACACACAGATATATATATTGATAAACCTTACCTCATTGAGATACCGACTCCAAACCGAATCATCCTCTCCAAGCAATCGCATATAGCGCTTCCTTGATGAGAAGGAGGTGGAAAGGAAAAGAACAGCGACAGGAAAACCTGCCATCACTGTACCAAATTGGATTGATTTTTACTATCAATTTCTGATTCTGGGTCTGTTTTCATCTACTGCCTGCCAAGGCAGGAATGAGCAAGCTTGGTCTTCTGGAGAATTACCTGAATCCAAAACGCTTGCAGCGGGTGACACGGACCATGGACCCTGCGAGACAGTTAGCTGGGGTTTAGAAAGAGTCTACATGAGTAGTGAAGGGGCGCCAGGTATGGATAGGAGAGATAACCAACCGGTCTTTACGCGAGAAATGAGCTTTGGAGGGACCTTTCGTCATCATCATGACTGTGGAAAGTTAGGAAACTGAAGATAGACAAGGCGATGCTGCAGCGCTGTCAGAAGCTTTGAATTGCTCAGTGATGATAACAAAAACGGTCCACCCAACGAATCTCACACGCTCATGATAATGGGTATCTGACGTTAAAAGCAATACGCATGATAAAACGTGAACAGAGAAGTGATCCTATATGGATAGGACGGAAACGGCCCTGGACATATATGCGCCCAGAGAAGAAAGTATTTGTACATAACTCGACACTCCACGAATGCCATTGGTCTCGGCTCACTACTTCATTTCTTTCTCGCGGGTGGCGAGATCTTTGTCCATGTCAGACTGGCTTTTATAGCCGCCGACAATCAAGGCTTGTTCATTGGTGATAGAATCTGGAACGGAAGTCAAGTCGGGCCGCAATCGCTTCAGACGCGCGGCACGTTCCCGCGAGGCTTGCTGTTTCCTTTGCAGCTTGGTTAACTTCTCCTTGGGCTCCTGGGAGGGAGGTGGAGAGTTGGGCGGCAATGGTGGAGGAGGAGCCGAATCCGCCGGTGGAGGGCTTTGAGGAGGTGGAGGAGGCGAGGGTGGAGCTTGATACTGCGCGAATCTGGGGTGTGTCTGGAAGACTTGGCGCAGCTGCCATCTTTGCTCGGTGTATTCATCATAGTTTGCTGCGATAATGGATTCTAAAATGCTGTTTTGTTGGTCTCCTGCCATAGCCATCGAAACCATGCGGCTTTTCAAAAGGCGATACGCATCCCTAAATGATTTGAAAACCAAAGCTATTTCGCGTGTTCCTCCGGAAACATCGTTGTCGGCGTTATTTGGATCCTCGATCGAGAGGCGCGCATCCTTGTTGTCCCGGTAGACTTTGTACACTCTCTGTCAAAGAGAAGTCAGCCATGAAACGTTCTTACAATGGAACGTTTAGGACTCTTGCTTACCTTGTTGAAATAGCCTGGCGGATCCATCCGTATACCAACCGTTTCATAGTCAAAGTCATGACCATAAAATTCGAAGAAATCCATGAGGACACTGCCTAGATTTTGCGACGTAGGGCCATGTGGAAGGTGCTGTAGAAGGCTTGTCACAAGACAGGTGATAGAGAATCCTCCCAAGCCGCCACAAGGGACTTCGTTCAGCCCTCGAAGCAACAAAAATTGTTTAATCACCGAAACAATAACGGGCATGGCCGGATATTCACACTTCCATTGCTGAAAAGTGTTGTTGGCGACCAGTCCGCTATCGTTGTCGAACGATAAGTCCACTCTCAGGCCAGTCATTTTATCCACAAACTTCAGGATGGGAACCCGAGCATGCGCGATCGTCTCTATTGAGCCGGGTACAGCGATGTCTAAATTCCGGAGGAATGCAGAGAAGGCGTAAATCTGCCCCTTTCGTTCACCAAACGTTTTGATACCATGACGCATGAAGTTGGAGGAAAGCAGAACTAGATCTATATCGGCAGTTGGAAGGTATAACCCTGAGGCGAACGAACCAAATGCACGAAGCTGCACGCCATAATATCTGCTTTGAAAGGCAGTCTGGAGTCGTTCAATCAAGTCCGCTCGGACAATCTGTTCGTATTGCACTGGTTTCACCCAATGATAAAAGGACAGAATTTCGTTGTGCAGCCTGTGCTAGTTTGTTAGGATGCGACTGATATATTGGGGTAGAGTATGCTGGTTAGGACCGACCTTGTACCCAAGTGCAATGTAGGCGTCATATGGTTGAACCAAGGCGCGCCGGTCTCCGACGGGCGCACTCTCCACTCGTCAATGATTGAGCCATCCGAGTAATACTTATTCAGAGGCTTGCCCGTCTTCTTCGAAACACCCTTTAATTCATCGTCATGTGTTCTCTTCCGGCTTCCAATCGCAGAATCTCTTCCTTGCATTTGGCTCCTTGGGCCCATGGGCGCGTCCTGCGGAGGCTGGTATTTGCTTTCTTCCTCGTCCACCAGGCCCCCTAGCGAAATGAAGTCTTCGTTGTCTGCTACTGCATCCGTTTTCGCTGGTTGCGCGCTAGCAGCTAGCCGAGCCTTCCGGATCAGCTTGACCACGTCCACTCTCTTTGACTGAGTTTCATCTGGTGGCGGTAGAACTGTATATGGATCTGGGTTAGACCACTTGGGCGCGGGGGGTGGTGTGGGCGCTGAGGCAGGGGTGTTGCAGTTGTTCGACTCGAGAGCGCGTTTCTTGCGAGGACGCGACTCGTCGTCATTCTCATCGGAGGACACGTCCATGTCAGCCTCCTCGCTATCGCTGAGGCTCTCCAGAGGCGCAAACTTCAGTGCAGGTTTCTCATCGCCATTTTCCGGGGCAACCAAAAGCTCTGGCGTAGTTTCTCTTTTCGATCGGAGGAGCGGCCGCTCGGACGTGGGGGGTCGCGAATAGCGAAATGTGAATTCAGGCTTGGGTTGGTGATTCTGTGACCGCCGGTCATTGCCGCGGAACTGGAATGGTGGTGGCATGACAATGGAGCCCCTGTGTAATGGGCGTTGCGAATAAAAAGGACGGAAATGAAAAGGCGACACGGTCAATGTGAGGAAGACGGCTAGTTGCAGCGTCACGAAATCATTTACGCGGAACTTTTTTACGTTTTTTTTTTTTTTTTTTTTCTTTTTTTTTTTTCCTTTTTTTTTTTTTTTTTTTTTTTTTTTTTTTTTTTTTTTTTTTGGGCGACATACCAGACCTTGATTGGGTAGGCGGTGAAAGTGGATTACCCTTGCTCGTTTTTAACAATACATCCACGAGAGTATAAGAAAGAACACTCATTTCCCGCCGATTCCCTGCTTCTCCGACCACCCCTTCAACCCAGACTCCAACCGTTGCATTAACGGCGGATCCCCTGCCATTTCTGCAAAGCTCACTCTCCCAGGATACCATTCCAATAATTCTTCAGCTCTGGTGCCGTGGTTGGATTGAAGTAACCCGACACTCACGTCTATTACTAGCGGCCGTTCTTTACAATGCCAAAAGATTGTCGCACCACAGCGGTTGCAAAATTCTCGATAAATGTCGGGAGAGCTTTCATACCGCTGCATCGTAGTCTCAGTGAACACCAAAGGTGACCCGCTGGCGTTGACAAGATTTGATTTGGGGATAAATGCCCACGCTTGAATAGGGAATCCGCTCGCCAGCCGACAAGATCGACAGGCACAGGTTCCAGCTAAGTACCGGGAGCTTCTATCTCGAAGCCACCATTTCACATCCTGGGCTTTTTCTGATGAGCTCTTATAATAAGGGACTAACAGGTCCGGCCACGGGGAGGATGGCTGAACGGAAGTGGAGTCTGGTCGAGTGATGTAGAACACAATACCCCCACAGTGACAACGAGCTCGCAAGCTCTGACTCCTGTCGTCCGCCGGCGGTATCTCGGCGGAATGTTTGGGTTGGTTGTTGGAACCGAGCTCAAGCCAACATGCGGACACTGTTTCCTTGGAATCACCGGGAAGAAAGGAAGCCAGACCGCCATCCTGAGTATCCCTCGTTCGCCAATGCCGTATGGTTTTGGTTCGACGAGGCCCCTCCACTATCAGTCCGGCTGCGACGAAGTACTGTCCTGTATGCTCCAGATGCGCAAATACATGGGCGCCACAGGTCCTACAGAAATATCGGCTGGTGCCGGCGGATTGTCTATATTCGCAGAAGCGGTCGATGTTCCATGGACGAGTCTGTAGAAGATGATATGAAGAATATAGTTGCCCTGTGATTGCCCTACACGCCGTACAGTGACATAAATTGAGGACACTAGGGTCTGCCCCTAGTACAACCTCTTGTGCCGCTTTTCCACACAAGCACGAGATGCGATGGATCACCTCGTCATTGTGCATGTTGGCGATGAGATAGTGGCTGTGATACGGTGCACTGTAGGGTGGTCTCTGTATAGGATTTTGTTATTTGTACTGGTTAAGGAACGTCACTAATAATGATCTTGGATCTACACAGTATGCCTTCCCGTGTCCGGTTTTGGCAGCTTTTCAGGCCTCCGTGTACACGCAGGCACGAGGATAACGGTTTTGTGTGGTCAGTGGGGATTAAACGGGTGAATTAAGCTGAGAAATTGTCACGTAGAAATGGGCTCGTGTCCAAGCGCCCTACTGAGAGGGGAGCGGGTTCGATGGGGCGATGGAGATTCAATCAAAGAGACGCATCCGTCGCCGCGGCTATAAATACCCTTTTCACACCTATAAAATACGACCCTTCCACCTCGCTCTCTCAACTCCTCTCTCAAGTCTCCTCCAAATCATCTGCCTACGAGAACGATCACTTTCGATCTTTTTTTTTTTTTTTTAAAAAGGAAATCAAACACCGTCCTTCCATACACCATGGGTTAGTCGTAACTCCGTCGTTGCTTTTTTGTCCCTTTATTGGTGGGGTAATAGCGGGGTTGTTTGTCCCATATCCTCGCTTCTCGCCCATCTGCATTTCCCTGCCCAAGATATGATTCCTCCTCGACTAGAATTCGAGTTTAGCCCTGTTCTGCGATTGCTAATCCAGAAATACGACTTTGCTAATCATTGACCCTAATAGGTTCCGATCACGGTTGCAGCTGTGGCGCCTCCTGCCAGTGCCCCGCCGGCCAGTGCCAGTGCCCCGTAAGTGTCCTGGATCTCCGGTTTACCTGGGTCGTAGTGATTTCACTGACTGTTATCCTCTGGCAGAAATAAGTGGAACGCCTGTTGACTCGCTGTGAGAAGATCATGCATTAAATTGGAATCGGAGTTGCAGGGATGGGGTTTCGTGTGTGTATCTGAATACAGTGATAGGCTTCAATTCAAGCAAGAATAGATTGAGTCACCATTATCATTGAGAGTACCTGGCAGTAGTTCTCAACGTAGGAAATCCTTTCAGTCTACCTCTCTGGAAACGTTCCTCTGAGTGTATGTAGGGCCCATGCCTCTCGTGACTGGTTGTCCTCAGGCACCCAAAAGGCGGGGTATGTCGGGATCATGGGATCACATTTGTATACAGAGATTGGGTATGTCCAGTAACTTCAAACCGCAATGTTGACAAGATTCTCTCTTTTCCGCTGTAGAGTTTTGCTATCGTCGTTGCCTCCGATTCGATCACCCGATTCTCTTCCCCTTACCCTCCGAACATGCCCCCATTCCAACTTACTTTGACCTCGGAACCGTCCGAAGATTTCCTGCATAATCCACCAACGTAACTTTTTCTCTTCTTTTCCTGCGGCACCCGCGCGTGGGCCGGTGTGAAACCGTTCTTCGGCGGCTTTCTCGTCTGTTGGTCTTTTGCAGCGGACGACATCCGCGTAACGCAACTCATATCGACGGGGCTTCTCGGGCCAGTCCAAGGACCATGGAACCATCACCGGGGCTGTGGACCAATAACCTCCAGGAGAAGGCTAATCAGATGGCTTTGCGGTCCATTATCTGTGTTAAAGCTCGATGCTTCTTGTTTCAAAGATCACAGGAAACAGCTACGGTACAACTCAAGGTGAAGAAAAGGTAGTGATTAGATAGGGTTTGAGATTCTACTGAGATAGACCAACATATTGATCTCTTTTATTCTATTGAATCACTTTTTGTACCGGCCGTGCTCTCAGAAAGCAGCTTCAAAATCGAGATTCTACTTCCCCCACCTCCCAGACAAAGCCACGCATGTGTGACATGCATGAAGGAAACCACCCAGACATCATAGATAGCTGCAAGGTTCCAAGTTTCCCAGCTCCACAATCGGACAAAACGAAAGAAAGAACCTACTAGTAACTCCGTCCATCAATCAAATCCCTCAAGAACAGCAGCGCAAAAGTCTCTCACTAGCTGCCTCACTTCCCAAGACCTCCCCACTCCCACCCACAACGTGGCATGACGGAAGACCCTCCAACAGAGCAACATGGTCATCTCCTGTATTCCGACAGCACAGGATAGATAGTTTAGTGCTGTAGCATCATCGCCAGATAGTTCCGGCAACGTATCCATGCGTTCCTCACCGGGACAAGCAAAAGACAACCTATAATCACATCAAAACCGTCGTACATGTTGCCGATCTATGAGTATCTCACCCTCCATCGCAAGCTCCCATGACCTCAGCGAAGGAGGGTCACCAAATGCAAAAGAAAAATAACGCAGATCGTCGTCTCTGCAAGCGCCCCGATCAAACCCCACTCCTGCCAGCGCGAGTCCATTCAAATGGTCCGATGATACTAAGGGAAGCAAACTTTCGGCCATGGTGGGGGGTACCTGTCGACCTATGTCCAACCATGCGGGTTTCGGGTGTATCAACCTGCTTTTTGTCTTCCTTGGCTTTTCTTTTCTTTTCTTTTCTTTTTGCGACCTTGGTCAGCAGACGTCCAGTATCATGCGTGGCTGATGGGGGTCGATGGATTGGTGGGGGTTCTGAACTGTATCTTGGCCTTGGGTAGGAAACTGGCCTTGATCGGCGGTGACCTGAAGATATATAAACCTCACTCCTGCCTGCTCGAGCTTGAGTACCTTGATAGAATCAGACGACCACTCTCTCAGAATCAAACTACTCTTCTACTTTCATTCCTTCGAACAATCCCGTTCATACCAATCCCTCTGCAACCATGACTCCCTGCAACTGCAACTCTTGCTGCTCCGGCGACTGCAACTCCTGCAACTGCTCCCAGTGCAAGGTATGCACCCACCTATCTATCTCTCATAAACTCCTGGGATAGAACGTAGAAATTAACCATCGAACACCAGCACTAAATACATCACCCCTGACACCGGTCCGACCATCCTCAAGACAAGAACCACGCTGCAGCCGACAGTGATACCGTGACTTCCCTGCGATCGATCGACGTGCGGCACCAACGAGGATGGGATGAAGTGCAGTGTTCTTTCCTTGCTACTTTGATTCGTCGGGGATAGAAGTTGGGTGGAAATGCGGTTATGACTGATGGTGATGATGATGATGGCTTTACCTTCTCGTTTTACTTTTTGAACATACTTTTTTTGCTTCTGAAGATTGATTTCCTGCCGAGTAGTGTTTGCTTGCTTGTTCTTTGCGTGTAGGTGTCTCTGTAGTGATGATGAAGATTGTATGTCCCTGCGACGGTCTGGTTCTTTTATGGTATTTTGTGACATTTGAGTACGCAAGTGATGTCTCCAATGACAGGGGAATGCAGTAGTGCTTATAGGGATTTATTTAGTGGTACCTACGCAGATGTAGACTGTTGGCTGTGATGCAGTGTGATTAACGAGTTATAGGACATCTTGCTAGCGAAACCTGTTGCCACTACTGTAAGATATATCTATGCCTGTAGGCGCAAAGATAAGGATTCGGCCGAATATATCTCAACCCTGGCATCCAAGCTTTGAAACCTGTACGTAGAATAAGTTCAAGTTTAAGGGTAGAGTCTGTATAGTCTTGCCTCGAGATATTACATCCTTGGAAGCTCGTTAGTCGCTTTGATTTTTCCACCCATAACTAGAGTCTATTTAATGAGAACTTATGTTGTCTGCAACGGATGTTTCTATATAGTTGCCTTAAAGAATGCGAGAATCCCGGCTATAGTAACTCGACAACCATGCCGTCCTTATCTTAATAATCTTAACTAGAAGTGTTACTATCTTCTTCTAGAAACCCTAGTACGTCTATGGCCTAGGACCCACTAAAGTGAAAATAACTCTTGAATCTCAACTCCAATCATCTTACTGAAAGTAATCATTCTTGCAACGGGCAGCAGGAGCTGGAAACAAGGACACCCAGATAATGTCACACACTATAGTATCCACTGCATGGAGATCTAGAGCCCTGGCAAAAGGTACCCAATGCTATAAAGTCACCGGATCTATTCAAGGGCCAAATGTTACTGGCTTCATGTACCTTTCTGACTCAACGGATATAAATCACGGTATAGCCTTCTCTCTGATTCCCTTCCAGGAGATACACGGCCCAGACGCAAGTATACCTTACCCTGGGCGGCTGCATGGTTACAATGCACCCATGTGATACGGTCCAGGATATTCTTTTTCTGATGGAGACCTTCGCGCCTCTTGGTCGTGCGAAGGATAGTCCTAGGTTGACCGTTATAGTGGGATGCAAAAAGGTCGGCACTAACCGTTTGACCGTGGGATTCGAACCCACTAACTACACTTTGTATGGGATAAAATCATGACCCCTATTGACTACATACACCACCCGGCAAATCTCAAAAGTGTCGTCCCCCGAGCCGGAATCAGCCAGCGACCTTCTGATGACAGGGTTATGAATTCTATTACAGCCAGACGTCATATCCAACTAGACCATCAGGGGTTTAGACGTATTTATCCTACGTGTTAAATGTAATCTAAGTCTAATGATCACATATGTACTATCTTCGTAGAGAAGGATACAAAAAAAAAAATTTAAAACCAACTTGAACCTCACCAAATCCAGTATTTGAACCTATACATATATATCTATATATTAAATCATAGCTCCCAGAAGAGAATGAGACGCTAGCTATTGGGATAGACAGCTGGTATACCAGGCATTGAGGCCAAGGTGTACAGTTTGCAGCTTTCTACCAATCAAAATAGTATAATTAGGAAGGCAGTGAAATCCGGCAATACATGGACGGTTTCAAACTCTTTGCATCCCACTTTACCGTAGTTAATGGAGATATTGTCAGCTAGGCAGAGGTTTTGCCTGGTTGGCTGTGAGCCTCGGGAGGTCAATTGAGTATACAGGACTTCTTATGAGCACCTAAGGACAGGACAACGCCATCAACCCTTCAAAGCTTCTTCACAAGACCATCCACGATCTTCGCCGTCTCCTCAAACTTGGTAAAAGTAGGGCAGTGCCCCGTCTCGACCTCAACCGTCTCAACCTCTCTACCCTCCTCGCGCATCTTCTCCACAAACCACTTTTGATAGTCCATCGGCACATTCATATCCTCCGTGGCATAGATATACGCCACGGGGATCTCCCTCCAAGCACACCGCTCCGCATTCTGATACATCGCCTTCCCATTCCAACGCTGCATAGCCGCAACGTAAGCGTCGGTCTCCTCATCCGACCGACCAGGCCCAATGATCAGCTTCTTCGGGTCACGGCTCGCTGTACTGTAATCCTCGGCGATGTCGAACGCCAGGGGTATCAGATCCTCATGCCCGAATCGCCTCACGACGCTCATCATGGAGTTGTTCTCCGTGACTGCAAAGGCTGATAGGTAGATTAACAGGACGACCCCGCCCTGCCGGCCTTGTTGCTTTCGGGTCTCTGCGCCTAGGCCCACCAGGGCGTGGGTGCCGACCACGCCGCCGTAGGAGTGCATGAGCATGACGACCTCCCGGCCGGCCTCGACGAGGCTTTCCACATAGCTGCGGATGTAATCCGAGCCGGAGTAAAGATCTGCGTTGGGGGGACGGACACCGTTCATAGTAAGTAAACGGGGAACGTGGACTTCATAGCCCTTGGACCTGAGTATGGAGGTAAATTCCGCGTAGTGGGCTGGGGTGTGAAAAGCGCCGTGGAGCAGAACGATGGCGGGGCTGGAGTTGAGCATTCTGAAGGTGAATGGGTGATATGATATGACACGGAGGAGACTTATAGCGGGATAAGGATAGCAAACGAAAGATTTGAATCGATGAGGGCAAAGAAATATTGGGGGGGGTCGTTTGGGGGTGGGTATGGAGGTTAGGGTTGATCTCTGTCTTTTATGTTTGCCTATGGATAGGGAGGGGAGTGGGAGACGCTACTGGGATACGTTATTGTTCCTGGCGAGGTTCTGGTCCAGTGAGAAAGAGAGGCAACACCCCGTTAGTTCATCCGCCAAGATTGTTGTGTTGGTTGATTCTTTGTTCCCTTCATTAACGTGCATGAAGGGTGGGACACAATCGGCCAGGATGAGGTGAGATTCTTTGAGCATGTTGACAACTGTAGGTTGTCATAACTATACCACCCTTCGGGTGAAACCCAAAGTACAGTATTTTACATGATCCAGACCCCGGATTTGAAGGGATAAATAAAGCCATAAGCGATAATATTATTACTTGTCCCGACAAGGATGGCCGCGATCGTGAGGGTCTAGGGTATAGGCCGCTAGTGGAAACTGGCGTCCAATCGCTTCCGCAATATGACATGGATCACTGACCACTGCTATGGCCTTAGCTCTTATCTGGAATACCCTTCGCTGTGGCTATAGACCTGGAAACCTCTGTACTGCTGCATGTGGGTGTTTCCTGACGTTGAATATAGACAGATATTCAATTAATAGTGTGAAGTCCGCCCATCTTGGTTTTTAGATTTCGGGTTGCAACCTACTAGCAAAACCTAGTCTGGTTCTAGAAAATGCAAGCCACAAAGTGTCCCCAGAGAAACAGTTCCCTAGACGAATCATATTGATTCGTTAGTTGCTCTCGACATCAACTCCTCTGGACATCATTTGATGCCTACATCTGGAACGACATGACTTCTGTCATCAAGCGATTCTACACGATTGTGGGCAATGTCACGCTAGAGCATGTGAAGAAATAAAACAAAAACGGCGCACAGTGGGCGTTGAGCATTGACAACTGTGCAAGGGAAGAGAAAACTGCAGTACGAGATAGAATTCCATCCACCAAAACAACCACTAATTGAATGTGAAGGACCCCAGAGTCAAGAAAAAGCCGTATCAGTCAGTGTGGCTTGGGTCGCAACTGAACGACTAGCTTTAGCTTTAGGGTACCCCGGGAGGCCTAGAGCGCTAAAGGGCCCCTAAAGATTTAGTACTGGCAGCCCCTAAAGGCCCTCCAAGGCGGTAAAATATCGCATGATCAAGTCAAAAAGGAAGGCTAACCTTATTATCGACCTAATGAGTTGGTATAATAGCACGGGGCTGATCGTAAGGAATATCATATTCATAGTTTGTTCGGAATCCCGATTTAGTCCACCGTAGGCACGTGACTACAACATGTCCATACCGTTATTGAAAGGCACCTGAGACTTGAACTTCAGCCCATCCCTTCAAACATTCTTAGAACAGAAACCGAGTTGAGTAGATATTTTCCAATTTTAATGAAAGTACCTTGACTATGAATCGCTTCTCTTACTTTCGTCGGTTCCTTGGGCGGCCGTCCGGGTTTCCCATACTAGACTCCACCCTAAAAATTGAAGAGGAGCGGCTGCCCGCATATAATCGAGGCCTGTTTTATCCAGTCAAACTTGGAGATGTTTTTCTTTCTAGATATCAAGTCCTCACCAAGTTGGGGTTTGGCGCAAATTCAACTGTCTGGTTTTGTCGTGATCTCTGGTACTTGTGACCGTGTTGTCTCAAATAGACAGAGCTAAATTTGGCCAGTCAACATCGGTATATCGCACTGAAGATTTACATCTGCGGGTCGGAGGATCGAGAAGTGCGAGTTCTTAGACACCTTTCCACCGTGAAGACACATCATCCCGGCAGCGCTCTCGTCCGTAAAATGATCGAGGAGTTCAAAATCACGGGACCTCGTGGTAACCATCAGTGCATTGTTTATGAGCCGCTTTTAACGAGCCTTTTACATTTTCAGGCAACTTTGAACCCGAAGAGTCTTCCGGAGGACTTGCTGAAGGGAGCACTACAACAGCTGTTACTTGCGCTGGATTATTTACACACGGAAGCCCATGTAATACATACTGGTTTGTGGCTCTCTGAAGACCGTTAGGTTGGGCCATTGCTAATATTTTCGTAGATATACAAGCTAAAAATATTATCATTGGTGCTAAGGATGATTCCATTTATCGCGAATGGGAAAAGGAGGAGGAAACTGAGCCTAGCCCGCGAAAGACTGATGGCTCCTATACTGTCTACCAGTCTCGGCCGTTCCTCCGGAAGAAGGGTTGGCGTGGTTTCGGAATGCCATTTCTCTCAGACTTCGGCGAAGCAAGACTTGGGGACGTGCATGAGGGATTGATACAGCCAGAAATCTATCGTGCGCCTGAAGTTATCCTTGGGATGAATTGGACGTCAAAAGTCGATATATGGAACGTGGGAGTGTTGGTCTGGGACCTGTTCGAAGACCACCATCTATTTGATGGTAGAGACCCTAACGGGAGCCAGTCAGATGTACACCTTCTCGCTGAAATGATGGCTATGTTGGGCCCTCCACCACTTAATTTCCTTCGCCGGTCTCCCCAGAGCCAAAAGTACTGGGATTCCATGGGTGATTCTCTCCTAATCGAGCATTAGAACTTCAGTTAACTCCGTGAATAGGGCAATGGAAAGCGATAGTAGAAGTACCGCCTTACTCATTAGAGGACTTGGAGGAGTACCTTGAGGGTGAAAACAAGAAGATGCTCATGCAGTTCATTAGAAAGATGTTACGATGGGATCCGGAGGAAAGACACAGCGCCCGCGAACTTCTATCGGATCCCTGGCTAAATTCCCAGTAACAGACCGCAATTTCTATCTGTTAAGATATGGGTGGAGGTCCACGGGGCTGCAAGTTTGAGCCATCGGAAGGAGGGCAAGCGTTTTGGTGCAAAGGAGCACAAAAGACGATCGAGCGAACATCAAGAGTTCATTCCCGTTGGTGTGACCCTATTCCCTCTAATTTGATAATACTAGGTACAAGACGATTATTTAAAGACGCTCTTGCTCATTATCGATTGGCTCGCGGCCAGAAGGCCGTATCTATCGAACCAGGTTTGATGGTGACTGAACACTTTCAGCCAAAGTTGGCCGGGTCTACGGGAGGTCACCGTCGGACAATAAGCCATTCTAGATTTGTGTAGCCACGACAGCAGGTAGATAGAATAGGGGGCAAAGAGCGCGATCGAGCCAATGTTCAGATTATGTAAGAGAAACAAATACTCCAAAATTCTCAATCCATTATGAAGAATAGACCTCTATGGAGAGATATTAAAATGTTGGACGTTCTTGGGCCAACGGCCGAGGGATCTCCGTGGCTCTGGCAGTGACTAGCAACTGCCAGGAGGGCCGCTGATTCCAAGGCTAGCGGACGATCTACCGGGGCGCTGCTCCGGGCCGGGACACGCTAACCTTACACTAGAGAACATTGCCCACCCCTATAGATGCCTTACATTACGCGTGTAATGTGTCCTGTAAATTTCTCTGTGGGGTCCTGTGATCAAGAGAAGAATTGCCTTTCTACTATCAAGTTTTACTATTTTGTACTTATCATATCATTCTATTTTTTTTTTTTTAAAAAAAAAAAAACTAATTCAGAGCGTTATAAATGCATTGGACCGAGCCGAGCTCTATTATTCTTTTTACTGGACAAGCCATGAGCCATACTAGAACACCTAAGATAGCTAGACTAAGAAAAGAAGCCGAACAACAGGAATAGAAGTGTCACTCCTCTAGAGTAAGCATTCCATTGAAGCTACCTCCCTCACGCCATCTCTCTATCTATTTAGCCCAGTTCAGTGATCTGCTCAGGGCATGTGGCGATCTATTCAGGAAGTACAAAGCGGCGAGAAATAGGCTAGACGCGAGGACCTAAAACAGAAAAGGAAAGACAACAATGCTTAGAGAAACTCGGTATATATATGCGCTGCTAACCTGTCACATCACAGTTCATCCTTGCGGCCCGAGGCTGCATGGACGTCTTCCTCTCCTCCTGGGCACACGGCAGGGGTGTTGACGAGCATTGAATAGACGCATTTCTCGTCTTCAGCAATCTTCAGAATCTCGTTCTCCTCGCCACACTGCAAGACGACGCTCGTGGACCGAGCAGGACCGTTCCAGCACGTCTGTCCCTTGGCGTACTCGAGAGATATCCTCTCCTCGGGGACAATCTCGCCGGACTCGTTGAGCTCATCAATGGTGACAGATCCAATGCGAACGAAGTTGCCCATGCGTGCCGTTGATCCGCCCTTCTTCGGGATCTGCTTAGTCTGATCCAAGAAGCAGTGCTCGTATGTGTACTCTCCGGCATCCTTTTGGATGCAGACGCCCTTCAGAGCACGGAAGATGGATCCCACACCGTAGTCCGTATCGAGATCCTCCTTGTGATCCTTTACCTGCCTCTTCAAATCTTCGATGGACTTGCGGACTGCATTGACGGCGTCACGGGCCTCGGTGACTGCCTTGGACTCGGAGGCGGAGCCCTCGTCTTTCGTAGGCAGGACGCCGTTCTTCTCGAGGAAACCTCGGATGGAGAGAACCTTGTCCTCAAGGAAGTTCACAAGAGAGGGAGGCAGATAGGCTGCCAGTTGGTAGACTAGATTACAGTTAATATCCATAATGGGAACCCTATACCCAAAATACATACCAAGATTGGCTTCACATCCATCCTCTTCATTCTCCCATTGCTCCCAGTTGACGCCAGACTTGTCGTCATCGGGCTTGGCAATCTCATCCAGATCACGGTCACGGGCAGCGTTCTCCAGGCCTTCAGAGGTACCTCTAGCGGCATATTCCTCCCAGCTGCGCACAGCGCGCTTGACACCCTCGTCATTAAAATTTGGGTTATATTCGACCTTGAACTTGGAGAGAATCTCCTCGAGCTCCTTGACGCGAGAGCGAGTCTCATCCCTCTCCTTACGGACCTCAGCCAACGCAGTTCTGAGTTCCTCCACTCGGCCCTTGGCGACCTGGGCAAGCACATTGACCTTGCCCGCCTTCTTGCCTGTCACCACCTTGCTCCGCTCTTGCTTCTCGATCTCCTCCAGATCAGCCTCCAAACCCTTGAGCTTGATCTCCTGGCCCTGGATCTGAACCTCCAGTCCGTTAATGCTCTCCTCGACCTCCTTCTGCTGCCTTCCGGCGTCAGTCAGCAGTTCCTTTTTCTTCTTCAGCGCAGTCGTCATCGACTTTTGTCTCTTCTCCTCCTTCTTTCGCCATTCCTTGCCAATCTCCTTGCACTTGTCCTCGCACTTGGTGCCCCCGACACGAGCCCACTCGTCACTCCCATCACAGCATAGGTCATAGTCACAGATCCCATCATTGACCCGCTGGAAGGGCGCATAGGAAGGCTTGTGACCTTTATTCTTGCAGTAGAACCCGGGCAGGGATAGCGTCAGATCGAGGTCGTTATTCCCAGGACGGTCAGCGGCCGTCAACGGCGAGTTATTGGATAGATGAGCACAGGCCGAAGTGCCGGGCTCATCACTACCATCCGGACAATCACAGTAGTCATCATTGACGGCGGAAAAGGGGACCTTAATAGCGGGGTGCGAGATACAGGTGAATGTGTCGGTGTCCTTGTAGAACTTCGCGACTAGTTCCAAACAACACCACCATGTTAGCCCTGTATGCACCAGCATAATCCAGCAAAACACACCCAAAAACCACAACAAGAAAACCACAGATCATACACCACCAAGGCCAAAACAGTATGGCCAATCCAAACAAAACTTTAACGCATAAGTAAACAATAGAAGAACATCCACTCACATTCGGGCCCAACACCCCGAGGACGTGCGGAGCCGTCGTTACTCGCCGCAACAACGGCGGTCGAGCATGCTGCCAAGCTCACGAAGAACAGCGATCCCTGAGGCAGTATCATGATGGGAGCATTGAGCGTTTTATCGCGCCAATGCGGGTGTACCGAACAAACGTCGTATACAAATGCGGAGAGAGCTTCTGGCCACCTTTAGCTTGTATGCGATTCTGGACTAAACTAGATCTGGGGAGGGCGGACCCTCTCTTAGTCAGCCGCCGTTATCAAGGCGGCGAAATTGCCGATAGAAGTTCGCTTTACTTTACTCACGGCCGCATTTCTAGATTCTTGATTTCTTCTATACTAAACCAGTGAAGAAATATGGGTAATGACGGTGGAAGGTGAGTATACCGTCCCATTTATCTAAGGATATGCAGGAGGGAAAATCTAACGCTTGAACGACAGTATCCCCACCCGCCGCGAGCTCGTCCGCGAAGCCGCGCGCGCCCCCAGCACAGCTCAAGTCAAAGAAGCCCAGCGCGAACTCCAAGAACACTACTGGACGACATGTCCTCTGTCCCACAAGCCGTTAATGCGTCCTATAGTGGCCGACTGCGTCGGGAACATGTATAACAAAGACGCTATCCTCAAATTCCTCCTTCCTGGCGAAGAGATCGAAGGAATCAGTTCCAAGGCCGATTGCGAAGAGATCCTCGGCGGACGGGTGAAGGGCCTCCGGGACGTAGTCGAGCTGAAATTCGAGATCGACACCGAACAAAACCAACACCCCTCGACTAAGCTCGACAAGCAAGAGGGTTGGATTTGCCCAGTCACTGCTAAGCAGCTCGGGCCAAATGTCAAGGCCGTCTATCTTGTGCCCTGCGGTCATGTGTTCTCTGAGGAGGCAGTGCGCCAGCTGAAGGGCGATAAGTGTCTGCAGTGCAATGAATCGTACACGGAGGAGAATGTCATTCCTATTTTACCGACGAAAAGTGAGGAGAAGCAGCAGCTTGTGGCGCGGGCGCAGAAATTGGCCGAGCAGGGGTTGACGCATTCGCTGAAGAAAGCGGCTGGGTCGAAGAAGCGCAAGAAGCAGGCTAATGGGGATTCTGCTGAGACGGAGGGTGCTAGTCGCAGCAATACATCTACTCCTAAGCCTCGTGCGTCGGATGGCATTAAACATGCGGCGACGGCGATGCTGACTGCCCGGGTCCTGGAGGAGGAGAATGAAAAGAAGAAGCGGCGGAAGATGATGGGTCTGAATGATAATCTGAATAGTCTCTTTACGAAGGACTCCAAAGACGGCAAAATGAAGAACACCGATTTTATGACCAGGGGCTTTACTCTTCCTGCAGGCTCTAGGAAGTGATTGGGTTTAGCGCAATTGGCTCGACGGCGTACGGATTTGCTTGGGCTGCTTATATCGGCTACTGGACCGGTTAATGTTGATATTCTTTTTTTTTTACATTTTTGGGATAGATGAGATTTGTACATGTATAGTTACATTAGTAACATAAGATAAACTAAGGTTTTCATTTCTATAGTACAAAATATCCTGCAATTAACATGCTACAAGAACGGTGACTAAACAATGGGCTCATGTCGTTCAGCAACCTACTCAATAAGCCCTCTGGAACGAAGCTCAGCCTCGATGACCTTCTTCCGGCCCAACTCCTCGTCCCGGTCCATTGGCTTCTGCTTCTTGGCAAAGACCTTGACGTTGGGCAGGTTGTGGAGACCTTGGCTGTTGGCCAGGTAATCTGCCAGCTTCTTAGGCTTGGGGTTAAGAGCCGACTGGATGTATTCAACTACCTGTCCAACGTTGGCAACCGAGTGAACGACAGGATCCGGGAGGTAGTGGCCGCTCAGCTGGGAGAACCGCTTCAAGAACTATGGCATGACTGAGTTAGCAACCGCATAACGCAACGAATTAGGGACAGATGGAAGCACTTACAGCGAACTTCGTAGCAGGGTCGTCCAATGGGAGAGACAGGAAGCCCTTGTCCCGAACATCAGCGTATCCGAAGAAGGGAACATTCACCTCCGGCATGAGGTCTTCCCACTTGGACTCTTCGACGGCCTCCTCGGCCTCCGCGGTCTCTTGTGCAACGGCAGGCTCTGGTTGACCGCCGATCTGTTCGAAGATATAAACGAGGGCTTTTTCGGCTTCCTTGCTAGGATAGACCACGGCCTGGCTCCACTGGCCGGGCTGGATCTTGCACTTCCAGAGCATCTTGAAAACCGACTTATCGTGCTCGACGACATCGCAAACCTTCGACAAAGGCTTGTTCAGGGCGTGCATCAGGCAAACTTCGACTGCTGCTTGGTGGGCGGCTAGGGACACTTGACCCTTCTTGGTGACTTTCTTTTTGAGCATAAATCTACATGCCAGTTAGTCAGAGTCTGCCTCTATTCCGTCCCATTGACCGGCATAAACAGCTTGACTCGGGCGTGACCCCAAGAGTCCGCGAAACGACAGGGACACGTACGATTCATATCCGTCAGCCTCAGTAGGAGGCAAGTCGGACCACCTGCCCAAGTGGCCCACACGCGGAAGTCCCTCCCATGTGGTTGCCGGCTCATACGCCTCAGCGGCAGCGAGCTCCGCTTCATTCTCGACCTGAGTTTGTTCGGAGGCCTGGGCGAGGTTCTCCGGCTCCTCCTCCTGTCTAGCCGGCTGGTCTTTCCTAAATTTCCGTTCCAGAACTCCTTCTCCCCCATAGGGATCCTTCAAACCGGGCGGGTTGTCTGTACCCCAGATCTTGCGGCGCACTCGTTCGGTGATCGGGGTTGCGTTGGACGCATTGCGCAGGAATTGCCGGGCGACCAATGGGCGTGGGCGTGCTTCTTGTCTGCACACTGAGCAGACGTAGAGGGTCCGAGAGCCCTGGAGGGACGATACCTCCAGGTTTAACAGCCGCAATGAGGGACGCATGGCGGTGGTGTGATACGAATTGCGGACTTCAGCCAGCATTCGAAAAGTTTCAGGATTCCCGTTCGGAGGTTCTTCCATGCACTCGGTCACGTGGACTGTCGCCCGGGGCTTGGCATTTCATGGCTCGCGTTCACATTGAGAAAATATTACACAAAAATCGAGCATTAAAAGTATAGACATTATGAAATACGTAGTGTCTTGGTGAAGGTATTTTATAGAAGCTTGAAAATTTTCAATTCATATGTACATGCATATACGCTCGCTCATAGGATATTAAAGTCGGCCATTAATCTTTACAAGTCTACTCCCGAACAAACATACCAGCCATTCCCATACCCGTTCCAATGCACATGCTGACCACACCAACTTCCTGGCCGGTACGCTCCAGCTCGGGCAGGAGAGTGGCGAGCTGTCTAGCTCCAGTCGCACCGAGCGGGTGACCGATGGCAATAGCACCACCCTTCGGGTTGACCTTGGCCTCGTCAATACCCAACTTACGAACCGAGTAGAGCGCCTGGGAGGCAAAGGCCTCGTTGATCTCCCAGATGTTGACATCTGAAACGCTCATGTCAAGCTGCTGAAGGAGCTTGGGAATCGCAACCGCGGGTCCAACGCCCATCTCATCGGGAGCACAACCAGCAACAGCGGTGCCGACCCAGCGACCCTTGATAGAGGATGTCAGTCCAAGTTCGGTCGCGGTGGAACGGCGCATGAGAAGTGCAGCGGCAGCACCGTCGCTGACCTGCGAGCTGTTTCCGGCGGTGCTGGCACCAGTCGGGGAGAAGGCTGGTTTCAGACTGGCCATCTTCTCGACGGAGATGTTGGGGCGGACCCCGTCATCCTTAGTGACGGTAATTTCCTTCGGGGGCGCATCGGGGTTTTCAGGGTCAAAGGAGAGGGTCTTGACCGGCACAATTTCCGAGTCGAACAGACCAGCGTTCTGCGCAGCAGTAGCCTTCTTGTGCGACTCCGCGGCGAAGACATCCTGATCCTCCCGCGAGATACCATAACGAGAAGCAACGTTCTCGGAGGTAAGACCCATAGGCATAATGCAATCCCGAGAGTCCTTCGACGGCGACTCCTTGAGCTCGGGCCAGAGCACGGTGGGGATCGCGCGAGATCCGTAATTCCGGGTCATGGACTCCATTCCGCCACCGACACCAATGTTCAGGGCACCTGCCCTGATTCCGTTGCCGATCGCGGTAATAGCGGCGAGACCAGACGAACATTGTCTGTTGATGGTATGGAATGGAACCGTGTGAGGGAAGCCGGCGTGGATCTGAGCCATACGGCCAGCCTTCGCACCGCCGAGCTCTTGGAGAACGGAGCCGATGGCGACTTCCTCGATCAGGGCGGGGTCGAGTTTGGGGTTCGCTTCGAGGGTAGCCTTCAGAACATTGGCGAGGAGCTCTTCGGGGTACGCATCTTTGAAACCGCCTTTCTTCGCACGAGTAACGGGGGTACGCAGGGAGGAAAGGATCACAATGTCATTGGGGGACTTCTGGAGGACCTGGCGGAGGCCCCGGGGAATTGGAGATGCCATCTTGATAGACTCTAGTGGATGTCAACGCGCACAACAAGCTGAATTCCGGGGAAAGAAGAGGAAGAAGAACATTTATATGAAAAAGGATCGGTTGCCGGACATAATTCCGGGAGCGGGCCCTCTGAAAGTGGACATGGCCCTTGAGAGCTTGCCATCCAAACTGCCGGCAACGAAGATCGGCTAAGGCTTCTGCCGCCCAGGCTGGGGAACAGTGTGGAGATCCGATCTTATCATTTGGAGTCGGTCACCTTAAATACTACGAATAGGCATCTCCCTGGTAACACGGCCACTGTGGACGCTGTCTGTTCGCTCTCTGACCATTCGTATCTGCGTGAACAGCAAAGTACTCATGAATTTGACCAAAAACTGATGGTGATGAAGGACCTATCCCCGGAGTCTTGGTCGTTTGACCGCGAGAATCCCTCCGTTCCGTGCGTCGGATAGACTCGCTTATGTCAGCCGCATCGGAACGATTTGTCGGAAGATGGGTATTCCACAAGGAACTTAAGTTGGCCGCTGATTTACCCAGAATACGCGGACATCCGGACTTCATGGTCTTTTCTCCATTCAAAATAAACTTCGCTATGCACAAGCCCATTGCCACCTTAATAGTAAATTGGATAAAGCCAACCCCACCTTCCCCAACGCCTTGAAAAAAAAACGACATCATGTATAATGGATCTCATTACCCACTCGATAACTCCTTTCCAATCCGGGTATCAACAAACGGAATAATGTACAGGGGATATTGATCATGACAGTTGCGGGGAACCGTAGAGCCATATTAGGTGCGGATGATATGGCTGTAGTGGCCTGGCACCTTGCACCGGCACTTTTCACAGTCGGCTCGAAAGCCCATGGAGATAGTGATTTTCTTCTTGCTTGACGCATTCTTTGACTTGCATTCCGATAGCGAGTCTCTCGCACTGTCAATTGACGGTATGGCCTCCTGCATGTTGGGCGAGCTCCGCTCCGTCCCTATCCATATGGAGGGAGAGAATGAGGCAGGGCGAGACGGGTTGTAGGCCATATCCACGTCACTCGCAGTGTCTTTGATGCTTGCCATCGCATCTTCACTGTCACTGACTGGGCTGGGGGGGCGCGGAATATCAAAGCAAGATGGAGTTGCGCTCTGAGAAGTCGGGTGGCGTGTAGACGGCGTAGAATCATGATCGCTCGTCATTGGGGGGAAATACCCATACGCGGAAGTTGCAGCATGTCGCTCACTGATGGTCAGATACTGGTTAACGAGACTGTGAGGGATGGGGGACGGTTGAATATCCTCATTGCCGCGTGCACTGGTTGGCCATGGGTACTGGGTGCAATCACCGGTCGGCGGCAGCATGTCTCTGTCGTGGTCTATATCCATTGCTGTATTGGAAGCATGACAATGGGCTACCTGGTGAGGCAGCTCCCCCTTACTATGAGTCAAGCCGGCGCGCACGTGCTTTCTCTGTCTGACACTCCCATCGTCATCATCTGAGGATTCCACCGGCGTCAACGTAGATAAACCGAACTCCGCAATAGCTTGGTTCGCTTCGGTAGAGGTGAGTTTCTGAGAGCAGTGTGGGGATGTGCGGAGAGCTAAAGAACGGTGTTTCTACATGCTCAACTGTCAGCAGCAGGGCCATGGAAGCGACAGAACCAGAGGCAAACAAACCTTTCTCTCGTGGATGGCGCTACTTGCAAAATCGGCAAGCTCTTCATGGCCCCTTGGACGTTTGGACGAGAAACCGAACATGTCCCTTCAGTGGTCTAGTTCCGTGGTAGATGAGAGAATGTAAAGGTATGGACCGCGTTGAATGCAGGACCATTCAGCTCCGATGGCCAAGAACACAGGTGATGGCGGCCTCCAGGAGACTCTAGCGAATGGAGTCTCCAGAAACAACGGCGGGATTGTTGGATAAATAGAGGTTACTGTATCATATCCAGTAACTCAGTGAGTAGTAGGGTCAACAACCCACGGGGAAAGATAGACACTAGGGAGTGGAGGGTGAGAACGGAAGCAGTCTGGCGATATCACTCAGTTACACCTGCATCGGACCCGAACGTTTTAGCGTGGGACGGGTAGCCCCCAATGAGGGAAAGCGGCCCACCCCATATTTAGCCTGGATTATCCTCAGCCGGAGTTAATCAACCACGTCTTAGTGGGGGGAAACAACATGTGGAGTGCTTGATCATCGCCTTTGTTGTTATTTGCTGCCATGCTTGTTTTCATTTCTCTTCCTCCTGGTTGACCTTGTGACTCATGGTTTTCTCAATCCAAGGACCAATCGTTCTACAGACCATGCAAGGGGCTGGCTTTTCTTTACTCCGACTTGCTTCGAAGACAATACATCGATATATATCCAACGTGCATGTACGATCAATGATACCAATGGGGACGCTTACCCAACGGGGTTACCGGGAATTCAGGCATCCAATGAGCACGAGTGGCTGAACCAGCTTGTTAATCCTGGGGGTTTGATTAGTCTCGAACTTGGTGTAGTGTGTGTACAGGACTGCAGTCGACGTCGACTGTTCACTCTGCGGTGTACCCCCAGAAGTAGTCTTCGGTATGTCCTATGAGTGAAACTTGGACTACAATGAGCAAATACAGCGGTGTAGAGGTATTATCTTCCGCTATGCTCAACGTACTTGGCATACGTGTGCACTAAGTTTAATCGGTGTTTTAGAAATACATGTGTGCATCTATATTGAATCGCTTGGCTAGTTAGTTGATGCTCGGGGGAAATTCTAGTCGATTAGTTCCAACGAGGAACCATCTGTAACACCAACCATGTCAGATACTTACTAGTGGTAGAAAGGGATCTGTGCTGTTCTAAGCGATTGGTCAAGTGGTACTTAGCCTGGGGAACGGATCTGGTGCCAGCTGAATGGAGGTAAGACGCATCATAAACTGTCCAGGTGTATGTTATTCGGGAGTGACGGAGATATGGGCCAATTGCAGGCATTGAAGAGAAGAATGAGGTATTGTTAGGTGTATACTAATCTTCGTCTACCCTAGAGGGCAACAGGATATCCATGGATAGTCGTCGTGAGATGTACGTAGATCTGACTGTATTTGCGTACTCTGTACAAAACCGTATATACAACCTATTTCAGGCATACTAACTACTACACACAGTACTGCTCCTTAGTTGTTGCCAGGGTTCTGGGAGACCGAAAAAACGGGCGTCGGCGTATTGGTATTTATCACACCGACCGGACTGGCCGGGATTGCAGGGCTGTGAGTGGTCAACCTAAAATTTTCCAGTGTGTGTGAATCATTCGCGGCCCCACTCGGTACGCAATTTTACTATTCAAGGTGATCGATCACCATCTGTGGTCGATTTTGATCGCAACTTCTGCATGCCATTGACCTTCTCACTATCACTCGTCTCCGGAGTACTCTGCACTATAAAGGATCTGCCAATCCTACTCCTTCCTGAGTCGCTTGTTGCCTCTCGAATATCCTGTCAACTCCTCCCGTACTTCCGAATTTCCTCCCCTCTTCTATTCTTCAGACTTCCTCCCCGCCACAAACACAATGCCCCTCGTTAACACAACGGAGTTCAATGAGGACACTCGTGGTAAGTAATCGCTCCTCGAAGGTCGCCTCCCCTCGGATGGTATGATTCTGATCTCGACCAGTCCTTGGATACGATCCTTTGCTGTCCCCTCAGTACCTTCAGTCCGAGATCCCAGCTGTGAGTCACCCCACTTCCCTGCCGAGGCACACACACACCTTCCACTAGGGCAGAAAGATATTTCTTGCTCGGGGAAGGTCGATGGCACGATTTAGGGATTTTTCAGGCTAATCATCATGCGTCCAAACATAGCCTGCAGAAGCCACTGCCACTGTCCGCTCGGGCCGTAACCAAGCTGTTGAGATTATTGAGCAGCGCGATGACCGTCTTCTGGTGATGGTCGGCCCCTGCTCCATCCATGACCCTGTCACTGCTCTGGAATATGCCACCCGTCTCAAGGAGCTCGCCACGAAGCTCTCCTCCGACCTGTGCATCATCATGCGCGCCTACCTGGAGAAGCCCCGCACCACCGTCGGATGGAAGGGTCTGATCAACGACCCGGATATTGACGAGTCCTACAACATCAACAAGGGTCTGCGGATCTCACGTAAGCTCTACGCCGATCTGACCAGCATGGGCATGCCTATTGCCAGTGAGATGCTCGATACCATTTCCCCTCAGTACCTTGCGGATCTCATCTCCCTCGGCGCCATCGGTGCCCGTACGACTGAGTCTCAATTGCACCGTGAGCTGGCCTCCGGTCTGAGTTTCCCCATTGGCTACAAGAACGGTACTGATGGCAACCTGACCGTTGCCATTGACGCGATTGGTGCTGCCGCTCACCCCCACCGTTTCCTCGGTGTCACCAAGCAGGGTCTCGCGGCCATCACCAAGACCTCAGGCAACGAACACGGTTTCGTGATCCTGCGTGGAGGCAACAAGGGTACCAACTACGACCGGGAAAGCATCCGCCAGGCTCGCGAAGCCCTGCGCGGCAAGAAACAGCGTGAGGTGCTCATGGTCGACTGCTCCCACGGCAACTCTAACAAGAACCACCGCAACCAGCCTCTGGTGGCCAAGGAAGTCGCCGACCAGATGCGCGAGGGCCAGGACGCGATTGTCGGTGTCATGATCGAGTCCAACATCCATGAGGGCAACCAGAAGGTCCCCGCCGAGGGCCCGAAGGGTCTCAAGAAAGGTGTCAGCATCACGGATGCCTGCATTGACTGGGAGACCACCGTCACCGTGTTGGAGGATCTCGCCGATGCCGTCCGCGCTCGACGTGCCGCGAAGGCATCCAGGGCTTGAATACAATGAGTTGAATCGTGTTGGTCGCAGAAGCATTCCATTTATTTGTCTTTGAGGACGGTTTCGTTTAAGATACCAGGGCTGTAGTGCTTTTTTTTTTCTCCTCTTCATCTTTCGGCTTCTTGGTGGGCTGCCGCCTTTCGACGATCGTTCTTGGATAGTCGATTCGATTATTTGAAACACAGTAGAGATAATGTGTGTAAAAAGTTTACCCAAAATTGCTATGTTGAATGAATCTTGCTTTCAAGCAGCATCTGGAATAGTCCCTGTCCGAATAGAGACAATCGTGTTGTGATCCAATCTTATTCACACTCGCACCTGTAGATTCGCACCCCATGCTCTAAGTTTTTTTTCATATCTTGGGCCGAAACCAATAACCCAGATAATGACGGAAAGTATATGTACACAATATGACGAGAGGACCCAGTATTACATCGGCTCAAAACACACCAAACAGACGCCAGCAGCCCAAATCGGTGGAATACAAGGAGAAGGGAAAAGAGACCAAATGCCATGCAACAGCAACACACAAAGGAAACACGGAAGAGAAAAAAATAGCCCAAGCGGAACATCATCGAGAACGATCTCACCTCATCCGCCCATCATCAATACTTTACACGCTCACCTCTCACATCCTTACCGTCCGGTAAGCCAACTCTTCCAGCTCTTCGACGTCTGCTTCGCCGCGGTCTCTGCATTCTCCGCCAGAGCATCCAACTGACCCGGTTGCTGCACAGCAGCAGCAGGGGCAGCAACAGCAGCCTTCGCCTCCTCCGCAGCCTTCGCATTCAACGCCTCCAGAACCCCCGGCTTGTTGTTCTCCGTCGCACCCTCCACCTTCGCGGCCGCCTCCTCCGAACTCAACCCGTCAAACAAATACCGCTTGAACTTCGCCCAGGGCCGTTGCGCCTTCTCCTCCTGTTTCTTCTGTTCGTAGATCTCGCCGATCTTCTCGTTCTTGAGCAATTCTAGCTGTGCCGGTGTGGCGGTTCCGCTGGCATGCGCCGTCTTCGCATCCTGCAACGTCTTCAATTCCTTCTCGATCCACAGCGCCCGTTGGCGACGGTTATATAGCGTAAGAGACACCATCGAGTAGACCGTTAACGCTCCGCAGATACCTACAAAGTGACCCATTAGCCACATCCGTCCTACTCCACGCACAGTAGCATAACATGCCCTGCCCTGCCCTGGGCATGGCATGACTACGTAACAAAGACGGGAGTTCAGAACGAGGGATCGAAGATAGAATACTCACCCGAAGCCGCAATCAGCGTATAAACCATCGTCTTATGCGCCTTGTTGGCGAACCGTCTCCCGAAATCGATCAGGCTATCTACGCGCGACGTCGACTGTGCCATCCGTGCCGCCCTAGCCTGGGCCCGCAACCGTTCGACCTTCTCCTTCGGCGTCTCCGGACGACCGCCGTTGCCGGATCCCTGCGACTGGGCGTTCGCCATGAACCCGGGGAGCTTATAGGGGGCGGCGCCGGGCTTGGAATGCGCGTAGGGGCCTGTGGCCGTGAAGCGGGTTGCGTCTGCGGCGGATCGGGACATGGCGTGATGTTGTTTTGTTTTTTTCCCCCTTAGTCTTTTGTTGATTTTCTGGCGTGTCGGCAGGAGAGGAGAGGCGGAGGTGTAGTATAGGGGAGTGGTTACGAATCGGAACACACCGAGCTAGTTGGAGGGGAGCAGTCAGAGCATTCGATTCGGCGTGACTGTTGATGCGTGAGGATCTTCCGGCAAATTTTCATCCGTTGTTGGACTGGCTGAAAGGAGTCTAGGCGGGAAGCGTCGGCGGCCAATCGGTGTGGAGTGATTGTACGGCGGCATCTGACGTCCCCCCAGAGCTGCAAACGCCTTACCCGAGTTTCTGATCTATGATGGAACTGGGTTGGGACTTCCAGAGAATACTCTAGGATTGAACTGAGCAAGAAATTACGAGAGGAGAAAAATGTCCAACAACACCCCCGACCTCTCCTCCGTCCTAGCAACCCTCTCCGCATTATCCAACCAATCTCAAGCTCAAGCCCAAGCTCAAGCTCAAGCGCACCTACAACAACAACACCCACCACCATATATCTCCAACAAGAACACTCAAAATGTCCCAGAAGACGACACAGACCCCTACGAACCCTCTGAAACCATCATCCCCCTAACCCCATCCCCAAACATCCCCCACCCCAAACCTCAACCCCAACCCCAGCACCAAAAACCCACCTTCCACCTCCCCAACACCTCCACAATCACCACCTGGCCCCCTGCGTTGAAAAGCATCATGCGCACCCTCTCCACCAATGAAGACCTGCAGCGGAAGATCCGCTTCCTGATTCAGCGCCAGCATGATCATGAGCGCCAGTGGTGGACGGGGAGGGAGGCGCTGGTGCGAAAGCAGAAGGCTCGGGTGGAGAAGAAGAAGGAGTTGGATGCTGTTTTGTGAGTTTGATCGATTTCTTCTCTTTCTATCTTTCTATATGTATTGTTTTGATCTATGTTGGGGACTAATGGTTTTCTAGACGGTCTGTGGGTGCGCCGGTTGATGAAAAGGAGATTTCGGTAGGTTTGGTTTAACTTTTCTTTTTTTTCCTGTTTTTTTTTTTTTTTCCGTAGTAGATGGAGAGGTGTTGTTTGATATGCTTTAATTTGCACTGAGGAAGACTAATGAGTACAGACGGCCGAAGAAGACCGCGCTGAGTTGACCAACTACGATCTGAAGGTCTACAAGGCGTCGAAGCAGATGGCCGATGCCTTGACGGGAGAGCTGCGGGCATTGCAGATCCCCTTTTTCAGCATTACGCCGAGTCTGGTCGTCGACTCGGCGGGGTCGACTCATCCTCCTGGGATCGGCAGGGATGAACTCGCCGTTCTACGACGGAGGATGTTGGAGTTGCTGCAGGACTTTTGCAAGGAGTGATGGGCCTGTCCCGAGCCATGGGCGAAAGAGGAATAGGTCATGCTCTGGATTTATGATTATGGATATGATTATGTACACCAATTCTCTCTATCCTCGGCCCCCGGCCAAACCGTCTATTCCGTTCGCCTAAGGAGCATGCGCAGCGCCTGAATCTTTCAGCTCATACATATATGCAAGTAGCGAATCCCATGAGCACACAATGCGTCGACCACGCTGTGTTACAAGCCACAACAACAAAAACAAGCCAGATGCCCGAACCCCGAAGCCAACCCAAACGCGCAGAAACGAAGTGGAAGAAAGATGAGACCATAACACCGGATAATGCAATATGAACGCCGTGTGAGGCCCGACAGACGACCAGCAACACACCTAGAACGACAAATGGATGACTGTGGTATCTAAATTCCCCGCGAGGAGATTGAAAACGCGATTATGTTTCCCCAGCACTTCACGTCGATGCCTTCTCGGCCACAGCGACCGCAACCGCAACCGCCGCACCGAGGATCCCACTCTCCGCGGCGGGGTCGAGGCGGACGGAGGGGCTGGGAGTTGCGTCCAAGGTGCCCTTCGAAGCGTTCGTCTCCTGCAACAGCTGGTTGATGTAACCCTGGCAACGATCCCGGAAGCCGGGATACTTGTTGATGACACTGCCGTCGCATGCAATGGTCAAACTCTGGGGATGTTCACTCTCGATCACCGTCACCTCTTGTGTCTCCTTGATCGACGATGTTGCAGAGGCGGTCACTTCGGGGAACTCGGCCTCGTTGCGCAAACACCACATGCTGTGGATGGCCGTTGCCAGGTATCCCGCGGAGCGGTTCGAAACAATCTCACAGATACGGCGTAAGAACTTGAGGTCATCCACGGAGGGGGCACGGTGGAATGTGTGCTCCTTCTGGAGGAGAGCCGCCGACGACGAAAATGATGCGGACGAATCGGCCTCAATGGCAGCGACGATGCTCGTGTCGAACGAATAGGCATCGCGCATGGAGCGAGGGAGTTCACCGCCAAACAAGTGTGCGGTCTCCACGGCTTCCACGATGATCAGTCGAAGAATTTCGCCCAGGTAGCGCCCGGTGATCATGTATTCTAATGGTTGATAGTCGGGTCGAAGATGGGTGCGGTTGATCACATCGTCCCATCGGCTCATGGGGAGAACCTTGCCACCGAACATGCTCAGCTCGCTATTGATGATGACGTGCTTGGCGTAGTCGAACCAGCCTACGGGTCTGGTGCCAAACTTGGTCAATCCTATCGCATGCACCGGGAAATGAATCGCCATATTGGTTCCCGTTCCAAGAATCAGGGACATGCGGGTCTTGGGGTCCACGTAGGCACGAGAAAGAAGAGTAGCAGAACTGTCGTTTACAATGGCACCCATTTGGAGGTTCAAACTACGTTTGTGACACGACTTGACAATCAGATCTCCCAGCTCCTGTCCCACAGTACCATTCGAACATAAAAAGCCCTTGCCCATTTGAATCACCAACCCACTGTTGATGGACGTTTGCTCCACTGGGAATGACCATGACAAGCCCATGGACAATGGCGCCGATTCTCGACCGTACTGTGCGCCGACCTGGGAGAGCATCGAATCGATCTTCTCCGCCATCCAGTCAAAGAATAGGGTTCCCTCCAAAAGCTTGACCTGCTCGTCGATGGGGGACGAGTTGACCCGGAGAATGTCCATGTCGCCGTTTCCGCGAAGTTCAATCAAAGCCACACGGAAGGTGGAGCCTCCGACGTCGAGGGCCAGGAAGGTTCCCTTCTCCGTTCCTGATGGCAGCGCATGGTTGTACGATGGCAACATGCTGACCGGACTCGACTGGAGACAAATTCGAAGCTGTTCACGGATCTTTTCGGACATCATGGCCATGTTCTGCATGGACAGTGGGGCTGTGAACACATGGTTGACTTCGTCAGCCAGGTCATCGAGAGTGCGACGGCGCCAAGATGCCCGGTGGAATGATTTCCTCTTGCCAGAGGAATCCCGGAAGAGTGATGGAAACAATAGCATAGCTTCTAAGGCGGCGACGACGTTGGAAAAGAGCTCCTGCATCCTATGCAGGACCTTGGTGAGGGACGCCGACATGGTCCGTTCAAGTAGGTCGTGGAATGACCGCCTTGTCCAAGTGGTGAAGATGAATGGTGACAAGTGAATTCAGGTACAGTGAAGTGAGACGAGCGGGGCTTAAATATGGAAGTGAAGACCAAGATGAAATGAGCTCATAGGCGTATGCATCTGCCGAAAGAAGGGGCCAGTTTGCGAGAATGAGTGGTAATTATAGCGGAAGTGATGTCGTCTTGTCCGGGTTCCAAGGAGAGTAGCAATTCACTGGTGATATAGTGAAGGAGAGAGAGACCTCAACGATGGTGATGGAACCGAGTTGCAATGTATGAGACGTGAGGTAACACTGGTGGGAAAATCCCACAGCAACAATCCCTCGTCAAGCTGTAGTGGAGACCGTTTGGAAAGTCGGAGAGAGAGAGGGACCCAGTGAGAGGGGGTAATAAATAAATAAATAATACAAATAAAAATAAAAATAACAAGGTGGAAAAAAAAAAAAGCTATTAGGTTTGGGAAATAATGAGAAAGGGTTGAAAATAGTGGTGCCAGACGAGAGTGCAATGGCTCAAATCTCTCTCCACTGAACTAAGTCAATGGGGCAAAAGTAAGACACACTTCTGCCGTAGTTGCACGAAGCGTTCAGGTGGTGGTGCTTGTTTTTTGTTTCCTCACCCGTTGTAGTAGTATCGTCAGAAAGTAGTAGTATTAAGTAGAGTGGTAATGGTCAACGGAGGGTGACGGGACCATAACCAGAGGCACTTCAAGCATGGATCAACGCGTGTCCATTCCTGGAAGGGATCCAGCAGAATGAATGGGTCACTCACCCTCCAAGGAATGATGGATGGAGAAATTCAAAAGAATTTCAAAACACAGTGAAAAGAAACAAGGGACCAACAACGGCGGTGAATCAAGAAAAAGAAAGACAAAGGAAGTCAACAACCTGACTACAAGAGGGGGAACAGGGAGAGATTGAATATTGATTGATGGATGCAGAAAAGGAAAAGAGATGCGCCGGAGAGACAGGACTGACTCCGTACCGTTTGCCAGGTAATGTACGGTTCGTCGGGGGGACGTATTGCGGGTTCGGTATCGTCATGACCGTATGGAAGATTCCCACCCCAACCAAGATGACCGCGAGTGGAGATCCAGTTCGACTGCTACCCTGAAGGAACATCTCGATTAAATTCACGACGCATAGGGAAACTAACAAAGGGCAAACATCCAATGCCATGGCTCAATGACCCATCGGAGAAGAACATTGAGTGGCACCTTTTTTTCACCACGCTACTACTAGTACAGAGCAGAATTGGTCGAGGAACATTACCGGGAATCATGACATCAATCGACCACGACAATCCTGTGATCCGCTACCAGGATATCAAAACGTGATCGATCTGTCGCATGAAAGATTGAGATAAATTACTTTCCTGATTCTTATCTCTGGACTGTATCTCGGATAACAATCTGCGGGGAATGAATCCTCCTACGACTCCGTACTAGTATCCTTCCGTTCGTCAGGATGATCCCCCTTTCCCAATGGGATACTTAAGCATAAACGGATGTGGCCAACTGCCGATTCCCTCATCTCGCAGACGAAACAATCGATGAGCCATCGAATGGGATCTTGGAACCACTCTACCCGGGCCTACCACGTTGTGCCGCGACCAGAGTTACATTCGAGTTTCCAACACCCATGATCTGGTTAGTGTAATAGATTTCCACTGCTCCAATGTGTAACCGTCCTGGTACGAGACGGTACGCCGTTACGGCAATACCGGTTCTACCCTAATGTGTAGTCCATTCAACCTGCATAGAATCGTCTGCTAGTTTAATTCGTGTCACTTGAAGTACTGGTACTATAATTATGGGAGGACGATTTTGGGGTGCCTTGAGTTTAGACGATCTGTCAGTGACTCGGTGCACTGACATTCCATAGCAATCACCCAAAATTCCCCAGGGTGGCTCGTCCAGGGATTAAGCAACAGAATGGTGACGACAAGATAAAAGGAGAAA